TCATCTCTAATTTCCTATTAAACCTCTGGATGTATTGATAAATAATAAAGACAATGATAGCTTAAAACAGCTGTTGTGTCAGTACCTGTAAATAACAAAGTGATAAATTGTTAGATAACCTCATCGATGGCTTAACTTTCTTACTTTTTATGATCATTTTTAATGTAATCATTAAGAAGAATATCCAAAAACAAATTTGAATCCTTTTGGTCATTTTATTTGTTTCTTTATCGTAATTCTATTAGCCTTTTTCGAATTACTTTTTCAATCATAGTTTTGAGTTGAAAGACCCTTTGTTGAATCATCATTTCTTCTTAAGTTGGAAAAATATTCCAGGCCCATGTACCCAAAAGAAGTCTTTTGATAAAAACATATTTAGATTTAAATCTTGACTCTCCCATATCATTTATCAACTCTGTTACTTCTACTTAAAGATCCTTGTTATTGACTTTCAAACCATCTATCGAATCTCCAAAAAAACTCTATATGACAACTTTTCCTGTCATAAGTTCTAATTATTCAAATAAATTGTTTGCAGAACCAATCTTGGTGATACCATCAAGAATAATTTTATTTATCATAGGCAATCTACTTGTAAGTTATTGATATTGAAATTGATCAGCTAAAATATTTCTTTGGGCCTTCCATTGATCTCTGGTCTCAAAAACTAAGCCTTTTTACAATAAATGCCTTAAATCTAATATATTTATACTTATCTGCGATGTTATTAGCCTTTTCATAATAATGAGGATTATGTAATATCTGTTTGTAATACTCTGGATCAGCAACCTGTATTTGTATTTTCCAAAATGAGTTAGAGACTTTGAATTTATATGGTAGCCTTTTGTATTCTTCTTTATCACTCCAGAAAATATCGTTAAAAATCTTCAAATCTCTCAATCTTTTCCATATATCTCTTCCTAAGAAGTTGTATTACATTTTGCAGTCTTGCCCAAATTACATCTTAAGTTTAATCATTGGGCATAAGGGTTTGAGAACAAAAACATAGAAGAAGAGCACTATTAAGATGGCAAAAATTTGGATAATCATTTTTCAAATTTTATTGAAGATATTCATAAAATTATCACACGATTTATACAATTATTATACAGAATACCAAAGTTGCTTAAGAAGTATCCTTGTTATTAAATAAAGTTATTTGAATTTGATATAAAAAATTTATTTAATAATCAACAAATCTAATAATTAAATAAAGGTCGATTGAGGTGGATATGATCTCAAATATTATTATTCTTTTAAAAAATGAAAAAGAGAATATTTGTGTGTTACTTTTAAGTAATATCGATTTTTTTTTGTATTTTATTTATTATTCAATGATAAAAAAAATTCTGTGAATAATTTTTTAAAGGAATGGTGATATGTTAATAGTTTTCTAATCAAAGTGATACTGCAATTGGTTTTAAAGTTAAAACTTGAGAACTATTTTACTTTTCACACATAATTTGATATTTTTTTTCTCTAAATGTAAGAATGATTCATCTATTACAAATTATATATATGAAAAAGATTTTATGCATGTTGAATTCTAATAATATAAATTTGAGCACCATAATCATAAAGGGTTAGGATGAATAGAATTTAAGCTTAGTATATGAACTTAGAATTAAAATTTATTATGATTTAGATATTTATATTCGATGTATACAATTTTTATCAATACAAAATAATAAAGTAGAGATATAAATAATCAGATTTGAATATAGCCTTTTGTTAGTAGTTATTGCTTAAAATTTAACTCTCCTTTTGGGTGAAGCAATTAAAATCTCAAATAGAACAATATAATATTTATAAAAATGATTAAATATCTATTTTATGAATAAGCATACTAATCAAACCCTAGATTATTTTGCTTTAATATAAGCTTATGAATAGAATAATCTTCCTATATTTGTGATTTCACTATAAACTGGATAAATATGTTATTTAAAAGCTAGGTTTATATCAAACAGGAAGTTGTAATGAATCTGGCATTAACATATAGACTTCTTCACAAGGTCAAAGTAGTTTAGTATCTCAAAGTCTATAGTGATTGCAGAATTTTTATTCATATAAGAGATCTATTTTTAGCTCACAGTTTTACTTTGAATTTTTTGAGTAAAGGAATGATGAGTAAATTGAATTTTGGCCATTATTGGAATAAACTTATGAAGATGTTCTTTAAAATTTAAGACAAATGCATGAGAGGTTAAATCCTAAAAATAATTTTATTCAACCATTACCAATCTTGTATTGACAAAACTATTAATCCTAAAAAGCCTGGATGATATGAAAATATCTTAAAGTAATGTATTTCTTAAGAAAATGTCTTCTAGTCCTTTATTTTATTTAATTTTCAGGCTAACTAACTATAAATTTAATCTAACCAATTCTCTACTTTCACTATTCACATTTGCCTCTCTGTGAGAGGCAGTTAGTTAAGTGATAAGGATAAAATCAAAGACTTGGATAAAGTAAGAACATTTAGATTCTAATTTAAACAATATTTTTGAGTTAGCTTCACATTTCAAGAGATTCTTATTCAAGAAAAATTTGTTTCAATATTTATCTTTTTTCAAAATGAGACAATTTTAAATACCATATTTGTAATTAAACTCTAAATTAGTATAATTTAAATAATAATATAAAATATAAAGTGAAGAATGCATTCAACAATGTTTCAAAGACCTATATGCTCAGACGCTATGTTTTACGCAAGTATCTAAATTAGCTACACTTCTAAATTGTTCCTCAAAATAATTGATAATTAAGACTGGATTTTTATAAAGTTTGCTGTTTATAATTGAAAATTAATATTTAATAAATAAAAAATTTTTTATGAGATTATTTAGTAATAAATTTGGAGGTTTCGAATCTAGCATTCTAAAATAACTGATATAAGATTGCTTTTATGAAAATCTTTACAATAAATAAAGAAATGGCTAACTTAAAATGTGCAATTTGAGTTCTAAAAATGAAGTTGAATTCAATTTTAATAATTAAGTATCTTCTTTAAGAGGAGGAGGATGTATCTCAACTACCTTAGTTTCACCTGAAACTAAAACAAGGTTAAGCAATTAAGAGTCGAACTTTGCCACTAATCTCAAAAATTATACAAAAGTGATTGTAGAAAAAGCATCTTAATTTCATGATAAATATCATAAGGACGATGTACTTTGTGCATTATTATGGTTTCAAAATTAAAAAGAGCATTTTTAAAAATTGTGCATGAATAAAGAGTAAAACTTGCAAAATTATGACCTTATTGAACGTTAGTTTGAGAATTTACTAAAATAGTTAGTTACCTACTTAAAATTATCAGGGTATGTCTTTCATGTATTGCTTTAAATATGCAATGATTTGCTGAGAGTGATATTTTATTTTCAGTAAGTAAATGAAGATCGATATATGAAAGAAGACTTAAAATAAAGTTTGAAAGAATGCATATTAGAACTAGAAGAGTAGATTGGGATTGAATCAGCAAAACTTTGGAGTACCGGCACTGAATTTGAACTTTTAATGATAAAAACTTGTCTTGCCCATTTAAGGACGAACTCAAAAGAAAGTGCTAACCTAATGAAAGCGGTATTAATGGGAATAGCTTCCTCATTAGCTTAGTTAAAACCAAGTGATGAACTTATTGATGCTCTAATGGAAGCCGGAAAATATCTTTTGCTTAATTTTTATGATAAATAAATTAAGCATCCTTTGAAAGTTTATGAACTTTATTTCTTCTTTGAAAATTTGAAATGGTCCATAATTTTTTAACTGAAATCAGGTTATTCAGTTCAGCAAACAATAAATCAGTTGACAGATGGATACAATAAATACATAGGTGCGTCAACAAATTGGTTAGTACATTTTTTTTGGATAAACTTAATTTCAAGTTTAATGTCTTACAGACCTATCATCTCTAAACCTGAAATGGAGCAAAGGTTGCTTTAAAAATATAATACAAATTGGAATTAATTAGTATTGTAAAATTAGATTGTAACAGTACCTTACGATAAAACAAAAGGAAGAATTAAGTACAATGGTAGAGGCAATTTTGTAATTAAAGAATTTTCAAATTTAAAATTATTTTAAGATTACTTGTTTGGTGAACAAATAGGTTCAATGAAATTATTACCTCAATATTTGAATTTTGATTTTGGTTCATAATAATAAGGCAGAATCAATTTATAAGATTTAAACATTACATTATTTACAAATTGTGATGATTTAGAAGTTTTATCTTCTTTAAACAATGTTTTAAAGAATTGCCTCAATTTAATTTAGGAAAATTTTAACTAGATTGATGGCTAAGTTTAAAGTGATTCATTAACATAAACAGAAAAGTAAACTGAATTCAAGATTTGCAAACAAGATATTTAATATTTAATTAACCAACAGAAAGAATAATTCTTGTAAATTTTATACATTTTTTATGAGATAGACATTATTAGGTTCAAGGAAATTGAAATTATGAATAATATTGAAACAGTTATGAAGAAACTTATGTAATAAATGCAGAACTTCAATCAAATAAGAATACTATCAGAAAAGGAAATTGAAAGCAAATTTCAACAAATACCAAGGTTTTAGTATCAATTTTCATAAATTTTAATCTCTTATGAGGACTTTATTTAGAATGATGTTATTTTAACAGAAGTTTCATCATTAATTCCTCTAAAACAGTCATTAAAAAAGTACCAGTAAGAATTAGAGAATTTTATAAAAAGCTTTAGTGATGATATAAATAGCTTTATTACATAGATGAAATAGTTAAAATAAATTATCACAAAGGTAAATTGCTAGTCGTAGCTTAAAATTACTTAAGATATGATTTCTCAAAAAGATATATCAAATTAGCTTGTATAAATCTATGGCTCCAAGTTAATAAAGAACCTATGTGATTAAATTATGAAAGTTTATTCTGAAGATTGGATAGACAAAAATTGGGAGTTTAGTATTCTTAATGATTTTAGAAAAAGCATTAGGAGGTGTGGAGAAATGACTTTTGCATTTAAATTTTTGAAGAAACTTCTAAAAATTCAATAATAAAAAGTAAATGCAATTCTTAATGAAGACAACATTGCAGAGCTTTATTTTATTAGTAATGTTTAATCAACTAATCTTTTTGAAAGCGATAGTATGGCCTTTGATTAAATTTAAACTTTGGCTCTTGAAAGGAAGGCCATGATATAAGGATACTTTGAAAAATATCCGAATCTGATTATGAATAAATAAGAGATAAGTGAATTAAACTAGCTTGAGAATCAAATTAGAGAGGATATAATGTTATTATAATAGAAAAAATGGAACCAATAATATAAGATATCAAGCATTCTCATTTTTTAAGATGCTTTGAACAAACTGTCATAATTAGGATTAAATAAAGTTAACAAATTAGCGATAAAAGAAGAAATAAATACAAATTTTACTAAATCCTTGTAAGAGTTAAACAAAAAGATATTGGGAGACAATTAGAAAGAAGAGTAAATAAAGCAAATTTAAATGCAAAATAAAATAGAATAAGATTCTCAAATTTTCTTTATCTTTGAATATTATATAACTCAAACTACTACTATAATCATAAATACGAAGAGACTTAAAAGAATTATCAAATAAAATTTTAATCTATTTTCCTGGAGTATGGAAATTTGGGAGTCTGACAAAAAAGAGGAATTCCAAAACAACATAAAAGCCTTGATTACTGATTTATTAGAATCTATATCAGACTGTTTTAGTTCATTTTAAAAAGAAGAGTAAATTGTATTTAATTAAGAGGTATTTGAATTTTTATAAGATAATAAATGCTTAGATAAATAGAAGGCAAATCTTGTTCTCTTGAATAGTCATTCGATATTTAAGAATTCATCGTCAAACGAAGGTATAGAGGAAAAGTGTTGTAAGATTTACAAAGAGCTTATTGAAAATTTAAAAAATTCTTCTGCTATTGATGCACAAAAGCCAAATATCCTTTCTTAAATATTTTCAAATTCATCCCATAAAGTTAGGGAGGCATTGGCATTTAGTATTATTAAGATGGATACATTAATTCAGGAACCAAAGATGAAAGACTTTTGCTAAAACTTGTTAAAAATGTTATGGATATATGAAAAACATAGTGATGTCAGAATCATACTTAAAAACACAGAAATGATCGAAATTCAAAAGTAGTTGTTTTCTAATGACCTCACTACAATGTCAAATCAAATCAAAGCAGAAATGAAGAGTATGCTCAATAGGATTGAACAACTAGAAAATTCTGTTTTAACTGATAATACAATATAAGCGAAGGAATAATTATAGTAGGCACTTGATGATTTTGAAACCTATTTTGATAATATCACAGATATGTCTTAAAAATTGGATATAAGTATGATTTTCTTGAAAGAATTAAGCAAAGATGTAAAACATATAAAAAGCTCAATTGATTCAGTCTTAAAGAGTGTTAGTTTTATCGCAAATGATGTTCGAAAACTTAGAGGAAAGAATTACCTTGAGTTACTTTAAATAAGGAAAGAGTAGGTTCTTAGGTAGAAAGATGAGAATGAAATAGATTAAATTCATATTGAATTACTAACTTAAGAATACGATCCAATTTCAGGGAGCAAAAAACAATCTGATATCAAAGAAGAAACGACTTTTCTTTTAAAGTAAAATTATAATGATTTTGAAGGGGAAATAAACGAGTTTTTATGGGATGAAAATGAAAGAATTAAAGATGTTATGCTGCTGAAAGGAAGAGCAGGTTCAGGTAAAAGTAGGGCTGCAAAAAATATAGAAGAACTTCTCTGGACATGTGACTAAGTAGATCCCAAATGGGTTCCAATTTATGTATCCCTTCCTTCACTTAAAGAGCCGAAATACAATTTAGTTGATTAAGCATTAGAATCAGAAAATTATAATTTTGATAACATTCAAATTAGAGAGTTTAAAGAGGCTATTAGATAAAAAAACTTAAATGTGGTATTAATTCTTGAGAGCTATGATGAAATGAAGTAAGATTGTTTGGAGTAAAACTTGTACTTGACAAATAGATTTGCGTAGGAGTTTAATTTAGGTGAATCTGGAGAAAATGTTAAAATTATTATCACGTCAAGACAAGAAATATTGAATTCTATCGATTATCAAACCTGGTTTTACGGAAAAAGTATTTAAACATTAAAAGAAGTTGAGCTTTTGCCCTTTACATCTAATTAGAGTAATGATTATTTAATACAATACTCAAAAGTTAGTGTGAAACGAACTATAAAAAGGTTTTATGAGTTTTTGAAGTAATTAAAAGCTTAAAGTTTTTCCTTTAAAGAATTCAAATAAATTTGGAGTAATATAAAAGAAACTGTTAAAAAGATTTTGATAAAAAACAAAGATGAATTACTAATATTTTCTTAAGAGGACACAGAAAAATTAATACAAAAGCTTTATAGCATTTAATTTTTTTAGCTTTTTAAGCCAGAGCAGATGATATCTTTGAATAAAGATCTTCTTGAATTGTGGGGCTATGAGAAATTTTCTTAAACAATCCACAAAGTTAAAATAAAGCATCTTTTAAATACTCCATTTATGCTTGAGATAATTGTATACGTATTGCCAAAAATGTCAACTTTCTTCTCGTAGTCTTCATTTATGAGGTTAGTTCTGAAATAAAATTACCATAAGTTGAAAAAAGAATCCATAAGGTCAAATCATTTGCTTAAAATGTATTCTCAAACTAATGAAATTGTAAGCAACGAAGAATAATTAAAAAAGCTAAATAATTTCTAGGTAAATGCAACTGAGGATGAAACATAGTTGTATAAATTAAGTGATCTAATTCTGGCTGAATTAGATACTCAAAACTTTTTTGAATAAAATTCTATTACTTAATAATTCATCTATACAGATAATCAAATAATTAATGAGAAAAAAATTATTTATACATTGAAGTTTGATGCGAAATTTGTAGTTGCAGCATTTCAATTGCATTAATTTACTGCATTTGATTTTTACAAGTAATTTGTAGACTTTTATCACGCCTAATAAATGTAAAAGTGGAAGGAACTAGGAAAAAATATTAACTAATAGAGTTTTTTAATTGATCTACAATTCTTTTGCACTTCTTTGGCTGTTGAGATGACTTTGAGAGAATTAACCTAAGTGAATTATAAGTAGAAGGGGAAACTAAAATTACTGTCTGAAAAAGAAGATTTGCAAGATGTTTCTTGGGAAGATCATTACTTTAGTGAAAATGAAGCTGATTCAAAATACAAAACCCAATTAAGAAAATGCATGTTGATTAATGCTAAAGGAAGTTTATTCTCATTTAATCATAAATCTATCTAAGAGTTTTTCGTCGCAGATTACATACTTAATTTATTTGATAAGTTATTCGCTGATGATAATGAAATTGATGAAAAATTATTGAGAAAAAGTGCGTTTAATAATAGAAATAAATTTAACCTATCATTAGAATAATTCTCTGGATGTTTGGAACTCTTAAAGCCTAAATTGAAACAAATCAGTAACATAGAAGAAAAATTAATATAAATTATTAAGTTATAGACTAACTAACCAGATTGTTAAAAGGATTTGCTTCGATCAACGTCAAATGTAATATTCCTTTTGAGTTATTTAGGAGTATACTTGGGCGGAGTAGATCTGAGTGGAATATAACTTTCAAATACAAAGATGGTGGGTTTATCATTTTTTAAAAGCAATTTGAATAACACAGTATTCGATAATGTTTCGATTGATTCCTGCAATTTTACTTAAGCAAAAATATAAAATTCAAATTGGAAGAACCTCATATGCAAAGAAATTCCTTCTGTTTTAGGAAATTCGAAGATAACTTCAATCCTCTTTAAAGGAGATGAAGCCCAATTAATTTCTGGAAGTGATGATGGAACTATTAAAATTTTGGATGTTGATCAAATCTAAAAACCTGTAGAAAGATAATTTTAAGACTAGAGAATCAAAAGTTTATCTTATTGTAAAACTGAGAATACATTAGCGTGTTTAACTAATAATAAATTACATATTCTTAATGCAAAAGATTTATCAGACAGTAATTATGATACTTTGATCAATGATAATTATAATGGAGTTTTCCTATCTTAAAACAACAAATATGTCGCACTCAAAAATTAGAAGTCTAATTTAATTATTTTAGAAACATAAAATTTACTGATTAAAAATAAACCATAGAAATTCTCTTTTTAAAGCTCGAGTTCTATTATTTGTATGGCCAAATCTTATAACTCCAAATTTTTAGCTACAGGAGGTCAAGAAGTGATTTTATGGGAATTTCACTCTGTGTCATAAATCAAAATGATAACCACCCTATAGACAAACCTAAAGGATTTTACTTGTATGGCATTTTCGTACGATTGTAACTTTATAGTGATTGGTAATTAAAATGGCATTATAGAAATTTGGAAAATGAATGATTTATAAAAAATTCATTTGCTCCAGTCAATAAAGCTGGATGAAGAAATAGAAAAAATTGAATTTTCAAAAAATAACAAATTTTTAATCGTAAAAACATTAACTGAAGTGTTCCAATATAATAGTTTTGGCTTATATAATGACTAAGAGAAAACTGTTCTATTTATGGAAAAATATGACACAAAAACATTAATTTAAAAATAATATTTATTAACGCAAGATTTGGATGCTTGTGTTAAAAAAATTACCATAAGCTCACTACTTCTAATAGCTTGCGTTGAAGAGAAGAACAATAAATGCAAGCTAAGCATTTGGAATATTACTAAGTAAAAATCAATTTCTCTTGTTACAACCTTGATTGAGGATTAAGATGAGATTAATTAATTGAGGTTTTCCTCAGATGAGTAATTTCTATTGAGCTCCTCATTTAACGTAATTTTTGTTTGGGATTTAAAAGAATTTAAATTAATCCACAAAATAGAAACACAACATGATGTTATTATAGATTTTGCTTTTTCAAAAGATAAATCTTGTTTTGCCTCATGTAGCTAGCATAGGATAGAATTATATAAGAATTTTTTGGAACCAAAAAATTTAGAAATTAATCTTCTAAGAATTAGCAAAAATCTTATTTGTTAAGGAATTTAATTTGTTGAAAAATAGTTAGCAATAAATGGTGAGATTGGAAATTAATCAGTTTTATAATTTTGGAATGTAGAAAATTTAAGATAAGAACTTGATCAAAAATTCAAAGAAAAGATATAATATTTTAAATTTCTTTATAAAGGAGAATGTATGATTACTGTTGGAAAACTCGGGACTTTTTGGTCTAAGAATGCTTTAAATTTTTCTGAAAAACAAATTGAACCTTTATTTGAACGTTTTGAATGGAAATAAATCGGTTATTTGAATGACCAAATATATATATTTGATGGTGAGAATATTTTTCGAATCATCTACTGTTTTGGAGGAGATGAAGATTCTGTTGAAAATAGGCATAAAAAGATCTTCTCAGCTAAATCTCTAATGTGTGCTACATTTTCAGATGATAGTAAATTATTTGCTGTTGGTTTGAATAATGGATTTTAATTAATTTATCTAGATTAAATTCTTGAATTAGATGAAAATAATAATTATTATGCGAATGATTTCTCGATTTCGGATGATTCATCTTTATTAGTACTCGCTACTAATAAGGGTCTGAGAATCAAAAATTTACTAGCTAATGAAGAAATTTTTTTTACTTTAAATAATAAATATCTTTCAGCTTGTTTTATGGATTAAGGTTAAACAATACTGGCTATTACAAATAAAACCTTATGTATATTTAATCTAAAGGATTTGAATAATCCAATAAATCTGGAAAATTTGGTACTAAGCGGAAGCAATCCATAAAGAATTTTAGATATAGGGATCTCTGAATAAATTATGATATAATATGAAAAGTGCATAGCCGTTCATTAATTAAAAGAACTTGGAAGTGCTCAATTAATCTAATTACAGAATAATGTTACTCTCTCAAAAAACTGTCTACTTTTAGAGGATTCAAACTATATTGGAATTGGTATTGATGATACTATTAAAGTAATTCCAATTTCTAATTCTATTAAAATTACCCTTAACTTTAATTATTAACCTTTAATAGGAAAATTGCTTTATTTTCAATTTTCATTAGATAGCTAAACATTTTTGATTTTTGGTTCCAAGAAAGAAGGTCAATTATAATCAGCACAAATAGCTATCGATAAATAGTAATTAGAGATAAAATAGAGCGAGATCAAACATTAAAATCTCTGTTACATTACATTAAATAAGTAATAGGACAAATTAATTTTTATGAAGGAAACTGTTAATTATAAAGGGCGAGTTGAAAAGTTAGAATTGATTGACTTTGAAACCTTTAAGACAATTTAATGTATAGAAGAATTTTATATAGACGAAAACTCTAAATTTGAAAACGCCTCATTTTCAGAAAATAATTCTTATTTTATCACTTCTTATGCAAATTCAACTTTAAAACTATGGGATGCAAAAACATGCAAGCTCTTATCAAAAATGAAAAGCAATACAAAAAAAATTGATTTAATTTCTATTTCAAACAAAGAGATCATGGCATAAACAAGTCATGACCTTATCAAATTTTGGAATCTAAAGGCTCTAAGATCCTAATCGCTAGAATTGGATGGACATTCTGATTCAATTTAGTAAATTGCAATTTCTCCGGATGGACTACAACTAATCTCTGGTTCTAGGTCCAGAATAATAAGATGGGAATTGACTAAATTTTAAAAGTTAGATGTGCTGATTAAAGGAAAAGCTCTACCCTCTGTTTTCTGCTTTTCATAGGATGCAAACTATATAGCTGCTGCTGATAATCCCCCTTACTAGATTAAGGTTTGGAAATTGAATACTTTGTACTTAATTGAAAACTAAATAAGAATAAGCTGCTATTCGATTCCAAATAATCTAAAATTTAACGATTTAGGCAACTAATTAATATCATTATACGAAAATAGAATTACAAAATTTCAAATAATTTTGGATCTAAAGTAAAACCCTTTATATGAAACGTAAAGGATAATGTGTAACAAAGGAATTCCTCCTATCAATTATTATTTTTCTTCAGATAAACAATTATTGATTAAGACAAACCCTCTGCAAATTATTGATTTGTAAAAAAAGTATGAGTCGAATTAGTTTCCTATTGATCATTCAAAATCAAACTCTGCTGAAAAATGTGTTGCGATGTCTCACAATAAACTTAAACTAGCTATTCAAAATGAAAATGAAATAATTTTATGGTCATTTAAAACCTAAAAAGTGGACCATGTGTTTGTTAATTCAATTGGATGTGCATAGGCTTTGGTATTTTCAAATAATGATCAGCTATTATTTACAAATTATGATGCCACTATTAAATGTTTTGATGTTACTAATTAATATTAAGTTAGAAAAGAATTTTAAATTGTCAATCCTGTAGAAGTCAATAAGCTATAATTTCAATAACTAGAGTGTTTTCCTGTGAAAAATGATGACTTTCTTTTTGTTTATTCGTTCACTTAGCCAATAAAAAGATCATTAATTGCACTAGCATTAACTTCAGATCATGAATAAAGTTACACATTATTTGAAAATGAATAAGGAATATCAAATTTTTTAACTGCATATTGTGAAGAAAGGGAGATTTTAGCAGTTTAGCTATAAGATATTTTCCAGTTATATGACTTAAGAAGTAAAACTAAAATCGCTACTTTGAATGATAATATGTACACTATATTTAATCCTAATTTCTTAACTTTTTCCAAGAACGGGAATTACCTATTATCCCTAGGAACAGATTAGGATATTAATTTATGGGATTTGTCATGTTTGGAAAAAATCAAATTAAAACTTAATAATCTAAACAAAATTAATTATTAAGAGATAATTAGTATTTCATTTCTTGATGATTAAGATTCAATTTAATTGGTTCAAAAAGACGAAAATGTGTAATTTGATTCTATTTCAAACTACAATGATTTTTATTAAATCTTTTTAGAATAGGTATATTATGAACAGCTTATAAAGAAGACTTAGCATCATATAATGGCTGAGGATGAAAAATATATTTTATATATTAAAAGTGTAGTAAATGAGAAGTTAATTTATAGTTTTGATAAATTTCGAAATTAAATCTATTGCTCAACTTTTACTCCATGTGGTTAAAACCTTATTGTAGGAATGAATGATGGATCAATCTTATTTTTTAGATTAAACAATGATCTTTAACCTATTTGCTTCAAAAGCATAGCAATAAGCTCTCCAATTTTATCTGATTAATGTAGCATCAGGTAATCTACGTTTGTGAACTAAGAGAATATTAGTTTAAAAAATTTATTCCTTGAGAAAGGGGCTTAAGATCAATGAATCAAAATATAAAATTCAATTATAATTATCTTTAAAAATCTATTCTCGAATTAATGATATTATTTAATGTAGTCATATAATTTAATTATCCTGATTTTTTCCACAAATTAATGATTTAAGCATTATTACAAGTTGGTAGTATCTGTATAAAAATGCGATTTACACCAAAATAACAAATTTTAATAACTATTATGTTAGTATTTCAACTTTGAGAATCTTTAATATTTCCGCTTTCAGTCTCGAAAGTCATTGCCCTAACAAATATAATCATTGATAGTGAGGAGAATTAATCAGTAAATCAATTTTTAAGCAATTTCTTGCAATTATTATGATCTTTCCAAAAAAAAATGTATATCTAACATTTTTTAAAGAGCTTTATTTATAATACTATAATAAGAATATTTAGTTAATATATTTCAGCAAATTAGTCTAAGAAGCACGAACTATCAAATTATATTGACAAATAGTTCTAAACACACCTTCTTTGTAAACTCAGATTAGGCATCTCGATTTCTTTTATTTTGGCATTTTTTAAAGTCCCTCAATAATCACTACATTGTAGTATTATTTTAAGCTTTCCTATACGCATATATTTCTAGATGTTTTTATATTAAGCCTAAGATCAAATAAAATTGTTATTAATCATTATATATATAGATTCATTAACTAAGTTTAGGTTTCGCATTATTTCATTGAATCTTGCAAGGCAATCCGCATTTATGTATTTTATATGCTGTGCTAAATATGTCAAGTTTTAGTAATCTGAAGGTATGGCTTTGACTTCACAAGTCCATCCTAGCCATATATGCATTTTCCTTCATAAGGCCAGAATCAAAGGTCTTAGGATTTTGGAATATTAGTAATTTTTCAGGGTGACTTGAAAAATATAATATGATGCTCGTTCTCATTAATAAATTAATCAAATTAATATATCTCCACCTCTACCAAATAGTTTTCAAAATAGATGTTAGTGTGTATTACCTTGTTTGAATTAATTTTTTTGCTTTATCTATTCTGATTTCGTATATATAATATTTTTAATAATTGTAAAAATGAATTAATTTATGAATATATAATTTTCCACATTTTGAATACCTTTCATACAATAACCCTATCTTATCTCTTCTATTCAGAGTTTAAATCTCTGATTAAGTGTTCATAATATATGTTCTTAATAATTTGGTTTGAATGATTTACGAATGCATTTTTCTAAAAATATAGTAGTTTTATGATTCATTTCTCAATAACTGAAATAAAACTCATTAGCTTCACTTCTTATTATCTATGTGACAAGCATCGCTATAGAATTTTCAGAATCCCTTGTATATTTGTTGTGTTTTAGTAAGAATTTGTTTATTTTGGCTTATTGTGGAATTTAGTAAATATTGATGCCAATTCATTATAAAAAATTTAATATAAAAAGGAACGCAATGACATTTTTCTTAAGAATTAATAACTAAATTAAGGTTTTACTAAGAATTTCTGTAATTCTAAAATTTTGATTGAAATATTTTGAAAATCTAAATAGTGCCATCTTTTTCAACTATCAATAGCAATATGTTATGCTTTATAAGGATTTCGGAATAATTGTATTCCTGATAACCCAGTTGGTAATTTTGCTCTGCAATTAATTTAGTTTGTTTCAAATACAACTCATAGGTTGGTGTTAGCATATTAAACAATTGAATAATGAAATATTGAATTTTAGTTTTACTAATTTTAGTCTCAATTTAGCAAATAGTAGTTAATGTAGTTGGCAATATATGAGTAATTTTTCTTCATTTATGTAATTCCAATATAATACATTAAATTTAATTTAGTAGTTTATAAAAAATAATTTATGGTGCAATTTGTTTATATAATGTAGCATTAATAATATTATTAAATGAAAACAAGAAAGTCATTTCGAGTTAGCTTTTAAATTGATTTTGTTAAGTATCAGTTATAATTACAATAAGGGAGCATCTTTTTACAATGCATCAATTTATTTTTGATTTTGAATATTTTTTCTAAAAATGAGTGAGAATCTAGATTGGATTATTCTACAGTTTACAACCATTGCTAATCAAACATAAAATGCTCAGGTTTTTCACCTTTGAAAGAAAAATAACATCACAAAATTAATTAATTAAAAATAAAATATATATAAAAAAAGATACAGCACCTTTCTTTATTATAAAAAGCATAATATTTGAGAAAAAGATTTAAAATTTAATGTAAACAAAAAATTCATTCGACATTGCCCCTGCAGAAACAATGCTGTTAAAAGACTCGTAATAAAAGAAATAGGTTCGTTTCAGATAGGCTTTGGTCGCCGGTCTGATTCTGGCTGCTGTTTTAAGTCTTACAATAGTCTTCGTACCTAAAGGTGAGAGTGTTCCAACTTACACTTTAAATTAGAGAAGTTCATATTATTCTTAAGATTAATTATGTGTATATTAAGTTTCAACAGGCTCAACAAACTGCACTCAAATTGCTGCAAACACAACTACTGTAACTGTGGATTCTAACCAATAAAACACCACTCATATGATAATCTTGGAAGGAGTATAAGTAACTTAGAATACAACCTATTCAAATGGAACAGTCGTTCATGACAACTTGTTCGATGCCAATTTGAACATTTCCTCAGAATTATCGAGAAATTTGCGTCTACTTCAACTTTAAGCTGATGGATGTTATGGACCATGTTATGACGAAATGCCTGTCGTCACCTTTGTAACTGATAATTAAAATGGTTAAGTTATTGATATTGGTGTACCATAATCATTAAATGGTTTAATGTTGTAAACTTTAATCGCAACCGTATAACATTTAGGGCCAAATGTATAAGGAACAGAAGTTGATTAAGACTCAATTGTTAACCCATACATTGTTGGAAAATACGAATTTGTTGCAACAAGAGACGTTGAAACAAGCTGGTTCGGAAATACCAAGGTCACCAAATAAGTAACTCAAGATGATTGTTTGAATGAAAACTTTTTAATTGGAGATCAATTCTCTTAGAATTAGACCACAACCTTAAGCAGATAGAATCAAATTGTTTCATCCTCAATTTCAGTTAACATTGTTATGGATCACTCTGTACAACCTGAAGGTGCTGATGTTGAATACTCCTATAAAACCATAGTGTCAGATGAATCCAATTTGGTTTTAAGTAACTCACAAATTGACGTCCAATTTACATAACTTCTCTAAGAAATTAGATCAAAGCAAAACATTCAAACTTACTCCTTGACAACAATTTAAGATAGACTCATTAAGAACAAATAGAAGAGATCATTGAACATGTATGAGATGAAACAAAAGGCTGATAAACACAGATTACTTATCTCAGAATCACTTCCAAACAATTCTTTACATTGTCCATCAAATGGTTTAATCAATTTCTAAAAGACTGTTCTTACCTTCTCAGTAAAGGGAACTAAATTATAATTAGATTTAGCACTTAAAGGAACAGCAGGTAATGGCATTGCTGATTTGAATGTCAAATTCTGTGTTGCTATGGAAGGAATGTGTTTGTTTGAAATTATTAATTCAAACTTAAATTATACTGGATAACCATTCAGAGATATCGAACTTAATGGTATGTAAAATATCTCATTGTTCGAAACCGAGTTGGTAGTCTAAGGATTTACAGTCGGAGTTGGAGCTGATTTCAGTTACGGATTCCTCGTTTAATAAAATGTCGAATAAAATGCAACTGTCTTTGCAGTCCAAGATACCTTCATTGTTCCAGTCTTATTGACAGTTTATGGAGAATCCTCAATCCCAGATTTGGTTGCTGTTAGAACAGCTGTTGTTGCTGACATCTTCACAGGAAATGTGACAAGCAATGTTGCCTTTGGATATAATCAAAAGATCCAATCAATTAACACAAATGCATACACTTTGAACTTGAACCTAGATATGGAAGAATTCAGAGCTATCGTTATTGCCTAATACCAACATAGTGAATTATCAACCAAGCAAAAATGCAAGAGACACTTGGGATTCTTTAAGGTTTGTTATCCAGTTCCTATCGCCGGATTATTAGGAGATTGGTAAAACCTTTATTACAACAATTGGGGATTCCCAGTTTTAGTTTAGAACTTTACATTGTATGGTGTCTAATCAGATTGTTTCATGAAAAATGAATGAGAAATAAATAACAATTAAAACAAAATTAATTTTAATTCTTCATATCCTTCCTGGCCTATTCTCTTCCTTTGTTTTTTCATCAGCTTCTTTTAAAATAATCATAAATTGTTCAAATTTCTTATGTATTCCCCTTATGGTTATTTATTAATTATTTACGATTAATATAATTAAACAAGAAATAAATTATCCAACTCTATTACAATCTTCAAATTTTTTAATCTCAATTTTAACAAAACTAATAAACAAAATATAAATTATGATATGACTTTTATTTTGCTCTTACTTCTTTTAAATTAACAATTAATAATATTTGGATTAAGAAAATAAAATATTCGCAAAACCATCAAATTCTCCAATAATTAATGATTCCTTTGAGAGTTTCTTTTAAAAAATTCATTCGTTTTGCAATATTTCCTCTATATTTTTGGAATTCTGGTTAAGACTAAGGGAGGCGAATTTAGTTCTAAATCTCGCGTAGGATTTCTTAAATTAATCTATTTTCTCTTTCCTCAATTAAAGAATAATTAATAAAACTATTAAATGATTTATGGAGTATTCTATATTTAGAGAAATATTTAAGCAATCTATAGTTTTTATGGATTTTTGGATTCTGATTTTTAGAAATAATTATTTTACTATGAAAAATACTTTTGCTCTAGCATTACTACTCTTAATCACCTTTGAAGTTTCTTGCTTATCAGTTTCCACTACTGAAGAGAAGCCATCTTTTAAATTATCTTTTCCAAAGACAACAAATTCAAGCACCACTTTCTATATGGATTTTTCCAATACTTTCGAGTATTATGCTGTCGAATTGAACCAAACATCCCCAGGGAATGCTGAGATTGTTTTTTTGTATATGGAGTCAAAGCCTCCTTCTGTACAAGATGGAGAACTGATCTATGATGATATGGACTACGATAGGTATATTCAAAGAAATAATCATTAGCTATGCTTAGAAAAAGAGTGAACACTTTTTATTGGTCTCAAATCCACTCGAAAAAATTTACTTTACTATATTCACTAATATTTCAATCTCTTATGATATAATTGTCTCGGGATCTCATGAAAAACTATGTCCAAAAGGATGTAATTAGAATGGATAATGTATAAATGGTGAATGCAAGTGCAACAAGCCTTTTATTGGAAGGGATTGTTCAGTTCTAGCTATTGAAATTGAAAAAGACAAAATGTTTGGAATTGGTGCACCAGAAGAATAATTCTACTTCTTTTATGAATAGGATGGATCTCAGCAACTAAGATTAGAAATATCAGTATTTATTTATACTATTCAATAAGACTGAATAACTTGATTCAGTATACGTTTATCTTCTTGTTCCTGATCTTATTTACATACCTACTCCTTCGGTTTATAATCAAGGAGCAAACATAACAATTGGATAGCCATTTTCAGTGATGATAAATTAGAGAAATAGTAGAAGAGATGATGATGATGGAGAAGACAGTATTCCAGACAAGTTAGTTCTTCTTGTTTAAGGAAAGTCATTTGAGATAAATTTGGAAACCATCTCAGATGACAGATCAAAAAAAAGCAGACTAATCATAATCATCGTTTGTAGCATTGCAGGATCTCTATTGTTATGCTCAATTGGATTTTGTTCAAGAAGAGCTTTTTTAAAAAGATAAAGGGAAAAGTAGACTCCTGCAACACCCAATATCGATTTGGAAATTAAAGAGAAAGAATTAGAAATCCCAGCCTATCAAGAGTAAACCCAAAAACTGTATAATGATGCACTTGAAATTATATCTAATAAGGATCTCCAAGATGGATAAGATAACTGCGGAATTTGTTTGGAATCATTGAAAACAGCTAAAGTGATCTGTAAAATTCAATGCAGGTATTAATATTCCCCTATAATCTAGTCACGTGTTTCATGGTAGTTGTATAGAAACATGGCTTAAAAAAAATTCATATTGCCCTTTTTGTAGATTTGACCTAAAAATTAAAGCAATCAAAGAGAATAATGATGAGGAATTAATTCCAGAGCTATGAGAATTTTAACTCAGATGAATTATTTAAATTATTTACAATCCTAATAAATTTTTTACTCTTTTTCAATATGTTACAAAGTCATCAAAAAAGGAGAATGTAGTATTTTAATCTTCATTATATTCTCCTAAACTATCAAATCTTATCATCCATTTCAAAAGCAGCTGAATTTGGTACACTTATAATGAATTCATAAGTTAACAAATGTATTTATTCATTTCTCGAGTCTATAGAATGTAAATTTCCATATGCATATCATAATAATCTTAATATAGCAAATACCTTTCTCACTATATTATCATTACTTGCAATTATCTAGAACTCAATAAGGAAAGCATTGATCTTTTATTGCAACATTTTTTCACGAGCATCTTAATAATTTATGTAATGATAATATCAAATCAATTTCCACATTTATCTAATAATTTGTTGAAATAATTTATTAATTATATGTAATGTATCTCCTCATATGATTATATAATTCATTATGCAAATATTGAATTAGTAAGATTTCATAATAAATATAATTTCAAAATATATAATCAATTAGGACTTTATCAGAAGCATATGATTAAATAATGAATTTCCTATTTATTAATATATTAATTATAAAGGAAAGTAGATGAAGGTATTGAATTTTATATATTATCATGAAAACATCTATTTAGCTTCAAAATATATATCATCTTGAATAATATCAGGCTTTTCTATTTCCATCATTTAAAAAATATCTTTAATTGCAGGATCTAAATTATCTCCTAATTCCTTGTTATTATTCAAAACACTAAAAATGCTATTCACAACACCTAATTGAATCTAATTCTCTAATTCTTCAACATCTCCCTTTTTTGTTAGATCTTACTCTAGTTTGTCGATCTTCGACAAAAAATTATCTGATTTTTGATCAATTACTTATCTTTTCATGCTAGATATCAACTTCTTTTTCATAAAATTAATCATTTCTTCGGACAAGTGTTCTTTGTAAAAAGGTTCATCTATAATTATCATCAGTGTATCATAATTTATCGGAATGAGCAATCTTTATTTTTACATGCTTTTTTTATCTTTCTATTGTTTTTATTCAACGACATTGGCTTCGCTGTTAATTGAAGAAGTCTTCATATATGGAAGTAATGACATGGCTAATTTACATTAATGATTACCCATTAAATCCTCAGTTCTTTTCCCATTGTTAAATTCTTGTAATTTTTTCATTATGTCTTATCCGAAGATTTACATACCCAAATTTGAAGCTTTATTATCTCGTTTATAGGTTTTTCTATCTCTATTTCTACTTGAGGTTCGTGAGGATTTCTAATTAAAGATTAATCAAACTTTTTTTTTGGATTTTCGTTTTTAAGAGGACCTGTGGCTACTAGCTTTTTCTTTTTTCTTGTTTTTTTTTCTCTCTGGGGTTGGCATAAAATAAAATAAATTAAATTTATTTATTAATAACTTTTTTGATGTAAACTTTTATTAATCATTTTCACCTAAACAAAAGCTTAGCTTCCTCATAAAGATCCTTTTCCACAATATTTGGTGTTTCAATTTCCATAGGTTAAAGTAAATCTTTTATATCTGTACTTAATTAACTTTGTTGATGTCCATCTTCTTTGTTATTTTGAAGCACTGTGAAAATACTCTTGATTAAATTTAATTGTTATTGTTGCTATTATTGTTATTGTTGTTCGTCCAATATCATTGGCTTTTTAAGATCTTATTCCAATTTCTCAATTTTTTCATTAAATTCTTCTTATTTTTGGTCTTGAACTCTTTTTTTAATTAGATCAATTATCCTTCTTTTAATTTAAGTTATTAATTCCTCGGGTAATTAGTCTTAATAAAACTAATCTTCTAAGATTACCATCAATGTGTCATAGGTAAATGGTACTAACATTCTCTACTTGAAAGTGTTTTTCATATTTTTTTACTATCGCGAGCTCTTTTTAGTTCCGGGTGTTGGTAAAACTATCGGAATTTGCTGATTAACAATAGGAAGAAAGCCATATGCTTTAAACAATTAATTCATTCATTACCTGACAATCCCATTAATTATTATTAATCATCATTTGATGGTCTTCTACCATCCTTCATTTATTCTTAAATCTTCTTTAAAATTTCTAAATTGAATCCAGGAAGACTTCCAAACATGTCTGTTAATTGCTTATCACTTAGAGTTTATGTATTATGTGGAGATTCCTTAATTTCTTTTTTATAATCCTTTTTTTTCTCTCTCCCTCTGCTTGGTGTTCTCGAAGATTTCTAATTTAAATTAAAAGTAAAATTACCTTTTTCTTCGATTTATGTTTCGGAGAAGATCTGTGACTGCTATCCTTGTCTTTTTTCTTATGTTTATTCTTCTTTCTTTCTGGCGATGGCATTTAATCAAATAAATAAATATATATTTTATTTAAACACTAAATTAAGATTCCTTCTCAAAATTAAGACAATACTCTGTACCATTTTATACACATTATGAAATTAAAAAGCATTTTTAAATTCAATATAAAAAAGTAATGTGTGTTCATCAAGACCGCTAAATTTATAAAGTAATTAAAAGAGTTGAATTCTTCACTTATGAGATTTGCAAATTTAATTTCAAAATGCAACTTTGATTATCTATCATTTTTTATTAGTGTAATTCACATTAAAGAAATGATTAAAAAATAATTCTACAGAATAATATTTATTTATTTATCCAAATAGGGTTATGAATGAGAAAGTAATTGCTGATACTGCAAATTCTTAATAAGAAGAACTCTTAAGCTTTAAGGAGTTTGAAAAAATAAAGTTCACCTTCACTGGAATAGATAAGTATATTATTATGGTAAATTAATAAATCCTATTAAAGGAACTAAAAACCAGCACTCCTTTAGAAGATTTAAAATTCAGGTTTTCAAGTATTTTAAGAACAGATTTCTTTGCTAAAAGACTAGAATACTAAGTTATTAAAGGATTTAAAGAGAAAGTATTGTCCTCTTAAAAATCTCTGCTAAATTAAGGAATTCCATCTGCCTTTAAGGTCCAAGGTCAAGGGTTACTACTTAACATTCAAGTAAAGATTATAGAAGAAGGAGCATGATTTTTAATTCATATATGCTTGGAAATTTATAAAATTCGAATTAATTCTAAGAGACTTAGGGGCCATTTGAATAAAGGATTAAAACAATTTTAAAATGAAGAACATATGGAAAATATATTATTTTATTCAAAGCGAATTTAGACAATATTTTAGATCTTCTTCGATACAACCATTTCTCTCATATAAAAATATTATTAGTTGCTTTAAAATTGTATTGTCAAACTATGCAGAAAAATAGAAGTACATCATAATTGTTAAATAATCACAAAATCATAAAAAAATCATCATAATCTAAGTCGAACATTATTTTAAGTAATTCTTCTAGGTGACTTTTTTCCTTTTGAGAAAGTAGTGGCTTTTTTTGAAGATTTCATTTATAACATGTTTGATGTCTAGATTAAATAAGATACAAATACATATCGTAGATTTATTTTTAGTATATTCAAGTGTTAAATTTATGGACTTAGATTTAAATAATGCATTATATAGTATATAAATAGCAGATCGTTGTATTTCACTAAAATTTTGACTTAATAACATGCTAGCCTAAAAGGATAAACAAAGATAAATTAAAAAAAAAGATGAAATTATTTTTTCTTCTTCTAATTTTGTATAGTATTAAATCTAGTTTCTTCATAAATTGTTAATTATTAAAATACATAATTGTCTCAACATTGAATTCTGAAAATAGCAATATAATTGAAATTTCATAGCGTAAACAATAATATTAACTTCTGATAATTCTCTAGTATGCAAGACATTCAATCCTGGTTTATAAATTGTTTTTATAATCTCTTTCATCAGAATAATCAACTAAAATTTCCTTATTTTTCTAGATCAAAGAAAGAGTGAAGGAACTTTTTCATGTTTATATTTATTAATATTATATTAATAATTTATTATTATGAGTTTTAGTATACAATAATTATAGTTGATGTTTGAGGATAAAGATAAAAGTGAACCACACACACCAATGTTTAATGGAAAAGCAGGTTCTTTAGATAAATTTGATTTTCTTATTTCATAAATCGAAGAATTGAGATTATAAAATATTGAATTTCAAAATTAAATCTAAGTTCATTAGAATGAATTAAATTTGAAAATAAGTATTTATTTGTTACATAATAAAGAGAATAATGATGTAATATAAACTTAAATCAAAGAAATTGAAAAATAAATATAAAATGAAATTATTGAAAATAAATTATTAACTTTTAATTACATAAAAAAACACGAAGATTGTTTTGAGATAAAAAAATAAATCATAAATACTAACAAACAATAATAAATAGTCTCAATTCCAGATCTAAACAATCCTAATAGACCCTCAGATTGCTCCACTGCTCCAAGTCCTGGGATGAAGGTTTAAATCAAAAGAGCTTATAAAAAGGGTTCTAGTGTCATTTTTAGTGACTTTTGATTAGGTTTTATATATTTGAATAGAGAATGAGTAGAATTATAAAATAATTATAATATAATATTAATGAGTTTTAGTCATGAGTAATTGATGAAGATATTAAATAATGAATCCTTTCAATTATCAGAACCTACCACCCCATAAGTATAACCTAAAGAAGATGAAACTTAATTATTATAGAAGTAGTTGTTGGAATTAGTATAGCAAAACTAGTAATTTAATAGTTAACTAACATAAATTAAGGATTAGATTACTAAATAGGATTGTAAAATTTTATTGATTACTTAGTGATATATTAAAACTTGACAAAAACTTAATAAAGATTAGAGAATCAATTACAAGAATAAATGTAAAAAAAAAAAAAATTATAAGAAGAATGTGATTTAAAAGATTAAGAAGAAAAAGAATTAATAAAGTAAGTATCAACCACTAGACCTAAAAAAAGATTATTTACATAATAAAGTGTTGGCAAGGTAATAAATTATAATGTGACGTATAATAATAATTAAAAGAAAAATTCAGTTATTGTGTCAATAAAAAAGTGATTAAATATAAGTCATAAATTTTGAACTATACATTTTATTATGATTTCTATATTTTGAAATTTTCACTCAATTAATTATCAATTAATGATTTAATTTATTGTTTTTATAAATATCAGCTCAAACTAAATCTTAATCTTCATTTGAATACTTCTTACAATTTTAGATTTCGTATCAATTTTTACAAAAGTATTGTAACTCTTTTCAATATGAATAAGTCGTATAAGAATGAAAATCAATAGAAATTCAATTATCAACCTTTTTTATCCCAAAGAAAGAATATATTTAGTAGTAAATGTTCTAGACATATATAACTCGCTTTAAATAGCTTGTTTAAATATTTCCCCGAATATTCTTAATGCTTATTTAATACTTCAAACTATATCATTTTTAAAGTAATAGTTATTCTCTTTCTCTTCTAAATCTAGGTTATATAATTTAGCCGATGAAATCTACTTTCAAATTCCTGCACTTATTTATTCTAAAACCAAAATTTAGTAGCAAAAATAAATACTCCTTCTAAAATGCACAATTATTTCAAATGAAATAAAACAAATTCCTTAAAATATATACTTAAAATACGTATGTTTGAAAACAGCAATAATACCAAAATATAGAATGATATTTATATTTTTGGAAAATGGAACTACTTAATTATTAGATGATTTTTAATCTTCAATAATCTGTAATATTTTTCTTTTCTTTGTATCATTTAATTCAAATGAAATTTGAAGATTTAAAGAATAATATACCCTTTATAATTGAAATAAATACAATCTAGTATAGCTCAGAATCTCAAGGCTTAGAACTCTCAAATTTTTATTTCTTTTTTAGAGACAAATTATGATTAACAAATTTGGTTTTTGCTATCGTTGTATATATATTTACTATATTTTCATTTTTTTTATCTTTTAAATCTTAGCCTTTAAGAGCTATAATTATTTTTTTATTTATGGGGAGTTAAAATTATTATTAATTTATAAATTAATCATGAAAATATTCCTCTTTAGCCTTCAATTTTCTACATAAATTGAGAAATCTCCTAAGTTCCTGACATTTAATAACTAGTAATTATGTTAGTTACAATTATTTTATTTATAGTAAAATTATAATCTCTTTGGCAATAAATCCTATGATTTAGGATTTTTTGATAAGCAGAATTATTGTAATTAGCATCATAATAAGATATGATAAATCTAATACTTAATTATCATTTACTTAAATAATAATTCTATAGGTCCAATTATATTTTTTAAACAAATATGACTTCAGATAAGATTCTCTAATTGTGAATACTAAATCATCTTAGATAGCAAACTTAATAATTATATTTGTTCTGTAGCTTTAGGTAATCAATTAATTATTCTTTAAAAAATTGTATCATAATAAATATTATAAATGTAATTTTAATGCATAATGATCCGAAGGAGTCTTCACTTCTCCCTTCATTGAAGGTTTGTTGTCCTTATAGAGTGGTATTTCCTTCGTGCCTAAAATCTCTATATTGCTTGCTTAATATGAACCTCTTTAATAATATTATGATATACCCTTTTTTTAACAATATTCTATCAAATCTTCTTTTGAAATCATCTATTATGAAAGTGTATCCAGGATTGTCAGGGTAAAGTTGTTTCCATAAATCAGCGTATTATGGTGAGATAGATTGCTCATCTTTTTAAGTTTCCAAATTAAAATCCCCCATGATAATTACATTCTTATATTTTTCTAATTCTTTATATGTAGTTTACAGTTAATCATATCTTGCTTATTCATTATAAACCATTGATTCAAGATGAGAAGTTCCAACAACTAAAGAATGCCCATTAATTTAACATTCTAAATATAAGAATGTTCTTCCAAATTGAGAGTTGAATGGCAACTCAATTATAAAAGTTGGTTTAAATTTGCTCAGTATTAGTATACCGTAACCCTTAATAACATTTCCAGTGATGAAATAAGTTGATTAGATAAATTTATCATTGGACATCATAATCTAAAAGTCTCTGGTTACTTCTTGCAGACATACGAAATCGCAATTGTTCTGTTATATTATTTTCAAGATTTCTATAACTCTTTCGTTAAAATTATGTTTTTCAAACCAAACATTATATGTGAGAAATGAAATCTACTTATTGTTTAGTTTTTAATCATAGTTTTTGCAATTCTCAATTTTCCATCCATCATTTTCAAATGCGAAATATGAAAGTGAGTTTGGTGGTTAAAAAAATTGTTTTATATAATTCATATATGATAATTTTCGATGATAGAAATTAATTTATATACGTATTTAGATATATGGAACCTTTTAAGATTTGTTTAGTTGGACATTCCGCATCTGGAAAATCCTCTATTCTTGCTGCTTTACAGAATAAAGCCTTTAATCCTTACATTCCCTAAACTATTCAAAGTAATTGTTGGAAATATACCCATCAAAATAGAAGTTTTAAGATTTATGATACGAGTGGATTGGATAAATTTCAAAAATCCACCATTAATTGCCTGAAAAACTCAAACCTAATTATTATCTGCTTTGATTCTTCATCAAAGAGGGCTTAAATACATGTGGAATAATGGTTGAATATTGTTAGAACCTATAAATCAGTAACTCCAATTGTCTTTATTGGCACTAAAACAGACAAAGCACTAAAGTAGTAAAATGAATATATGCAGAGATTGAGGGAGAGATATCCTTTTTACTTAACTTCTGCTTCTAATCCTCAAGGAGTAAAAGATGTGTTTAGAAATATAGAATAAAATTTAATCATACCAAATTTAGTTGTTGAAAGAGTCTAAATAAGACGTAGAGAGGATGAAGAAGTAAAGAGCGGTTGGTTTTGCTTTTGCTGAACTTAATATCAAATGAGATATTATTTTAACTTATAAATTAAATTTCTATTTTAATCATTAATTAAATAATTAAGGATTTTACATTATTTAAAATATGAGAGATCGTTTCTCAAAAGAATCACGATATATTGATCATGGTTAGAACAAACAATATAAAAATATATAGATTTATTAATTCTAAATTTATACCATTATTTTATTATTGATTATATTTAAAAACTGAAAGGAATGCAGTAAAAATTGAAAGAACAGTATAATGATAACCTCATATCAAGGATGTAAATTGGTTCCAAAACTATTGCCTCTATTATTATTTGGTATCCTTCAATTAAATTATTACTGGATGCCCAAAATCAGAGTTCCCAAGAGTCTAATGAAAAATGATGGCCATCTCATCTTTATTCAATTATTTAATTGAGATTTTGAATATGCATTTATAAAAATTGATTATCCTATTGATAGTTGTAAGTTATTAATATTGAGATGGTATTTCTTTTTAAACATCCTTAATTAGATTATAAAGCTGCTTATTGTAAGTTTAAATTTGATTCAATTTCAGTTGAAAATAATTATCGGATTCAATTTCTTCAATTAGCTTGGATGTTAAAGAGAAGTATTCTTGATTTTGGCTTTACAAAATTGATTAATTTTAATCCCTAAAGGCTTTACTTAACAATTTAATTTCGTTGCTTTATTGGAGTTGCTATTCCTTCAGTTATGATGTCTGATGTTTAACAAGGTTTAAAATAGACTCGATAGTGTTTTTTTCTTCAGTGATTGCGAATGGGGCAGGGGATTTAATATTTTGTTTCATTTTTAAATTTAAATAATTTCTTAATGAAATATTTATATTATCATTAATCATTATAATATTCATTTTAAATTCTTTTTTCTTTCTTTGCCTTCAAATTATTTACTCTTTATGCAATGTATTTCAAATCGATGATGCTTTTGGAGTGTATTTTGTCTAGTTCCTTCAATTCATCAATGATGTCTTTGATCACTAGCTGTCTATACTTTTAAACACTTTCAACAGACTTGGTATATTGTTCCAATTGCTGATCATAGAGATTGACTTTATCTTGGGCTCCATTATTAATTAGATCATCCAGTTTGGTCTCATACTCCTGCATCTTTTGTAATCGAATTTGTAAATCCTTAAGAAATTAGTTGTGATTTAAATTTACCTTATAATTTTTGGCATAGTTGATCAAATAATGAGGTGGCGCAAATTGAGTTTTGATTTTGTCTTTGCTAACTCTATTTGGATCAATGGTTTCGACCATAATGGAAATGTCTGATTTGGAGAAGATCTGTTTTTCCTCCCACTGTTTAAGAAGATCTTTGATTTATTATTTCAAATCCTACGAGGAATTGTGGTCCTTCAGTAATGTGAAAGCCTTGATAATTTGTTTCTTGAAAGCATCCCTCATCGTAGCATCTAATAAAGTAATAATGTTTAGTGAATACATGCTCCCTCAAATCTAATGACAGATTCAATGACTCTTTGGGCCATGTGAAGTAATGAGATGATTACTTTATCTCCATCCACATTTCCTTTTGCGAAATGGAAGTGATTGCACCACTCTTCACATAAAGATTGCTGAGACTTCTGATCATTGCTGTGTCTAATGTAGAATCTGGCAGCTTCGTCGATGTGGGATTGCGATAGATGGATGTTGTTGAGGAGTTGACTGAGTGAAACAATGCTGATTTCGTTCATCATTTAGGTCCTTAATGTTTCTTGAAGTGTATAATTTTAATAATACAAATTTTACTTTAGGTGAAAATAATCATAGTATAAATATATCTTATTAATATAATCAAATAACAGATAAATTTTATTAAAAAATAAACATACATTTGTTTTCCAATGAATGATTAAACACCCCATCAAAGAGATTGATCTCAACAAACAATCTTGGACCAGTCCAAAAGACAAAAGTGATCGTGTATAATTTCATAACTATATTTAAAGTTCATCCCACGTAATGTGCAATCCAACCTCTATCAGTTATTCATGAGCGAGGAAAATTGTTAAGGCAACACATACAACAACCTTCTCCAGTCCTCAATATTGGGAAAATCGCCAGCCATTAATTAAAAACTCTTTAATTACAAAACAGAAAATAAACAAAATGAAATGAATAAAATCATTAATAATGGATTGAACTTCTCTAATACTCCAACTAAGGTTGAACCTGAAAAACCCCCTCGCAAAATTAATAAAAGACCTTATAAAGTGTTGGAGGCTGAAAACCTATAAGATGATTTTTACCTGAATCTATTAGATTGGTCCCCATTTAATGCATTGGCAGTAGGACTTGAAAATTCAGTTCTGATTTGGTCAGGACATACCTCAAAGGTGTCTCGTCTTTGTACACTTGAAGATCCTGATATGGTATGTAGTGTAGCGTGGTCTCAACGCAATCAACATCTCTCTGTAGGAAACACTATGGGTGATGTTGATGTTTGGGATGTAGTAAAATAGAAAGTTATTAGAAAATGGAATGGACATTAAGGTAGAATAGGATCTTTGGCTTGGAATAATTATTTATTAGCCACTGGAAGTAGGGATAGAAACATATTAGTTAGAGATGTTAGATGTCCTAATGAATCCATTCAAAAGTATGTTGGACACAAATAAGAAATTTGTGGATTGAAATGGTCCTTTGATGAACAACTCTTGGCATCAGGAGGAAACGATAATAAGTTATTTATTTGGTCCTTGAAGAATCAAGGAGAATTAACTCATTTCTCACAACATTAAGCTGCAGTTAAAGCTATTGGATGGTCTCCCCATCAACACAATATTGTTGCATCTGGTGGTGGTACTGCTGACAGATGCATTAGATTCTTTAATACTCAAACTATTGAATAAGTAGAATGCATTGATACTGGTTCTCAAGTTTGTAATTTAATGTTTTCTAAAAACTCAAATGAATTAGTTTCAACTCATGGTTATTCCCTAAATTAAATTATTGTTTGGAACTATGCTAATATGTCAAAGGTTGCTACTCTAACTGGTCACACTTAAAGAGTCTTATATTTAAGTGGTTCACCTTGTGGATAAAATATTGTTACTGGAGCAGGGGATGAAAGCCTTCGTTTTTGGAGTGTATTTCCATCATCTAATTCCAAAAATAACCATGGGATTACTAGAGCTGAAACTATCGATTTAAGATGAACGGTTTTTCAATTTGATTACTAATATTATATTTTTATTAATTATTACTGAAAAAATTTAAGAATGGCTAATAGATTGATTTAATACACTAAAAAACCTGTCATGTAAATAAGAAGATATTATATCCAACTGCTCTGTTGAGTAGATCTTCAATTAATTTAAATATTTAATTTAAACCTTTAAAATCATTAAGGGTAGCTAGTATTTTTTTAACAAAATTATTTTACTAGTTTTTCTTATTTGAATACTATTAAGATTGATAAGGGGTACATTAAATTAATTTAAAGAAAATTAAGTAAATTAATCAAAAGAGATTTTAATTGACGTATAGATTCATCAATAAAAACTATGAAATAATTTGTTGAATTTGAAAGTAGGTAATCAGAAGTGTAAATAACATATTTACTTGGTACAAATAGAAATAAATCGCATATAAAATTATAATTCTATATAAGCGTATTTAAGTAGTCATATAATAATATTTACCAAATCATAATTTCTAACAAACCTTTTCTAAATACGCTCTTTCTGCAAGCTCAGTGGATATTTCTGTTTTAAGCTTCTAAATCTCATCTCTTAAATGAGAATTTTCTTTTAATTATTATGAAAGCAAGAGTCTTTTATTGCTAAACTTATAAAAAAAGAGATACTTCTTCTAAAGATTCGCCAAAGTTTGTTCCATTTGTAATATGTATATTTTCAAGGTTCTGTTTTCTTCTTACATATCATATCCTCTTTAGAAGGGACTCTTTGATTGTCTCTTATTTTGCATCGGTTAAGTATAGACTCTAAAGCATGGTTAATTTACTCTGATGATTGGCTAGGTTTATTAAACTCTTTGAATGAAAGAATTGGCTTGACCGAAACTAAAGGTTTACTAGCTTATTGGAGGTGGCTATTATAATCTCATAAGGCTGTTATTAATTTTTATTGAGTAATTATTTGAAATATTTAGAAGGAAATTAATTCATCATAGATTTCATCAAATATTCTAATATATATGCATAAATCTTTTGACTTTATTACATGTTCAACAAAGTCATTTTTGATATCCATGTAAATAAGTAATTTATAAATAGCTAATGCCAAATAAAATGTTCTCTGTAGAATAAAAAGAACCTTTTTTAAAGATAAGCTTAAGATTACATTAGGAGATGATATATCTAATAAAGGATTAAAAGTGCGGGGAAAATAATAAAAATAAGGATTTAGTCTATTATTAGGTGTGATAAATTTAAAACGATGAACGGAAAATATTTTGAAGGAACATTATAATTATTTTGGTCATAGATATTGAAATTGATTCAAAAAAGTCTGATTGAAGCATGTAATTAATTGCAGTAACCTGCTTTCAAATAAAGTGGAAACCACTAATGAGATATACATTTAAGATAAATGTTAACCCATTCAGGATATATAGAATATTTAAAAGTCACTCTTATTTAAGTTTTTAACATATTATACTCTCATTCTATCTATCTTTGATTTCTTCTCCTCAGCCACAGCATTTTATAATGATGCACCCTAAGATAGAGATGACTATTCCTATGCAGAGAAAAACTCTTGCTACATCCTCAGAATTGTCACCAAATTCACCAAAATAGAAGATGATGGAAATTAAAAGGCATGCAATAATTAAGGAGACAATAAATTTACGTCTTTATTCTTGTCCTATACCACAGCAGACAATCTCTGTTGATAAATTTTCCTCAATTTATCTGTTGACTCTTTTATATGTTTCTATTTGTTTCTATTATTTATTCCAATTCTCACACTTTTCACATTTACCATCATAGTTTTATATATAATTGCATTATATACACTAATATCTTATCATTTAAAATAATAAATTATATTATAATAATCCCATTAATGTTGAACTTATGCATTCTAAAGGAGAAATAGAAAACTTCAATTTGATATCGATTTTCACAATCTAATTGTATGTGATAGAACTTAAAGATTCGAGTTTTATAAAATCTAAATTAATATCGATTATTTGAATTTGATTAAAGAAATTCTATGCAAGAGACAATAATTTTCCAAACAAAGTAAGTTTAAGATAATTGAGTTCTCTCGTTTTTCCAGAATTCTTATTTGTTAATAATTATTATTTTTTATTAATTGCTATAGATATCGAAAACTACTATTTTAAGCTCTATTCTTAACCTTTCCATTTTTCTCAAACCAATATAATATTTACTTTGAATGTATTTTAGAAGATACTTAAGAAACATAATATCATTTTTGCATTTCTATTTAATTTAGATATTCCATGGAGAAATTTAATTATTATTACAAGAAAGGGATTTATATGGATAGCAGCAGTCTAATATAAAAAATATCCCTTCTGATAGAAACAATTTAAATTATCTTAAAAATACGTAATAGGCTCATTCATCAGTAGTTTTGTTCTATTAGGGTTTTGAAGTTTACTTAATTATTATTTTTAGTATATATTAGTTTTTTCTTAAATCAATATTATTTAACAATGAAGACTCTATCAAAGCTAATGTTAGAGTACTTAATTATTCTATAAACTGATAATACTTCCCCAAGTTTTAGAAGAATTAATTCCAATCAAGGTTTATCTTAATTATTATTTTCAATTCAAAAAATTGACTTTAATTAATTCCTTTTGGTTAAGACTACTTGTTTTTTATATTTTCAAATTTTACCATTTCCTATTTTATCAATTTTCAAAGAACATTTTAATATTTCAATCAAATTATAATCTCAACTAAGAGTTCTTATCAAATTAATTTTAATTAATTTATCTTGAATAATAGTCAGAGTTTAATTTCTAATAAATAATTTCTTCTAATATCAATTTAAGTGAAGTAAAAGGAAAAATATTATTTATTATTTTGCATTTAGAAATAGAAAATAGTAAATTTAAAAATCTTAAAATCTTTTAATCTAACTTTTCATGCATTTGTTTTCCATTTATGTTAAGAAGTAGAACAGAAATTCATAATTGCTATTGCTAATCAAATGAGGATCATCGAGAGGACTCTTTTTATAAAATAAATTAAGAATGTATTAAAATTTTTGAAATTGTATTATTTGCCTTTTCTTTTTGCCATTTTTCTAAAAATGAATTAAATTATAAAATTTATGATTTATTTGGTATTATAAAATAAAAGATATGATAAATTCATAATTCATAAATTTTGGAGAAAAAAATTCATTATATTAATTTATAAAATTATTTGTCATTTACACAAACAAGAAAATGCAGATCAGCAATTAATTGTAATTAAGCTCAACTTTACAGTAAGAATTATATAATATTTAGATAATTACTCAAACAGTTCTATATTCCTTAATTACTATAGTTTTAGTTAAGTATATACAGCAATACTAGTTAATAACTTCGATTTACGAACTAAAGTGCAAATTAAAATGACCAATTGATCATCAAAGAGGAGTACTAAGAAGAAGCCCAAACAAATACGAAGAGTACTTTAAGCATGAAAACAAAGTTTCAGACAAAAAAATAAGGCAATTCCTCAGTTTTGCATAAATTAGAACATTCTTAGAAATATAATGATCAAGTGAAATCTAAAAAAGTAATCAAATGATTATAAATATTAATTTAATAAACTTACTTTGATAAATTATTGTACTTTTTCATGAAGTTTTGCTTGAAAATAAACAGGAATAATTTCCTAACAGTATAAAAATTATGGAAATATTTTATGTTTATTATATTATTATTGAACATATAAATAATAATAATTATTTTTTTAAAAATGGCAGAACCTTTAACAATAAAATTGTTAGTAGTCGGAGATGGATCAGTCGGAAAAACCTGCATATTATTGAGGTAAATCAGTTTAAAACTTGATTATTTATAGTTATACAACAGATAAATTCCCAACTGATTATGTACCAACTGTTTTTGAGAATTATTAATCCAAAGTTAGTGTTAATGGATAACAGGTTAATTTAAGTTTATGGTATGACATTATTAAATTAGGGATACTGCTGGATAGGAAGGATATAATCAAGTTCGATAATTGAGTTATGATGGAACTGATGTGTTTTTAATTGTTTATTCAGTAACTGAGAACACCACTTTTTAGAATGCACTTGATAAAGTAATCTTAAACTTAAACTGTAGTGGTATCCTGAATTGAACAAAGATAAATTAGCCTAAGTTCCAAAGCTAATTGTAGGAAATAAAATTGATATGAGAGATGAGGGTAATTCAAGACACATTAAAAAATCAGCTGTAATTAAATATTTAGTAATTCAAGGCCGAATAATTAGTAAAGGGTATCAATGCTCAATTATTTGAAGTTTCGGCCTTAACTTAGGAAGGATTAAAACCCTTATTTGATACGGCAATAAAAATTGCTTACGATAAAAAGTAGAAAGAGATCATGGATTCTAAAAAAGCTCAATAGCCAGCCTAATCAAATTCCTGCTGCTAATTGATATGAATATTCATTTTAGCAATTATTGATATAATATAAATAAATAAATGGATTCTGAAGATTTGCTAGAGAAATTATTGGAAGCATTTTATGACGAGAAAATAGAGCCTAAGAAGGAGGCAGCAAAGAAAATACTTGGGTTGGCTGCTCGATAAGAAAACCTCGAATTATTAATATCTCATGGTATTTATTTAAAATAATGCATATAAGAATAATTCTTATCAACAATATCTAGAACTTTGAGAGATGAACATAAAAAATCAACAGAACTTTGTCTATATTTATTATGCGTTTTTTACATTGTGTCAAATTATTTAGAATTTCATTAAATATTATCTGAGCATTAAATCGGAGATATTACAATGAAAATAATAGAGTCTCAAATCTAGAGATTTGATTTGAGATATGCAGAATTGATGGAAAAACAAGGTTAACCACAGCAGTTATAAGAATTAAGAAAATTAAATTTAATGATAGCAAAATAAGAGAAGCTATTTTATGTTGGTTTTACAATTCTGATGAATATGGCAGAAGATCCCATCATAGAGAATAAGATGAGGAAGAGGAAGATCATAACATTTTTGCTTAGAATGTTAGAAAGAAATAATTTCTATTTATTAATAGTAACTTTGTTGTTTCTGAAAAAATTGAGCATTGTTAATGAATGTAAATTGTAAATGGTTGAAGAGAATTGCATTAGGAAATTAAAGAGATTCTTCAGTGCTGATAATAATGTATTGCTACAATTAAGTTTAGGTTTTTTATTGATATAAATATAATAGGTGTTCTTAAAAATTTAAGTTTTGACACTGAAGCACGATTATAAATAGAATAGAATGGATTTATTCCAGATATTGTGAAGATGCTGAAGATACCAAATTATCGGTTTGTTTCAATTGTGTTGTTGTATTTACTTACTTTAGATGATAAAATCAGATTAACTTTTGGTTTTACTGAATGCATGACTTTGGTAGTAAAACTAATGCTGCACTTCCCTGAACCAGTGATTGGAAAGGAATTAATTGCTTTGGCTGTTAATTTGTCAACAAGCTCAAGAAATGTAGATCATATTACGGAGCAAGAATTTTAATAAATAGTTTAGAGGGCTATTACGAATTCAGATATCTTATTATTTAGATTTGTGAAAGGAGTAATTGAAAACTCGACAAATCCAGAAGTGTAGACGTGTGCTAAAGGGTTTGTGAGACATTTTATGAAACTATTAGTTACATAGGGAAAGGAAGAGGATATTAAATTTGAAATCATAGGGATTATGAGTGCATTAGATTTATAAGAAAATTGGATAAAACTATTGAATGAACCATTTATTGAGTTTCTCCATAATAATCTAGCTGTTGGAATGGCTGAGGACGACATTGTGTTAGAAACAATGATGTTGGTATCATCTATTACATCCCAACAAAATGCAGCTGAAAAACTCTTTAAGAGTCGAATATTGAATGCTTTGTCTTAAGTTTTTGTAGAAAAGGGTGACGATGATGAATTTGTTGTACAGTATTTGTATTGTCTACACTAATTTCTGTTTCATAAAATAGGAATATCATAAATTTTGGAATAGTAAGAATATACATATTTTGAGGGATGAAATCCTAATTCAGATAATATAATAATTAAATGATAAAAACAAAAAGGTTTAGTAGATGTCAGAAGAAGTCTTAGATATACTAAGAGAATATGATTAAGAATTATGCGAAAAAATCAAAGAAATCAAATTTACAGAATACAATTAGTTATGGATTGAACAATTGAATGAACAAGAGCTCATGTATGTTCTAAATCCAATAAAATAGGTTACAAGATGGAGGTGATATGGCATTTGAAGATGAGTATGGTGGTAACGAATTAGATCCAAAAATGTGGGATTCAGACAATGATTGATTGTTTTGTTTCAATCCATAAAATAGACTATAAAAGCTATTTTCAAATATTCAAACTTATTAATATAATAATAATCTAATTGAGATGAATCTAAACAGTGCCTAGCCAGAAATGAGATGTGTAATATGCTTAAACTTGATGTCTAATTAAGTAGGATCAGAATTCTTAATTGTTAGGTATTTATGGATTAATGCAATCATTCATTCTGTTTTGAATGTATTCGAAAGTGGTCTGAAAAAAGTCACTAATGTCCACAATGCAGAACAAAGTACACAAGTTTTCATGAAAAAAATGTTGACTCAAAAATGATGTAAATTCTATTTAATCATAATAGCATTAAGAGATTTGAAGCATCAGCAATAGTCAATAATTAAGAAGATAAACGTCTCATGGCTTTGGCTGATTTGGATAATACTTACTATGATTTGATTTTACAACAAATTGATTCTATATGATTTATATTAATATTAATTATAATTAGTAATAAATTCAAGATTAATTGTAATTAATTAGATATGGAAAATCATTTAAGTATATTTTTATTTTCTATTAAATAACCAAATCATTAGATCTATAAATCGAAATCGATTTATTCCATTACTCTGGATCAAATCATTTTATTATTAATTTAAGTGAGTATTTAATGTTTTGATATTTGAACAGTGTTCTGTAAATGTTAAGTCTTCTAGTAAAGATTTGATAAAAATTAATAGGGATAAAAAATAAAATTAATATTCCATAAAGTAAAATATAAAATCAAACTTCTAAGTCACTCATTTTATTTTTGATTTCAATGAAGTGTCCATAAGTCAATCTTACAGGACTTCCTTCTGCTATATGTTCTATTTTTGATTTCTAAGCGAATTCATAAGGTTTGTTAAAGGTCTCTAAAGTCAATTGTGATAATTAAAAGTATGTTACTAAGTAATCTAATAAGACCACATCCTTTTCCATGTCAATTGGGAGACTTTTGGATAAATCATCTGAGCCCAATTTTCTATCAATTTCCTTTTGTAACTCTTTTATTGCTTGACGCAATACAGAATTGAAAATGATGTAAAAGGATTCGAATTCAGTGAAATTTTCATCAAAAACAGCATCGAACTTTTTATCAATTGATAATTCATTTTTATTCTATTATAATGAAGACCAGATGTTCTTAAAATATGATTAGTATTTAGTAAAGTTTTACTAGATTGTAATTTATATTGATTAAAACTAATTTGAAGCCTTGTATGCATCAAAACCTTGAATATCAAGAGAGTTTGAATCCTAAAATAGATTAATATAATTTACAATGTCTTTAAGTTTATACATTTTGATCATGATATTTTTGATTGCAAAGAATAATAACTTATCCCTGAGCAAATCAGTTCTAAATAGATTGGTACTTTCAATCAAATTTGCAACTCTGAATAAGTACTTGCAAAAATTGATTTAAGACATAATGGTATATTCAATATTGGTAGAGTTACTTTTAATTTCAAAACAACTAGTTTCAGCTAAGAGATAAACAAATGAAAATACTTTATTTAGATTATTAACCTAATGGCTTAGTGATTTGAGTAGTATGTTTCTTTCCACTTCTATGAATAGAATCTCCAGGCAATTTTTTGGCACTATTTTCTTTGCCTTCTTTTGGCTATTCTAATGTTTTTTATTTCATTAAGGCTGGTTATTTATTGACTTAGAATGCTAATTCAGGTCCTCTAATCCAAGGGTGTTTTTCTAGTTCATCTATTGATGCTCTTTCTTATTCACCAACTACTAAACAGCGTTTAATAAATTCTTTGCATTCTTAACTAACTTTAGTTGATGAGGGGAATGATAATGGTACACTCACCATTTTTTATGCTAATTCTTTTTCACTTGTTGCTTGCCAAGGTACTTACCCAAATATTATTTCGAATGCAGAAACTCCAATAGCCCAAATGTCAGATTTATCAGAATACTTGTTGTTTTTCAGGGCTTATGGACTCATATATAGAGGACTACCAACATTTACGTTAGGCAACAATGGAGGAGAATTAGGAGTTGTTGCAAATCCAAAATCTGCTAGTTTAGGAGTTCCACATGCTGACAATAACACATTAGCAGGTTTAATATCCCTGTGTATTATACCGTTCTATTTCAGTAATTTGTAGGCCTTAACCATCCCGAAGATAACATTTTGAGCTTGTTGCTCTGGGAACTTACCAATCTTGGTTAATTTACTTCCCAAATCACCATTTTCACAAAACTCTGTTATCAAGTAAGTGTTATTTTATGTTTGAAATACCTATAGGCATAAGACTAAACCATACTTTATACAATTTCATTATGTATTGACTATCTAATGTGCTAAGTGCCTCGATTTCACTTTGCAACAAGGCATGATGTAGAGGTGTCTTCAGTAAGGCTTTGTCGATTACCTAAATAGACTTCATATTACCTTAATAGCTACTGTTTCACCTGTCACTTCATTTTGTCCTTTATAAACCTTGCTGCTGAATCCTTTTCCAATTTGCTAATGAAGCCCATATGAAAAGTTCTCTATCATCTTTTTAACATTCTGTGATGATCCATTTGTGTAAGATGGATGTTATGAGTACATCTATTTCTAAGCCAAATACATTAATAATTTAACGAACTATTTTTATTATTAAAATTATATTTCAAGCCTTATGCCACATAATAACCAAAAAAATCAAAATAAAAAGGACATTAATAATTCTCTACTATTTTATAAACTTTGAATATGCTGTTCAATTAATAATTATTTCGATATCTTAAATCTAAATTTCTTTTTTTTTCACATCTCATCAAAAGCAATTACATATAAGTTAGTTCTTCTAATATCGAAACTAATTACAATAAAGATGTTTAAATGACAATCTAGAATATTTATAAGAAAATTATGGAATTCAAAATTAATTTTATCAATTTTCTATGAAAATATCCAATAAAAAATTCTATATTTAGTTAACTTTCCATGTTATTTGATTTATCGACATAATAATGGATCTATTTGTATATCTTCTTTGGATGAATGTAATTTTAAGATTCATAAGTTCAAAGTAAGAGAAATACAGATTTTACTAATTATTTTATTCCAATCAAAATTAAGATAATTAATAAGAATGATATTACTGCTTGGTTATTATATAAATTGAATTAAATTTCATTATAGTAAACCCCTTTTGATTATTAAGGAAAGATCTAGTATAAAAACGAAAAATACATAGAAATTCTTATGAGAAGTCTAACTACATTATTTTCATATATGGTCTATGAGCTCTTGAAATACGAAACAAATTTATTTTGTGATGGTCATCATAATTTTCTGTCTACCATAAGCACAATTATATTTATTCAAATTTAGGTACAATTTAAGTCTAAATTATTAACAATTAAAGATTTTTTCTAGAATATATAGGGTCTATAGTATACGATTTTTTGAATAATGCCCATATAGAATAAGAGGGAATATATAAATATATAATATAATTAATGAATTATTGTTTTAGAACCATAGATTTAGCATTATTTCTTTTAATCATTCAATTGTTAGGCCATTTGTTTATTCATTGGAATCAATACAATTGTGATATGTATGGGAACATTTAAGCATGTTTTTGGATATTTAATGTACTATTGAGATCAATACTTCAACATTAATAATTTAACAAATGGGCTTTATTTATTACTTTTCTAATAGCTGGAGAGACGGTTTCAATGAATGTGATAGCAGTATAGGAAAAGGAGTGTTCTCAAAAGCCAACTTTTATTTTTTATTGCATATTAGGATATATTTTAACTATTTCTTCGTTTTCAAAAATGTTACGAGTTAATAAGAAGGCTGAAATAACTAAAATAGATGATTCGTCGAGTCTATGATTATAATAAATTTATATTAATATTGTTCAATGAATATTTCAACAAGGAGTAAATGGAGCCTCTCCTACTTTTTGATTGCACTCTGGACAATATTGAACGACATCTTTGCAGGGTTTACAACAAAAGGGTATCAATCCTCCGATGAATGTCAAGATGCACCAGATACCACAACAAATTAATGTCCAAGTTCCAACTTTATGATCAATCATTGATTCCTAAACTTTTGAACACTTATTGCAGAAAAATTAAGAAGATTCTCTTTCATTATTTAAACTTGTTTTATAATTCTTCTGGCCTTGGCTAATAGTTAAAGGGACGGATTCTTCAGCCATTTTATTGATATTTTGGAGTTTAATATTAATAATGAAGATAAAAAACGATATACTTATTTTCTGTCGAAAGATATGCAAAGATATAGGTTAAATTGCGCTCAATATAAGGATAATAAATTCAGATGAGATTAGATTATTTCCAAATGAGAAAAAGAATAATTATAAATTAAATTTGAAATGGAATATGAATAATCAGATTACTATTTACTTTTGGGATCATCCATTTTTATCAACATTACCTTAATAGCTATAACGATCTTCTTGTGGAAAGTCATATGGCTATAATATCCAATATTTATTGAAGAATTTTAAATAAAATCATTAAGCGATGCTTATAACATAATTCAAACAGCAAATATAAATTTAATAATAAGTTAATGTGGTTTTGATGGATTGACCTTGTTATTATTTGAATAGAAATTATTCGTTGGTCTCAGCTATTATACCATCTTTTATTATCTTATTATGGGGATATGTAAAATATCGTGGAACTATTTAAATGACTATTAAAAACTATTTGTCTAATTGAATATTTTACCAAACTAAGATTTCATCATAAGCTCGATGTTACTCTTGGTAATATTTGCAATATTGATATAACTGAGAAAAGAACTGCAAATTATTTACATTCAAATGTTCACAACAGATTAATTCACTAATTATACCATAAGGACACTGCATATAAGGGGAATGGATTACGATGACTACGATGGAGTGATGATGATGTTAGAAATATTAAAGTATTTAAATGATGTGGGTGATCTTGGAACAATAATGGGAATTTCAATTATTCCTGAGTACTCAAAACTATTAGAATTGGAGAAAAATAGATCTTTATTTAAATATCAATTGGGAATTTTGGAATTGTAGAAACCATTATTTTACCCTTTGCCAAATCTATCACTTATAGAAGAATAGGTTGATCAACAATTGTAAAAGCCATTTAAGTTATCAGGACATTGTTTTATCTGTGTCGATAGACTGTAGACGTAATTAAAATTATGCAATCAAAATGCTTTAACTCAATATTAGATACAATTGGCACCTGATTTATATGATATAAATTGGGTCAATTTTACTATTGAAAGTAATCAAATTAGAATTTGGAGAACGATTATTCTTAATTTATTAATAATGACTCTACTTATATTTGTGACATCCCCTTAAGCATTATATTAGTATTTATCTAAATTTCCTGGTTTGGAATTCCTCTCTTTTAAATGGACTATTTTAATACCAGAGCCCTTTGGGAGAATAATTAAAAATAATATTCCTCCAATAATTTTAATTTCAATCAACCAAATCATCCTCTATTTGTTAGATGTCATAAGTAATAATATCGTGATTATCTCTTTAGCTTAGGCAGAAAAACATGAACGATGGTCATAATATCATATTTCCTTCTTCCACAAAATGTTTTTTTATTTGATTCTAAATGTCTTGGTAATTCCAGCCTTTTTATTGCAGTCATCGGAGACACTGTTTAATATCACATATAACGGATTTAATATTTAATTGTAGAAAGCATTCGATAATTAAACTAATTATGGGGTAATAATTTATGTTAGAGTCTACTTTAGTTATATTATATAACATTTTTGTTTTATTCTGGAACTGGTGCATTTTTAGTGGAATTGATTAGACCATCAGAACTCTACTTCAATTACTTAAGTTCATACATGGCCTATTACATGAGATTATACGAAAACGATGCCTAACACTATTAGAAGACAAACGAGTTCTGTGTGTAATATGGATATATATCAGCTCAGATGCTTCTTAATTTAACAATCATATGCATCTTCAACACAACCTCACCTTTCATTTTGATTGCTGGTTTATGGTTCTTTGGATTCAGATACATTGGAGATTTTTTCATGTTGATGGTTTCTAAATAGGAAATGGTCAGTAATGGTAAATATCTCTACAGCCTTCTATAATTAAGTTGCTTTACTTTGGGACTCTGGCTGGTTGTCAAAGTTATTGGTTGCTACTTCTAATCAAATTATCTGATGATGTACTTGTTTGGGATAGAACTGATTGCCTGGGTATTTATAGGGCAAAACTTTCTATAATAATTGATTGATATTAACTAGATACAAGACGAAGATATGAAACTGAAAATAAGCAATAAAAAATATATGAAGGAATGGAAAATTAAATATAGACATCCATTATCATGAATCTTGTTATTCATTAAATCTTGCAGCTGATCTTGATCCTAATTGCTTTCTTGCTAATTCATTATAATCATGCTGCTGTATTTCTAATATATAAATTAAAATCTCACTCGGTCTATGCAATTATTTGTAGGCTTGATTCTTCTAATCATCTGGCACCCAAAACTGTTTATTGTATGTAGCTTGAGCAGTCTGCAATCTGTCCAGTAGTTACTTCAATATTATCAGATAATACTAAATTCTCCATTTACAGTTTTTCTTTTTCTACTCTCTTTGTTATTTACTGTGACTTAGGTATTTGCGGCATAGATGAAATATTTTTATTTCCTTACTTCTAAATATTCACCATCTTATTTAACAATATATTATTTTCATAAACTATCTTATTCTCCTCAGCTAAGGTTCAATTAACTGAAGTTAATACCGTGAGCATATTTGTTATTCCATTTTGAAAGTGAATGAGATGGTCTCCAAGGTGCAGATGTGTCTATTCTGCTCCTAGTATTCGTTAATTTAGAAAGTAATTTTTCTTGATCATTCACGATTTTCTTTCTTTAACAGATTGGATTAATTGAAATAAGGTTCCACATAATATCAATTAATTTTCTTTAGTTATTTTATATAATGCATTTGAATCAAATTATAACCATAACCAACTTAATGGAAACAATATATTCTAGAGTTGGGGTCATGCTCTCCTCATATATTATATAATCGATATTTTTGAGCTCATCTTATGAATATTTAATTTATCAATTTCTAATAGTATTTTAATCAAGATTCTAATTATATTGATGTGTGAACAAAATCTTATTGATGAATATGAATATATAGTTCATAACTTGAAAAGGTTAGGTTTGTTAGTGATAATTAATTAAACCTATTATTAACAACTATTGATTTGAAAGTTAGATTAATTCTTTAGAATATTTCACAAATCAAAATACATTTTGTATAATTAAATCTATCTCTACTTTGTAAATCAAATTTATCTTTTAAACCAAATTCTTTTGTTTTCTTTTGTGGTTACGGAGAAAAAAAAATAATTTTCATAATATTCCTGATTACAATTATATAATAAGTGTCTAAATAAGTAAATCAATTAACAATTTTTTTCTTCTTGAACATGGTTGACAGGCTCTGGTGATTGATGTTCTAAGAGATGTCTTGCAAGGACTTTCTATAAGCAGGCCTTATATTCAGTTTGGATGGTCTCAAATTTTTGTATGATTTTTAACTGCATTACGATGTTGCATCGGAATGGTTTTCAAATATTGCTAATAATGCTTCTTCGTATGGTTCTGCAAGACTCATAATTTGATTATTCTTTGTTATTAGGAGATCTTAAAGGGGTTATTCATAAATTACCTTTTAGTTCTCCTCTTTGGTCTTCATTAATTTATTCAGACTTATATAGACGATAAATAGCAAACAAGATTTTTGATTCATATTCGTTAGACATATAAATTATTATTCATTTTATATTAAATGAGTAGAGATAGAGGGGGTGTATTATTATAAAATTTAATATTAATTAAGTTCTTTATTTTATTAATAAAGGCTAATGGAGAGATGAAAGTGCTAAAATTGATGAAAAATGAAGTGTATTCCATTGTGCTGCACTATTTTGGAAGCATTTTAGCCATTTTTTACGTAGAACAACCAATGAAAAGTTAGATACACAATTATCCTTAATCAGCCAATCAGATTTAAGAATTTTCTTTAAAAATAGCGCTTGGGTTTTCAGTTTAAAATATTAATTAAAATGGGACCAACAAAATCACCAAAAGCAGAAGCAAAGAAAACAGTTAAGACTGTTAAAACCAAAAAATCCACAGATGACAAGAAGAAGGCAAGAAGAAGATAAGAAACCTTTGCTTTATATATCTACAAAGTCTTGAGATAAGTTCACCCAGAAATCGGTGTTTCCAGAAAGGCTATGAACATCATGAATTCATTCATCAACGATATTTTCGACAGAATTGCTCTTGAAGCCAGCAAATTAGTCAGATTCAACAAGAGAAGAACCCTCAGTTCAAGGGAAATCTAAACTGCCGTCAAATTGTTACTCCCAGGAGAATTGGCCAGACATGCCATCTCAGAAGGAACCAAAGCAGTGACCAAATATACAAGTGGATGATTTTTTATTTTTAATTAAGTTCAAATATATTGTAAAAGTGATTCTTCCTACTCCTGTAATTCCTTTAGTAATTATATTTTCTAATCCAAGAGTATTTTATTACTCTATTCATTTTCCATATCCTTTATTTCCTTCTCCAATTTAGATATTCTCCTAATCAATTGTTCATATCCTTGATTTTCATTATTAAAATATTGTTCAACTGCATTATCTAACTTAGAAACAAAACTGGTTTTCTTCTCGCTTTATGTGAATCTAAGATCATCCTTCCTTGGTTCTTTAAGTTTATGAATGACTTATTTTAATTTTTGAATTTATTCCTATTATTCACTTAATTATTATCTATCACTTAATTGTTAATCCATGATTCTGCTTTAATCTATTAAAGATTGATGTAATTCTTAAGACAAACTTTCGATTTAAGCATCTTTTTATAAAATCTCTTCATCCTTCTTATATAACTCTTCTTCTAATTGAGATACTGTGATTTTTAGTCTTTTCTCTAATGTCTCAAATATGCCTTCCTTATTTGATAATTCTTCCACCAATTTTTGCAATTCATATTGACAACTTTTTAATTGACTGTGTAAAATTTTGTTTTCTTCTTCCAGTATTGCGGACTTTTTTTGTAATGCTGCCATAGCATTAGCAAAACTAATTTTATCATTTAAGTATTACTTACGCTCTTGATTCGGACATTATTGTTAAGTAATTTTATTTATAAAATTTATTTAATGTATAATTCTTGGTTTTAGAAAAATTAAAGAATGTAAGTTAATCAACGTTTCCTTAAAAATAATTAATCTCCTATTAAAATATTTTATTTGAAAACTTTCTAGATATTAATAAATATTATAACTGGGTATTCCTAATTGACATCCATAATTAATTTTGGTAAAACTATGAATAAAACCATAAAAGTAGTAAGATTTTTAGTAATGCTTTACTTAATTCTTTTTTTACATAAATTTAATTAATTTCATATTGGTCCTTCAAAAATGATTTTACTCCCTCGCTATTATTTGCGATGAAAAATGTCTTATTGATGATTTATCTGAATCTCATTCCTCTTGGTGATTAAAACTTTTGGATGCCAAATAATATTAGGGAAATAATGGCAGTCACTCCTAAAATTTTATTTAGAGTATAACAAATAAGAAAGAAATGAAAATCCTATGAGTAAATTGATTAAACTTTTTTATCGATAACCTATAAGAGAAACAATAATTATTGTGATAAGGTTAAATCATGAGCTATGGGTTATTAAGTTTAATAATTCTGCCTTTACTTACAGTATGCAAACTTAATGAGTATATATTTTATGCAACTATTGTATTCATAATTTGGATGAGTTAAGTAAAGAAATCAATATTGTTATAGACTAGGATAATAAATTCATGGAATCTATTAAATAACTTAAAGTGTATTCTACATTAGATTATTTAGCATTTTTAATGAAATTATCATCATTATTATATAACTGCATTTTAACGAAAATAAAAGTTGCATAAACTATTTTTAAAGATCTTGTGTTTCTTAACAGATTTTAACAAAAACAATAACTGTTTTAAATTAATTTTTTGTTGATAAAAATTAGTAAAATGAATGATGATTATTAAATTAATAATAATTCAAGTTTCTTGTACTTTAAATATAATTTATAATGGGTTTCCTCTTAAATTCGAAAAATAATTTATGTTTGTTTAATCCCTACTTTAATAGTCATAATTTGGTAGCAACTTATTAATGCAATCAAAATTTATTACTAATAGGTTAATTAAGTTAGACCCAAAGATTTAGATTTAATTATACCTGATGTACTTCAATATTATGGGTCATTAATTTCATATTTGACAAAATACTATCATATCCAATATTATTCATAGAGTAGCAACTATGGTAATATTCCAATTTGAAATTTTAACTCTCATTTAAAGAGGTTGTTTCATTCAATAAATTGAAATTACTAATATTCCCTATGTTAGTTTATAACCTCAACAATAACAGTGGATATGATGGACTTGATTTAGGATATAGTGGATGAATAGGTGAAATAAAAGAAATAAACTGAAGAAAGCACTATTTTGAAATTAAATAAGATATCGAATTGGCAAATGAGATTAGATGAGTATGATACATTATAAATTTTGTTAAGATTATTTCTAACTAACAGTTGTTAATATATATATTAATGAAGATTAATTCTGCCAGTTAATAAAAGTTGACAATGAACAGGCCATAGACTACTCCTTAGAAGGCAGGTCAGTCACCTATAAAGAAGAATAAGTAAGAAAAATAGTTGAAATAAAGGTATTTGGTTTAATCAGGGGTTTCATCGCTAGCTAAAACCGATAATAAAGTCTCAAAATCAACAGCGTTTTCACATGATTTAATATCTTTGATAAAGAATGGAGGGAATGGTCACCATAATAGTCAATAATTGGATAGAAAATAGAATTCTCGCAGCAAATAATTTCTTGACATAAATGAGGCGAATTTAAAAAAAATTAGACCTAATTCAAGACAATAAATCCAGCATTTAGTTAAAAGTAAGAAACCTGATAGCAATCTTAAATATCATGATGATCTAATTCAAAAGCAATATCAGAAATTATTGGATCTACAAAAGCAACATCAATAAACTCACAAATCGCCACCCTAAATACATAACAGAGCTATGAGCAATGGCGATTTGAAGCCTACAAGCGATATTGCCAATAAGTTGATAGAATACATAAAGAAATAATCAGCCAAGAAAATAAAGGGTTATAGATCGATATCCAATCCGGATATAATCGTAACCGATCGAAGATTGATATCAAAATATGCAGTGAAGTAAATTGTCATAGGAATAATTATAGAACTCAAGCTGGTATGTTGCATACAAAGTAGGAGAAAGTAAACTAGGATTCTTATGCAATTCATGAAGGAATAGGAAACATAGATAACTCATATCTCATATAAGTGTCAGATGGCCATGGTGTGAATGGTCATGAAGTTGCTTAATTTGTTTAAGAACGATTGCCGATTATTATTGATTAGTTATTAAAATCTCATAAAATTGGGAAGAATGATTAGGATATGATGATATAAGTGATCTTGAGATAAGCATTTGAAAGAACAACAAAGGAATTATACACTTCAGGAATAGACATCACTTTTAGTGGAGCCACAACTGTTTGTTTGTTGATTATTGAACATGTGGGATGGTGTGCTAATATTGGAGATTCAAGAGCTATTTTGGGAAGATAGAAGGATGGATTACATGTAGTTGAATTGTCTCATGATTAAAAACCTGATTTACCAAAGGAGGAGAAAAGAATCATATAAAATGGAGGAAGAGTGCAAGCGTATTCAGATGAAGAAGGAAATCCAATCGGTCCAGCTAGAGTTTGGTTGTTAGATGAAAATATTCCAGGATTGGCAATGTCTCGAAGTTTTGGAGATTATGTGGCTGCTTAAGTGGGTGTAATCTCAATTCCAGAAATAATTAAACACACATTTTAAAATGACAAATTCTTAATCATGGCATCAGATGGAATTTGGGAGTATCCTATCATTTATATTCAAGGTTTCTCGATAACAAATGGATTGTTGAAGTTGTCTATGGGTATTATTTGAAAAACGATGCTGAAGGAGCTGTTGAAAGATTGGTCCATGAAGCCACAGAGGCATGGAAAAAGGAGGATGAAGTTATAGATGATATCACTTGCATTGTTGCATTTTTGAATTGATAAACATAAATATCTTAAGAATATATATTCCCACTTCCCAATGCTTAACTTTATTAATTATATTATTTTAATGTCAGACAAACCAAATATCCCTGCACCTAATTCCTTGGTCAAATATGCCAGTGCCACTTTGGTGTCTACATCTGGAAAGCCCATCAAAGATAAAAAGAAAGGTAGAGATGCTGCTCCTTAGTCAATTACTAATGCATAAACAGAAGACATATTGAATTCAATTCTTCCTCCAAGAGTATCTATTTTATGTACTAAATTAGGAATACACAATGGAGAAATAATAATTATGGATTCAATGTGTTTCTTCCACTCCAGCGAAAAGAGTAATTCTATTTTATATTCAAAATAGGAAGATGTTATTCTGCTTTAAGAAAATTTAGATAAAAAATTGCAATAAAGATAAGCCAGAGAAACTGGTATATGTCCTATTCGAGAGGAATTATATGCTTAATGTTTTGATGAACTTATAAGACAAGTATTATATGTAAGTTACAATTAGATTACAATAAATTGTGCTGAAAGGGGACTTCTCTTAGTTAGGGTCAGGGATGAAATTAGACAGACAATTCAAGCTTATTAAACTTTGTATGAGAGTTCTATTGCTTTTGGAATGAGAAAAGCTTTACAAGCAGAACAAAGAAAAGTAAAATTATAATAAAATGATTAGACTGATTATAACAATAAAATAAAGTAATTAGAAACTGAATGTCAAGATTTATCAAAACAGGTGGAGAAAATAGAGAGCACTATAGAAGATATGCAAAGATAAGATTAAGAACAATAAGAACATGAAGAAGCTAAACATAGAGATCAAGTCAATTTCTTAAAAAATGCAAACAAAGTGTACAAAGAAGAATTAGAGAAATTCCTTACAGGTGCTAATGTTAAAAAATGATTAATATAATATTACATTTGAAAAAAGTAAAAGTTTTGTTTCAGATATATCACATAAATGAAAGCGTTAACTAAATAATTACAAGCTATTTCAGCTGTAAAAATCTAATAACAATCTAGTTTATTGATTGAAACTGAAAAGATTATGAATTAAAATAAAAGTGACCACTTAAAATTAATCAAAGAAATCTTAAATAAAGAAACTATTATGCTACATTCATTATTGTTCCTTTCAGGAATGATTTTTATAAAAAGCAAATGGAACTATTGTGATCAATGATTGAATTAATATTCAAGCAATGTAAAGATTACACTATTTCGTTTACAAGTGTTCTAATCTGGAACATCCTTCATTAAGCGCAAAGGCATAATCTCTCATTTGATTATTTATGTACTTATAGTCTTTGTTAATATATATCAAATTATATATTATATATTTCGAACATTCTTTAAAGGTTTTTATTTGGTTCTTATGATTAAAAATTAATATACATTTTATGGACTCTTAATACGAGGAGGGAGAAATCATGACCCAGAAAAGTGATAAATTAGAACGCATAAATAGTGAATCCTCTTTGCGTTCTCTTGTAAATTCTTATTTAAACATTTAGAGTGATACAAATGGTGATGAGAGAGTGCGTAAATCATAATAAGAAGACTTAAGTTCTTTTTCTTACGTTTGTGCCATCTACAATTTCTTAGGCCATTGTACACAAGTTGGTTGCAAGTATTTTAATTTATATTCTTTTCAGGAAAAGACATATCTTATTATAAGATGGATTAGATTAATTCATTACTGAGAATATGCATTTGTTAAATTAATTGATCAGTGGTGGAGAAAAAGTTCGAGTTCCGTTTGAAAAGGTTCTAAATAAAGAAAATCACAATAGAAAACACTAGGTAATCAAGCCTAAGGTTATGACAAATTACAATCAAGAACTCTGTGAAAAATATAAAAGAGCCTTAACTCATAAATTGAAGAAGGATATTGACAAAATGTAAGACAAACTCAAAACCATTTGCTATCTCAAGAAATGGGTAAGACATAATTTTGTCGATGCCAGAGATTTTAGCGAATTGTATTATTCACTAAATTCTACATAACAAATACATTTTATGAACTTTTTTTAAGTTCTTGAGTTGTAACCACCCTCATTTCAATGATCATTATACATATAAATTTGTTTCTGTGTATATGTACAACAATTATCCAATCATTAATATAGTATATATAAATCTAACAATGGAACTTTAGATAACTTTATCTAAATAACCAAATTATGCACATTAAATCCCTATATTATTGAAAGTAGAAGAGATATCAGCTAATTAAGAATTCCTATTCCTAGTTTGTGATTGTATCAAAACAGTTTAAATTTATTTTCTAATTTTATGAAATCCAATCAAATCTCTCTTCATAAGGATTTAATGTGATTTAGATTCCAGTATCTTATTTTAAGTCTTAACTAATCATAATATTCCTTATAAAATATGTTCTTAACATTGACACTAAAGAAAAATGATAATTATCATAATAATTCAATCTATTATTAGAGAACCACTATAATTTAGTAATGCAATAACATCGATATATTCATTTTAATGTTATTATCAAGATTCTTGAAATCTTCACAATTTTTAAAATATCTTTTTGGTAAATCGATTGGATAATTGAAGAACAGACTTCTCTTATCTTAATTTTTCTGTATATAATCAAGTTTAATGGGATAAGATATGAATTTCGAAGTTTAATGTGATAGCAATCATGAAATAGTTTAGAACCCTTATTAATATGATTAAAAGAGATTATTTGTCATTTCATTAAGTCTTTGAATAAAGGGTGTAGTTCAAAAGCCACTAAAGAAGGATCGCCTAAGTGAGAGGTTCAAGCTATAATGACTTGGATTATTCTAAGTTAATTAATCAGATAACCGGGTTTTAACAACGGATGCGGAAGAGAAATCATTAAATTCAAGATCAACAAATATAAGCAAAAAATAGCTTAATCTCTCAAAGGATAAGATCGATTCAGAACACTGAGCCAAAATTACATTTAAATGACCTAAAACTATTTAGTACTAGGAAGTAGTTTTAGCTGCAATTTGATCGGGAAGTGTCAAAACAAAATTCTCGATTGAGAGAACGAATATAGTCGATGTATGTAATTAGGAAGTATATAAAGTGAGCCCCAAATCAATCTAAAATCTATGAATTAAGATTTTGAGAAACATTAAATAACTTTGGAGAGAATGCAGAGGTTTAAGAAAAAAAATAATAGATGTGTTTTAAAGTCGTTAGAAAGAATAGAAAATTGTGAATCATAGCAGTAAAATAAGTATCTAAAATACTACACTTAAACAATTAAAACTGAGCCTGATCAAGAATACAGTGCTTGGAGATCAAACACTAATAAAGGAATGAGTGTTATAAACCTCATCGATTGATTTTATTTTATAAGATAATCATAGATATAATAATTAATTAATCAATTTGACTCAAAATTTTGATCATTGATTCTTTTTAGTATCCATTCTTAAAATTAATTCTATAATATGTTATAGTAGAGACAAACAGGAAACAATAATTAACTAATGCATGTGGACAATTAGATCATTTAAATAAAAAGTTAAAGAAACTATAAAATCTTATTGAATATTAGACTAATTATGCTAATATTAAATTTTATTATAATTCACTCGAAAAGCCTTTCCAAAAATGTTTTATCCTTATCTGGTTTAGCTTACTTTTATGGCAATTATGGTTAAGTTGGAATCTGTAAATAAATTGATATTTTACTTGCTGAGGTGGAGCTGTTTAAGCTAATTACCCAGGTTGAATAGGTGGTAAAGTCTTTCTATAAAGTGAATTTCCTTAAACTGGCAATCTCTGAGCGTCTTTATAAATTGAAGATGGTATTCCAGTAGTTGTTTGAGCTAATTATGGTGGTAGAACTGTAGTTGTGGCCAAAGGAACTGATGCTTGAGGTTAGACAATTGTTGTTGGAGGTTTAGTCAACGTTCTTGTCTATGGAATAACACTTGCTGTCTATGGGAAAACGTTGGTAGTCTAAATTGTTTATGGAACTACACTTGTAGTTTGTATAGTTTGAGGGACGGACTATAGTTAAGTTGTTACAACTGCAGGTGGTTATTGAACATATGCAGAAGTATATTGAGTTTAGGGCATGATGGTATTTTAGACTACTGTTGGTGCTTAAATTGTTGTAGTAATTGGTGGTTATATAAATGTGGATGTTATTGGTTGTTAAACTGGAGGTTGTGGTATTACTGTTGTTGTTTGGACTGGAGGAGCTTGATAGGTTGTAACTTAGGGTTATTAGGCTATTGTCAAATATTATTATGGTTATTAAGTCTTATGTTTTATTATTGAATTCATACCACAATCTACTATTGCACTCTCTAAGTTTGAATAGTTTATGATTATGCCAGAGTTTATGGTTACAAAGCTGGTTAAGCCTTTAATTTAAGATTGATATTCTTACAGGCAAAATATTTTATTTTTACACTGTGTAATACTCGGTTCTCTCTTAGATTCTTTCTACAGGTACGTATTCTAATTATTATGAATTAGATATTACCAATTTACTTCTCTTATATTACTTAAGGAATATATTCAACTTCATATTAGACTGCATAATAATCAGTTATTTATCTCGTTACCGGCACTTAAACTTGTCTTCTCACTTCCTCATATTCAGTGATTACTCTCTCAAAAGGCACATATTCTATTCTTGATTCACCCTTTATCGCTTATTCAGTCATTAATTATGAACTTAATTAGACGGGACCTGTCTAATAAGGAACTCCATTTTATCCAATCACCTAGGATGGGAGTTACGGTTAAAATCCTTGTTGCTACAAATATGGAAGCTATTGAGTTGGAAATCCACTTATTGGTGCTCTTCCTAAATTTTAAGATGGAACCACATATTAGGGTTAGCCCTAAGGTAAAACTTAGGTTGGGATTCCTTATTGAGGAATAAATTGGTTTTGACCTTGTGGAATATTTTGTTAAGGCATATTTGATTAAGGTTTTGATTGTTATCCAGTTTATGGAAGCTATGACATTTTTATTAATATCTTATTCTCTAAATATATTCCTATATATATATATACACTAATAAATTACAATAAAATTATCTCATCAATGAATATATATTAGGCTTAATATTATTAAATATTAGATAATTCTTGTATCAAATCTGTTATTCTCCATTTCTCGAATCTATCAATTCGAAATCAAATTTCAATTATTAAAATAAGAACTTTTAGTTATTTATGAATAACGCCCTAGATTGTTCAAAGTATATTACGGATAATTTAGTGGCAAAGGATTAGAACATCAAATATATTGATATTATTACAATGGGTTTATTATATATGAATGATCTTGTTGGAATGAAAGAATTTCTAATTTATTCAAAAGTTTTAATAATATACTTAATAGTTTAAGAGCATAGGCTTATTGCTTAAAGATTATGAAATTATTATATTAGACAGCCAACATTAAACAGGAATTTAAATAATTATAAAAACAACACAATTCAACATTTTAGAAAATACAACTTAACGATCGCTGGTCTTTTCCTACATCACAATTATCAAATTCGATTGTGTATCAGAAAATATTTTACTTCTCGAAACTAAGTACTATTGTTTTAGCAATAAATTTCACTTTGATACTATTAAATCTTTCAATATAAAGATATGGAATTGCATAAGTACGATGGTTCTAGAAATTTTTTAAGCTCAGGAAGATAATAAGTTTACTGTATGTGATAGAAAATGTCAAATATATTTTATAATTTTTTTACTTCTGAAAAATGAAAATTATGAATATATGAGTTACAAAAATAATATTGAGCCCTCATAAGTTCATAATACTATACTAAATTGTAATATTGTAATCAATAATTAATCAATTAATTAAGTCCGTTTATAGTTATATAATATACCTTATAATTCTTTCATTAGTTATCTAATATACTTATCTAGAATATTATGCAGATCTAATATTATTTAAAATTTATTATTAATACTCACTATTTTAATACTAAACTCATCTGTGTTTTATTAATTCTGTTAAAAAGTGGAGATATTGTTGAATAATGATTATCATAAAGTAATAATAATATATTTTCAATAGGTAATACAAGATAGAAACATCCCTATCGAAAATGATACAACTTGAAATACTTGAGGGGTTTGTTTGTGTTGATTCTTTGTTATTTGAAAATTTTAATTTATTAAATTTTTATAATTGAAGGTCTATTAAACACTTACTTAATTATTAAAATACTTTATAATTGAGATTATTTGATTTTAGAGGATAGTGATTATCTTTACGAGTCAAGTTATGTAAATATTATTAAATGAAGATACTTCTTAATCTTGATAGCAGTGATTATATTAGTAATAGTATATATAAAGTCTGTTTGAGATTAGTGAAAATAAAGTTAAAGTCTTGATTCTTCAAAAGAGGTGTGGGCTAATTATTTTTTATTTTAAAGAACTTTTTCGCGCTTTTAAGAGGTATATAATAAATGGCTCATTTTATGAGAGTGATATGTAGAATATCGACCCAGCAACAAAGAGGAGGAAATAAACTAGAGTGAGAAGATAACTAGTAAATAAGTCTTTACATGAAGAAAGTGAAGAACATTAATAGGTTGAAGTTTAATAGAAAGTAACGAAAAAATATCAAAATTATTTACATGCCATTCAAAAAATGGGAGAGTTCGATTGGACGGACGTCGAGAATACAAACAATCCCAAGGTTATTTACCCAAGTATGCAATATCTGATTTCTAGTTCAATTTTTGCAAGCATCTACTTTGCAATTTATGATTGGAGCGATGTATTTCAATTGTGATCATGACTATCTTCAACATAATCTTTAAGATGTTCAAAAATTGCTCAAGAAAACTGAATAACCTAATGGAACTTTATAATAAGAGTATATTTATCGATTAATTAAGCGATTGTAAAAAATAGAAAAATAAAAAAGGGTATGATGTGAATGATGATATATTCATTTTAGAAATGAGACAGTTGAAAATTCAGGATTTAGACGATATCATTGCCAATTAAGAGTAGCATTATTTTTATATATAAAGATTGAAATTGGAAAAAATTTAGAAGGAAAATGAAGAAGCCATACAACATTTTTTAACAGCTGAAATTCCGGATCTTAAACCATCAATCAAGACAGATTAATCTAATAGTCTTTTGAGAGATATTTTTGGATTAACAGAGTTTGAAAAATAATACATTGAAAAAATAGAGCTTAAAATATAGACAGATGGATAAAGTGATATTACTTAAGAAACAGGCAAGAAGACCTAGGGAGGTCGAATTCATTTGCAACCAATTTTAGATGATGCTCTTTGTTAAGTTTGCAATGATGGAGATTATACGGATGATAATTTAATAGTATTCTGCTCTAAATGCAATATATCTGTCCATTAGAAGTGCTATCTAATAGAAGTGATACCAAATGAAGATTGGATTTGCGATGTATGTTAGACTTTTGGACCAAATGGATAATATTTGCGTTGTGCTTTATGCCCAAAACTAGGAGGAGCCATGAAGGCAACTCAAATTGATGCTTCTTGTTTTGAAAACTTAAATTAAACATATTTTGAATCTTAAGGGGAAACTATGATGAAAAATGATTTAGTTTCTAAATTATGTAAGTATATTAATAATATAAATAGTTTAATAAATAGATGATGATGAAGAACTCTATTACGATTTTAGTAAATTGCCGAATAGAGACATTAGAGATCTTGAAAACAATAAAGATGTCAAAGAACCTTAACCACAAAAGGTTTGGATTCATTTGTCATGTTTTTATTGGTCACCTGAATGTTTTCTAGACGAAAAGCAAGACATTTTGAGAGGTGTTGATAACATTAATCAAAAGAGATTTACTCTGAGTTGTAGTTTATGTAACATCAAGAAGGCTGGAATGTGCATCTAATGTGCTAGAAGCAGTTGTTAAACAGGATTCCATGTCGAATGCGCCAGAAGATCAGGGATATTCTTAACTTAAATTATTGTCAACACAAAGTCAGATTACTAAATATTTTGTTAAAAGCATGTTCCACTTAAAGTCAAACGAATTTTGGAATCGAAATAACGATTATACGAAAGAGAAATTATTGATTTCTTTAGGGCTTATGAAAAGTGCAAATCTGTCCACAAGAAGTCTTAATAAAGAGTGAAGAAAGCAAAATCATCCAAGGAATCTCAATAATAGTTGGAACTTTAGGATCATTAGGAAAATGAGTTTGATTTAATTGATTTTGCAATAAAATTAAAAGAATTTATTGACTAACTATTAGATTAAAAATTCATTGTAAATTTGAAATTAGAACAAGGTAAATATGTTTTTGAGTCTCTCACAGAACCATAATTCAAATAATAAAAATAATACTACTTAACTAAACTGCCGGAAGTGTATTAAAGTAAAGTGGATTAAAATGGATAAATAATTACGTAATTCTATAAAAGTACTATTACTGCAACTGATGAGTTATGGAAATTCTTCAAATACAGAGACTTTGAAAAAGATATCATTTATAAAATGTATGAAAAGTTGAGAAGAAGAGCAAGTAAGTTCATGCAAGAATTAAATCCACAAAAAAAGTAAGCCAAATTGATAGATATGCTTATGTTAAAGAAATTCAAAAAAAGCAAAAAGTCTGACTTGAAAAAGGAGATAATCATTGAATAAGTAGGGGATGAGTATTATTAAAGAGACGACAATTTGTATTGTGTTTGTAGAGGCAAATTTAAAGATGGAGACCCCATGATTTGTTGTGAATCTTGCGAGGAATGGTTTCATTTTGATTGCTTAGAAATAATAATCCCTAATGAGGAAATAAGCAAAATGACTTACTACTGTTTTCTATGCCTAGATGAATTGCCTAGAGAAAGATAAATTGAAATATATAACAGTTATACAAATGTATTTAAGGATACTTCTTTTAAATTGTAAAGAGAATTAGCGGATAAATGTGCATTAGATGAATCTCGAAAAGCTAGAATGAATGAATAGAAGGAGGCAAAGTTAATTGAAGAGAACAATACAATAGAGTAAGACAATCAATAACAAGAATAGATATAGGTCGAATAATAAAATAATAATTTCGGAGGTTTGGAAATGTCTAATCTTTATGTGAATAATTAATTGTAAAAGGAATTGAATTCTGGAGAAGATAATGATATATAAATTGAGATGCAAAATGATGGAATTGAAAAGAATAAAAAAGGGGATGAACATGTTAAGACTCCCAGTAAGACTCAATCTGTTGAGGATCCTGATAATAAATTAGATGTACCAGAAACTTAAGAAAAACTAAATGGCAAACTTAAATAAAAATCTATTCATAACTATATACCTAAATAGTGATTCTAATATATTTCCCATTATTATTAAATACAAATGTCTCAAAATATTAGGTAATTTAATAAGTATTCATTTTATTATTAAATTTCTTAACAATAAAAAATAAAATATTAAATTCTTAATTTAATTAAATCAAAAAAAAATAAAGGAAGGTACGGTTACTATTATGTGAGATTGAATAATTTATACATTACTCAAACTCATTTTCTTTTTGGGCAATAAATTAAAATAATGAAGCCATAAATTTTTCAATGCTACAACATATCAAAACCAGCTAAGCAACAGTTTGACATATAACAAATTATATTAAATTTGCAGCTTGATTTTTAAGCATTGTTTTATTTTTGAGATAAGTATAGACTTTTGTGAAAAAAGTAATTTTTGAATGGGCTTTCTTTTTTTGAAATTAGTCACTATTTCTAACTTTATTCTCTCGTTTTGCTATTATTTATGATTTTGCTCTGAGAATAATGTTTGAAATCGTCACTACACGTAGCACAAATGCGTGAATTATGATTGGAATAGTAATAATAATAATATGGGGTATAAAAATTATATCCGTTTTTGAATTAGTTGTCTTGTTTTTGTATTTAAAGGCAAGGATTGATTGGGAAATAAGCATAAATATTATTAATGAAAGTTGCTATCACATTATTGGTTGTATTAGCCCTCGCTAACGCTGGTATGGTGTAAAAGTTCCCACTCACATATGGTGGAAAGAGAAGCATCATGAACATCATGGTTGAAGTCGAAAACAAGATCAAAGCTCACTCACCACTTGACACAATCAAGGGAGTTCTTGATAACTTCAAATCTGCAGTTGCCTCAGAATAAGGAACACACGATGAAGTCTATGGAGCTTAAAAGGCTGAATGCGATAGCGAAATTGCTTACAGAAGACTTGAAGTTGAAGATGCTACTGGTACACTCAAAATCGCCAACGGTATCTTGAAGACCTCAAACATCTTATTGAAGAAGACCTAAGCCACCCTCGGTGAAACTGAAAACATCTTGAACACAGTCTCATAACACATTGGACTCATCAACGATGCCAGAAAGGAAGACACCCAATCATACAACAGAGGTGCAGTCACATTCAACGATGCCATCAACTCCATCGATGACTCTCTTGATTTGGCCGCCGCTTTAGCTAAAGGAGGAGCCAGTTTGATCTAAGTTGCCGAAATGACAACCAAATTGATGAAATCATCAGTTGCCACCAAGATGAACAAGGCTTTCATGGCCCCATTGGCTGCTTTGGCTTAAATCACATAAGAAGAAGACTCAGTTAGTGCTGCTGAAAGACTCGCCTAATTATTGTAAACCTTGAGAACCAACGTTGAAGAAGCTTGGGCTGCATACACTGCTGAAAACACCAACGCCTTAGGTCTTTTCACCTAATAAAAGGACTTATACCTTGCCTCATAAGCCAGACTTGATGCTTCAAAGGGAAGATTAGCCAACAAGGCCGAAAACTTATAAGGAGTTATCTCTGTCTAAACCGCAGTTGCTTAAGCCGCCACCAACAAGAAATAAAGAAACTAAACCTTATGGGATGATGCTGCTGACTTGTGCCACAGCTTCGACGTTGAATATTAAGCCGTCACCACCGGAAGAAGATAAGAATTAGTTTTGGTCTAAGAATTAGAAAGATTAGCTGAAAGAAGAGCTGCTGAATAATAATGAGATATAATCATACCCATTATTTTATTCATTCTTTTCCCAATTCAATATTGTCCTTTAATGGATTTTCTTCATTTTTTCAATTGAAACGTCCTTGTTTCATTGAAATTCTTAATATCCTTATTTTACTTTCAAATAAAAATATGGATGTGTAATCAAATAAATTATTAAAAGATTTTCTAATTTCTGCATTAATTACTTATATTTATTATTATTATTAATAATAGATCAATCGCTGCTACCAAAGCATCTATGCATAGCGAATCCTCCACATGCGATAACCATAATAATGTAAATAGCCAATAATCCCACTAATACAAGAATGATTGTCATTTTTTTGTTTCTCCACCACATTTATCTTCTCAAAGTTGTTGCATTTTCCTTCATGCTTGTTGAAATGCTAAGGCTAATAAATTTTTTACTTAACCATGACATTTGTTTTTTCCACAAGAATATCAATTTTCTCTCCTCTTTCCAATAATTTGTCTAAGTTTTCCATCATTACCTCCTTGGTTTACTAAATGTTATCAGAAACCATTCTTAATTTATCTGCCTAGGGAGAATTATAATATTCAATTTTATTTTTTTATTCCTTTCATAGTTTTAGACATATTCTTACTATAGAAAATTATGAATTTAATCCATACGATATAGCTTAATCTCTTTGTTGTGGTTGAAACATCTAAAAAAATTTTTATTTCATATCCTCTAAACAAGCAAATGCAATTCTCATCTTTAAACCTCTTTCTGCCATTATCAAAAAAGAAAATCCGTCCTCCACTAAAATATGGAACTCATATTATTCATAATTGAATGATTTCTTAGCATTTGATTAGTTAACCTTTTAATCACAATATCACTTTACTTTTGAAATAATTGTTTTAGCAAATGCAATATAGTTACCCTTGGCTATTGAGTACTCTGACAAGACAACATTTGAACCTCTTACAACAACTGCGTATATAATCTATGGATTTGATGATTACATTAATTATACAATAATATATATATTAATGCGTCAATATATAATTATACATCTTTAAAAGGAAATCTATAAGTCTTTATAATTAAAACATTTTATATTTTGCAATAAAATTATAATACAAGTCCCTATTTTTGTATATACTTCGGAATATATATTTTAGTCAATTTGCTTTTGATTGGATAAAAAGAATTGGATAAATTTTAATAACAAAGTTCTAAATAACTGAATTTAAAAATTAAATATATACAATGACTTCTTTGCTTTTCTATATTTCACTTAATAATAACCATATTAAGTTAAAGATATCTTTTAGTTACATTTTTCAGATTTTACAGAAAAAATAGACTTATTTCTTTTCTTTGGATGATACTAGATTGAAAATAGATAGTAATTACATCTGACTCTATGTAGAGAAGACAACAAATATTCATCTAAAATTTCTATTAAAATTTTAAATTTATGTTCTCATAATAAACAAATATATATGATATTTCCAAAAACTTAATTATTTTAAGATTTATTGAAGCCTCTAGGGCTTGATAATTAACCAAGTATACCCGAATGTAATTTAATAGATTCTTATTTATTTATCTTTTAATATAGTTCCAGATGTATAAGCAATCTTTCTAATTTTTAATTTCCTCATCAGGATCACTCCAGTTCTATATCGAAATTATCAATTAATCTGATATTTCATAATTTCCTGTTCTTTATTAGGAAATCTAATTAATTTATATAGTTCGTTCTAGCTAAATAATTGTATTAGAATATATATATAATGATTTTGGTATGAATGAAAGCTAGGAATATAAATAAATTTTCAAACATTAATAATTGAAATGATAATTTTATTGCTGATTTAAACATGCTACAGTTCCAGTTTATTTGATAACTCAACGAATAATAACATTACAGATCTATTCACTAGATGTAAAATTAAGGGAGAGAATAAAGACAATCTATTATTTCAGTGTTCATAAATGAATGCCATTATTTCTAAATCATCATTGAATGATGAATTCATCTACGCATATTCCTTCAATAAAACAGAAGATGTGTAACTAAGCAACATGCTTCTAAGCGAATTGCTCATAGATCCAGAAACTCAACAGTACCATATTAAATTGCAAGTTTTATACAATTCATACTATGGAGATCTGCTGTAGATGATTACGTCTCTTTCAGTTCATAAATACTCATTCTATAATTACTAAGCAACTGTGATTGATGGGATCTTGAACATGATTGGACTTCTAGGTAATTATATGATTTCTAAATATAGTAAGTCATATCAATGAACAGTATTTTACGTGTTATTTTATTCCAATTCATCCAAGTAGGGTCAATTCTTTTCCATTGAAGGCACTCAACTTTACTTGTGATACCACTTGTGATATAAAGGGATTTTCACAATATTACAATAAATAAAGAAATAGCCTAATAATAGTTATTGCAGAAACGAATATCTTAAATCTGTTGGAGTACTCTTTTTTGGATTGGCAATTGAGATATGTTTCGAAATATTCCGTTTCTGACTTTCTTGATAGAAATGAGACCATTATGGAATTAAAATCATTTGAAGATTATTTACTAGTTGAATTACAAACTTGTTAAGCATTATTTTCGATTTCCTCCATTGTTTTTGAAGTTCAACTCTTAAAATTATTCTCCAAGTCCCCTTTACATCTTGATCATAACACTAATCTGATATTTTAGAAAATCAACAATTAAACTTAAGTCTATTACATAGAAAATAATAAAAATTGGTTAACTTAACAATAAGTTATTTAAAAATAGATCTTAGATGCTCCTTTTACTGATTCCATATTTGTTCTAAATGAAAGGTAATTCGTTTTTATTTATGACAACATGGAAATATTAACAATATAAATGGATATATAACAGAATATCATTCAGGAGATGGAGTGTTTAAACGAATTTACCCAATTTCCATATCCCAATTATTAATCTATACTATATTAACTCCAATTCTTAGGAGAGGACTTAGAATAAAATTCTTCTAAAATTGCACCTCTCGAGGAATTGTAGAATTATACTTCTTGTCTTAAGCCTTGTGATCTTTTATATTATAACTATGAGATCTCTTTAGTTCCATACGAATAATAATGTATTAGTTCTGAGTTATATTAATAATTTACTGATTATTGCAGTTTCCAAAGCAGTTGCTCAAAATGTAACACTCAAATTGGTTGCAATTGGCAAAATGATTCTTGCCAAAAGGAAACTCAAATGTATGAGATTGATTTATCCTCAAATGAGTAAAGTTCCAAGTGGTATTATGGTAAGATATGGTAATGTGAGGAAATATAATCGCAATCCTCCTCGGCCTTTTGCGACTACAATTAAACTGAATTTTCATTGAACAAACAATTTACCTATTAAGGGAAGATTAGAAAAGGGCAAATTTGTTCTTGGTTCTATGACGCTGAGGAAATTCAGCAATTCAACATATTTTTCAAGGCTGACCTCGTGAAAATCCCTTCTTATGTTTAGATATCCATATGTTTAGGTTTAAATAAGAACGAGATTTGCACTTAAATGAATTTTGTACCATGGGATCTCAATTAGACCACTACCTATCCCTTCAAAGCCTATTACTTTAGATACACTATTATATTTGTTGAAGATAATTTGGCTAATAATATTTCGTTCTCTTTTTATAATTCTCCTCCAATTTCAATGGCAGAACGACTCAAATCTTCTTTGCTGTAGATGTTGGTTTGGCTCTTATGCGGCATTTTCCTATTTTGTATCATGGGATACATGGCTAAGAGAAGACTATAGTATTTGGTAGCCCAAACCATAGACAACGATCTAATCTACGTAATTATTTATATTTCTATTTTTAGATTGCACCCTACTTACAAAATTAGGTTCCTTTGTCGAATGAGAGATTGAAGAATGTGATGCAGAATTTAATTGACTAAGAAATTATTACGAAGTATCCATCTGACCCTTCTTTATTGTTGTATGGAGAGGATTAGTGTTCATTTTGCTTTGATTAATTTGATGTTTCCTAATTCGTAGCTCAATTATTTTGTGGACATGTTTATCACTACAATTGTTTTGAGGATTGGATGAGAATCAAAGGGTTTTTTGATAAATGTCCAATTTGCAATTAGAAAGCAGATTACTTCTTAGCCAACAAAGAAGAGTATGCAATCATTAAATCTTAAATTTTGGACAGATTAAATGAGTCGGATAATCATACTTCTCATTTAATTAAATGACACTATTTAATATTAATTAAATTATCATGTAACGAAGCAGCACTAACCCCATTTTTCTATCTCCAGATCAATTCGCCACTCTCTTCAATCAGGGAATTCGAGAATCACTTTATTTGGATGAAATGTAGGACCAGAGGGAACTTAGTTTCTCAGCTCCTAAGTTAGATGAAATGAATTAATCAAACCAACTTAATTAGTCGAGTAATTTTTTACCAGAATTCCCAAAGGATGATGTTGTCATAAGTATTATCCCTTAAAGTCTATACTTAGTATCTAGACAACTATATGAATAATCGTAAAACATCGAGCAACATAATAAACAGTTGAGTGAATCATACCAAAGAATATTGAAATAGAACAAAGAGTTGTTGAACAAAAGAAAAGAATTGGAAGAGGAGAACTCCGCTCTACTAGAAGAAAACTTTGACCTCAAGAGATAGGCTCATGAACTTTAATAAAAATTGACGCTAGCTCAAAGTCAAATGCTCATCAAAAGAGATTAAGAAATACAAACTTTAAAACAACAAATTAAAGAATTGTAGAGTTAATCAACTTCTAGAGATTCAGCTACCAAGACTGAAGGAAGCACTGCCACTTCTCACAAATCCTGTTTTGGATCAAACACTCATCGAGTTCAATCCAATGAACAATCTAAAAATCCATCTAGATTTACTTCTCCGGTACCAAAACAATAAACCTCAGAATTCTCAGTTTTCAATTAATACAATTCGAATACTGTCTTCGGAAAATAACCCTAATTATGAATTACATCTAAATGTATATATTATTTGTTTTAATATTTATCATTACTTTTCTTAAACACCATATTCAATTGTTGCATAATCATAAATTTGAATAATAATTTATATTAATTAATTACATATCCTTATCCTATAACATAGATATTTAATAATATACTACTGAAATGGATTTGAGTAAAAATGGAAGATAATTATTTGAAATACTAAATGATAAATTATATATCTCTATAAGTAGTTAACTTATCAGGAGATAAATCAAATTTAAAGAAAAATAGTTGAATATAAATTAAAATACTATCAACTAATAAACTGAAATTTTGAAAAACATAGTAATTTTTAATTCTAAAAATAGAAAGCTAACTTTAGAGAGGTTTATAAATTCATATTGTCAATATTATTAATAATTAAATTTAACTTCTATATATATAAACACTAAATATACTATGTTAATATTTTATATTTGATTACAACATCAGTCTCAATACATCATAAACATTTGGTCTAAATTAGATCCTTATATTGTTTTGTCCCTGCCAAGTTTTCATCCATTACTAATCTGAATAGATTATCATCTTATAGTTTTATTCCTTAATCTAGTTTATCCTTGTATGCTTCGTTTATTTCCTCTATAATCTTAGGTGTAAGAGTTTAATCGAGAGGTTTTTTTTCTTTTTTCATCTTAGCTACTATTTTCAGAATGATCTTCTTAAATCTTAAGTACTTGCTCCTAAGATAGGCATTTTGAATATCAATCATATCCTAAGTCATCTTAGTATGTTGTTTCTATCTTGCAGGTGTAGTCTTAAGTGTTTGAGGGTTATAATTAATTTCCATGATGTGAATTTTCAGATCATCAGTCAAAATAAAATCAGCAGCAAAGAACTCTGCTAATCTACTGTCTTTTGTTATCTATCCTTCCACAGACTTAATAGCATGGATGATCATTCTATCAACTGTAGGATAGAGATGATTTTTGAGCCATTTTTTGTCCTTAATCTTCCCCTACTTTAATAACAACTCTTGCAAGTAATCTAATTTCCAGTCAATATACAACTCAGATTCATCAGCATTTTCATCATCCATATCCAAATCAGATTCTCTTTACTTAAGAGTGCTCTTGACGATTGCTGTATTGCAAACGTGAGCTTCCTTATTCAAAGAAAATTTATCAAAAGGAGCTATACACCTTCTGATTAAGGTTTTGTCATAAGCATAGGCTATTATTGGGTTGGTGGAGGCCAAGACCCAATATATTCGAAACTCTATCTTATGATTATTATAGAGCATGGGATTTCCAATATATTATTGGGCTACTAACAGTGAATGATCTACTCCGCATCTCTTGCCGTATCGATAAGTTTCCTACAACTTTTTGGTTTCTGCAGGAAACAGAACTTTGATTCCTCTGCCTCTATGAACCTCTAAACCCACTTTGGTTATAAATTAGGGTCCTTCTTCAGCTATTTTGTTCTTGTATTCATCAGAATTCAAATAATCGAAAAATTCCTTGCAATCTTATTTCTAAAATAAACGATAGGTTTTTGGGATGAAGGTTGCATTGTTGATACACTCTTAATCAACACCTTTCTCTCTTAGAGAGTCTATGTATTTATATTAGTTATTCATAAGGTTGTCTTTATGAGAGAGAACGTGTCTTGATGGCAAATGGTTATATTTTTAGAATAAGCATAGAGAAGCTAATGTCTATAAAATAATCACTACCTTATCCAACTTTAAATTTATGTATCAATTAGTCATAATAAGTGAATGGTAAAGTCAATTGTTCTGGTAACACATATTTAGATAAGACTAGGTATTTATTAGAATGTATATGGTTACTTTCAGTATTCTGTATTTTATAGTACATTTTGGGAATGCAATCATAATATGATGATCTCAATGCGTCTCTGATAACTCCTCTGGCTTCGCGAAAAGTGTACGTGTCAGTCATGATGACATCAGGGTGATAAAATTTGTATATGTCTGATCTTTTACAATAGTCATATTCTGGTTTGACCAGAATTGAATTATACTAAAATGGCAAATAAATTTGTACTGCAGAATGATTTGCTAGAGGGGCATAATAAGTTGTTGTTAAGTATTTGTTCAGGTATGTTAATATTTGTTCAACTTCTTATTTATTTTTATACACAAGCGAAGTCCTTATAAAATTGTAAATGAGAAGTTGACTTAATATTGACATGATTAAGACAATCACTTTACCAAACATTTTATTTTAATTATATTCGTTTTTTGTTCAATAAAATTTATTAATCAGAATTATTATCTATATTAAAATTTATACATCTTTGTAAGACTTAATTATGAATCACTTATTTTACCATTTTAATTAAATTAATATTTTCATCACTCGTTCATTTTAACACATTTTACTTAAGATTTATATAAAAAGGATGAAACCTTTTTATTATCAGTAGAATATATCAAATTAGTAACTAATCATCATATTTACACATATGATTAAAGAGAGTTATTTGTTTGAGAGATAATAATATGGGCATCAACAATGATGTTATAATTTGATTATATTAGCAAATTTGAGTGTATTAGATTAATAAACATTCATTGCTAAAAGTAAATCTATTGTTTTATTTTAAAATAAAATTAAACTTATGTTTATACATTTCAAATCATTCAAATAAATTTCCCAAATTGAATGCTAAAGTAATTTAAAGAAATAGAATGGGATTTTATAAAGTCAAAAATAAAAACAATTGAATTTGAGAAGATAAAAATCAGTGATATAAAAATAAATAATTAGTTTTAGCAAATAATTCCCTTTATGTCTTGTCTTGTGTGGCAAATACTTGTAGTAATTTCTCTTCAATATCGTGAATATTGATTGAATCTACAAGTGATATAATTTCTTATGAGAAATGCGAAATAGTTTATGAATGTAATTTCACTTGTTATTTAGAAAATAGAAATTTTGGCTAAGGACAAGGTTTTTAATTAGGTATTTCACTCATGGATGGTCGAATCAATACTGTTTTTTAAGGTGTTTTTTCTAAAACATTGGAATTTTTTGCATTTTAAGACCTAGCTCTATTGAACAAGGCTTCTTCAATTTTGAGCTACTCTAATAATCCCCTTCTTTTAATTTCAACAATATTTTATGTTTTTTTGGAGCAAGCCTTCTCTAGACTCTCTTCCAATCTTTTTAATCTCTGCATATCCTACTACTTTTTGTCTTCTAAACATTTTTAATAACGAGCCAAAGTTTCGTCAACTCTAGTGCTTCTGGGAATTAAATATTAAGCTTATTTAAGGAGCTCCCATTTCTAGAGTTTAGCATCATAACTCATTCTTCTTCTAACTTGCTTATCTGTTATTAACTTCTATATCATATCTCGATTTCTTTAAACTTATTCTAGTCGAGAGGTATCTTAAACTTCTTTTTAATAAGCGCGTAATTCTCTCTCACTGCTAATTTGTTTCCTTCTTGTTTCAATCAATTGCTCTTTATATGAATATTAAACTAATTATTATTCCCTATAATTTTGCTAAAACTGCTTCATCTTCAGTAACTTATCATTTATTCTCGAAGTAGTCAAGTCCTCTTGTTTCTCTTCTGGGGGTAATGATTTAGTGTAAACTTAAGTTTCTTCTGATTTTTTATTTAACAAGTCATTATATTCGCTAAGCAATCTCTATCTTCTTTTTTCGTATTATTTCATGATTGTTTCTTAATAGAATTGAGAATCATTTTCATATTCTGGCGGGACTTTGATTTTCTTAAGAGGTAATAGATCCTGTTCTGTGATACCCATTTTTTTTAATATTTGTTAATTCATTAATAATAATGTAACATACGATTCACAATTTCGTTTTTTGCTTGTTTGGTGATGTGATTCTGTTCTTCAGCCCAATCCATAGTCTTCAGGAACCTATTCTCCCAAGTCAATTCGTAATTGGTCAGAACTTGTACCTTATCAACTAAAGAGATATCAATAATAGATGGTCCAATTGAGAGTGGTTCACCATCAATCTAGACATAAGAATTTGAAGGGTATATAATCTAAATCTTTCTACCTTAGCCAAGTTGATATGGTTTATCCAATCCAACTTGAATTCGACCCAAATGTAGAATACTTGTAACTCCAATTATCTCTAATAGTCCATCATTCATTTTTTATTGTTTAAAATCCCCATCTTAATCCCATAATCCAGTAACCCCTCCACTCCAAGAGTTGATGTTTAAAATGATAACATTTTCAACCTAATCAGGAATATCTACCACCTAATCATCACAAATGACTTTTATTCTCTTTCCCAAACCACTCTTTTCATTCTTAATCAAATCATTCAAACCCATCTATGTATAAATTAGCTTATTTCCCAATCTGCTTTTAAACAATTAAGGCGATGTCTATCTCAGATTATGAAAATCATAGCAAAACTTTGCATCTAATCCAATTCCAAAATAATTAAATAACTTATAATTCTTATTCCCTATCTTTACATTCCATCTATCCAGTAACGTAACATTCTCATTATTCATTATTTTTGATAACACATGAGATGCATCCAGCTATTCGTATGTTCCACCCTTATTTTATAGTATTAGATCGTTACCCATCCCAATGCTCTGCTCAAATCATTTCCTGTTCCTAATGGAAGAATGGCAATAGGAGGATTCCAATCAAATTCCTTGATATGATTTATCACACTGGCAACTGTACCATCTCCTCCTGCAGTGATCAATTTGGCTGTCTTTATATGTGCGAAATTCTTAAGTTTATCCATTTCCTAGATATTTAACACTTGAATAGGGTTCAAAAATCTAATTATAAACTCTATGTACCTAAGAAAAGATTTATAAAAGTCTACTCCGACTTATCCTCCAGACTTCTAGTTAATAACAACAATTATTGGTTTAGTAAAGTTTCCATTTGGTAAAATGATTGCATCTTTGAATTCCCCAAAGTCACATTACTAGTTTACTTTGTCTTTGCATTCTTCATGGACGACCTTTTAACACCAAAGACAACTTTTGCCTTCCAAATCAAAGAAATATCCACATGTTAATCCACAATGGCAACATATTGAATTCACAGGGAGATTTCCGCTTAGCCATTGATGACCAAGCTCATTCTATGAGGATTTTATAATTTTGCATTGTATTTGATTTCTTCTGCATTTTTTATGAACATATATTCCGCATATTAGACATTCATGGTATTGTGTTCCCCATAGACTAAAGAGAAGCTTTTTGCAAACATTGCAAAATAGTAATCCACTGCTTTTAGATTCAGCATAGGAATGCTCGAGAGATTCACTCTCTTTTCCTTCTGGTTTCTCCTTTCTTATCTTGGATTTGATCTTCTACTTTAATGGTTTCGCACTTATGAAACAGCCTATTGCAAGTGAAAAAATGACCCCTAATATTAAGTATATCATTTAAATAATAATGAGACTAACTAATATAAAATAATCTCAATCATTTGTACTTTCGAATATATATAATATTCAATTTTTTGTTATTGAAATATTATAATGCGTATATCTAGATCATTAATTAATACTACTTAATACATAAAGAATAGACTTATAAATAACAATTATTTTAATGGGAAAAAAGACTGTTTTGATTCTTACATTTATTAGCTATGCGTAAATGCATGCAGCCAGAACTCTATGGTCATACATGCAAAAATATTTAACTATTGAGGACTACAATAAAAATAAAATGGGTTAAGCATATTTGACATTCTTATTAACCTATGGAATAGGGATGAATACAATAGGTCCAATGTGTTGCAAAAACAGTTTGAAACATTCCATAGGAATTAGTTGTATGGCTGTTGGTATGTTGTTTGCGATCCTTGGAATATTACAAGAGTTTCAACTCTTAACCTTGTAAGATTTAAATTTTATCGAATAGCCCCTTGGTCATAGTCTTAATGGCTATTAATGGCCTTATCCAATCTGCATGCTACCCTGCATGTGTGAACGTATTGGGCAATTGGTTTAAGAACCACAAGGTAGGCCTAATGATGGGTTTATGGTCAGGTTGCGTAAATGCGGGGGATATTTATGGATTAATAATTGGTGATGTTGTCATTTAAAGACTTGAAATGCCCGTTTATTGGGGCTTTTACTTTATGTCCTGCTGTCTAATCCTAGTTAGTGTGGTCACATTATCTTTCTTATAGAGCGAACCGAGAAATCAAATTTAAGGTATGAACGAATCTGAATCTGCCCCTCTAATATTGAAATAGAAAAATAAAAATTTAAATATTCTATCAGCATGGATGGTTCCTGGAGTAGCCATTTATGCAGTAGGCTACGCTTGTCTTAAGGGAACTTTTTATGGGTTCCTGGATTGGTTACCTTTCTATTTTTAACAAAAGGGAGAGAAGCTCGAAAACCATTCCTCATATATTTCTTAAATGTTTGATGTCGGTTGCTATGTCGGAGGAATCTTTCTAGGATACTTGGGCGATAAATATAAGCGACGTGCCTGTTATTTTGTACCCAGTTTGTTATTGGCTATGTGTTCAATGTTGGTGATTAGATTTTGGTTGGACTTAATAGTCTGGCCCTACTATCTTTGTATCTTGGCTATAGGTATATTCCAAGGAGGACCTTACAACAATATATCTGGAGTCATCTCTATTGAACTTACTAAGTAGTTTGAAAACGATAAGGCTGCCATTTCCACTGTTTCATCATTGATTGAAAGCACTGGAACTCTTACAGCTGCAATGTTTCAGATCATCATCCCAAGGATTGGTGACGAACATTTATTTACATTTTTATGTCTCATTACATTACTAGCGGAATTTGTTTGCTGTGTCCTCTTATTCAGAGAACTAAAATCTAAAAAAAGATCAAAATGATCATAATAATATATTATAATTTAAATTTATACAATATCATTATTCCTATTATGCTGCAAGTGCTGCCTCTTTAGCTCTCTCCTCTTCTTCTTGCAATCTCTTCTACTCCACTTCTCTGTCATATTTATCTTTCGCAAATGAGAATGCCTTCTCCTTAAGTTGCTTTGTCACAAAGATATTATTTATTTTTTCTAATCTTACCATAATGTTGATTGTATCTAAGAGATAATTGGGACTTTTAGACTCAAAAGGATTTCCTTTGTACAACAGCCTTTTCAAATTGGGCAAGGTTTGCAACTTGGTGATTTCATCGAATTTATCAATTTTGTTCTCCCTAATATCAAAATGAACAATATTTTCCAAGACTGGAAATGTTTCATCAAACCCTTCAATCTAGATTAATGTTAAGTAAATACTAGGTTTTTTCTTAATTGCAATATTGAAATAGAAGTGAGCAATTCAACTCCCTAGATCGCCTTGATCTTATTCTCACTCAATTTGAGTTCTTTCAATTCGGGTAGATTTTAAAACTAGGTTAGTGCTGCAATTTTATTTCTCTTCAAATACAATTGCCTTAATTTTGGGTTACCATCAAAAGTATCCATTTTTTCAATTTTATTATCATTCAGATTAAGTTATATTAATGGAACTTTGATAGGACCTAATTCTACAAGCTTATTGGAAGCAGCATTAAGATACTTAAGAGATTTGAAAGCCTCCTCATTAGCAAGCGATTTCAAATCCTTAATATTATTGCCTTCAACATTCAACCTGATCAAATACGGCAGTTATGAAACTAGATAGTAAGAATAATACGTTGCACTATTTCAGTAATGTTATTCCCACTTAAATCTATGGATTCAATATATTTGTAATTTCCAAAGGTTTGAGTTAAAGTATCTACATTCTTTTGATTTAAATTCAAGATTGTAAAATGATATCCACTATTATCCTAAACCATCTTAAATCCAGATAGATTATTCATAATGATTTCTTCAAAATTGATTTTGGATTTGGATTCTTCCTACTGTTTTTGTTACTTCTTAGGCTCTTTCTTAGACATATTAATTTAATATTAATATTAATATTATGTTTTATAAATCAAAACAATCTCTATTTAGCTTCATCACCATCTCCTACTAATCCCTTTTGTTATGCAAATTTATAATGCAAATCGACTACATCAATTCCATCATGTACTTTAGTCCAGCCATTCTAATGAATGTGATAAACTAGAATGACCTTCAATAGTTACCTCTAACTACACCACCAGAAGCAGTGTCTCTGTGTGTTGCATGATAAATAGCTCTGACTCCCAGCTCTACTGCTTCATTCAATGATAAATCATATCTATAATGATTATCCAATACACCATAAGCATATGTACTACCACTGCCAACTGAGAAGATGTCACCCTTCAATCTCATTCCATCATTATCAATGTAGTATAAGTGTTGTCCAGATAGATCAGTTCCTGCTATCATACAACCCATAGAGAGACCAGAGTTTTTATAACCAATAAGAATTCCTTAAAGAAATTTGGAGGCAGCTGCCACACTCAATTTACTACCATTTTTTAATTCGTATGTTCTACAATGATTGGCCAAATAAGCCAACCAATATTAACAATCAGCTGCACCTCCAGCCATTGTACCTATAATAATTTGAATTATATACCTAATAGATACTCATTGATTTCAATGACCTTTCGCACTTGTTCACTACTCAAAAAACTACCCATACTAGCTCTTGAATCGACTGCCAAAAGAATGCCCTCTTTAAATACAAATCCCAATGTTGTTGTTCCATGTTTGAAATTATTTAATTTGTTTCCTCCCATTTGTTTATGTTGGACCATTTAAGCTTCTGTAAATCACTTAAGGTGCACTGGGCATACTTAAAGTATTGATTTCATCTTTGTCTTCCTTTTAATATGTGTGGGCTAATCCAAAAGTTGAGGGATCGAAATCAATCATTTTAATATTTTAATTAAATAATCATCCTTATCTCAAGAAATATTATTAAATATTAGTGAATGGTCTTAGTTACAAATTGTGTTAAATTAAGTATTAAATTACACATATATTTTAAATAAATATACTTTATAATATGAAAAACAATCATCATCGAAGAACTAAATCAAGTGGAAACTACTTTCCCATTTAATCTGAATTTCTTGTTTAAGATGATGATGATGACACCAATGAAACGAGAGCCATCATTAAAAAAATATAACAATAACCTATTCTGCATCATTAGATTGTTGAAAAACTTGATGATTAAAATTATGGATTGTTCAATACTATGTTTAATTTTGGTCAAATGAAATATAAACCAAAACAATCTTTAGACTTAAGCACTATTACAGAGTGCAGTTGTAAAGAATTCATTTATTCTTAGCTACACCCTCAGCTAAAGATGCTTAACCTAAACATAGAAAATGGTGGAAGTCAAGAACAATAAGTGAACAAATAACCTATACGTCATAATCATAGCTAAAGTCTCCAAATCCATCGACTAGAATAAGAATTGGAATAAATGAAGGTATAGCAGGCTGAAATCTAAAATGTGAACGTAATGCTCATTATTGAAATTCATAAATCAAGATAAGAGCTACAGATATCCCAATAAGTAAATCATCATCCTCATCTAGAAAAATGAACTCATCCTTCAAAGAATCAGAAAACTAGAAAAGATGTTGAAAGATGATTAAAAATTATCATGCACAACTAACGACAGTCTTGAATTTTCCTGAGAAAAATACTCATTTTTGTTAAACAATTAAATAAAATCAATATCTAATAGGAATTCAGTTTCCACTTTATAATTTTCATATTTTTATGGACAAAACACTTATTTGTGAAAATCCTACTTTAATGAACCTATAATGTAAATCCTCCTTATAGAGAGTAAAAATCAATTTCTTTAATCATAATCACAAATTGTTATCAATTTTAATACTTATTATACGAAGTAGAATTATAGACAATCAATTATACATTCTTAAAAATGACATATCTACAAAAATTCATTAAGACTAATATTAATAGGCACATTCAAAATATGACTTCTCCTTTTCCTTTGAGTAATCATGTTAGCCTGATGGCAAATTAGGAATTTTGGAACTCTCTGCTACCCCAAATATACTCAGCGTTTCTGACTGAAGTATCCCATGGAAATCACTTATTTAGACATTTTCAATTTAATTCTTAATCTCAATAATTTCCTATTTCTATTAATTGATATCTTACATTAAATGCATAATTTCTATTGAAAATTTTATCCCACAAAAATTCATCATTATTTTAATAATGCAAAATCAATTATTCCTTTAGATCATCCACATTGAACCTTTGCTATTCAATCAACAACTGAATTTATTCATTTAATTTTAATACACTGTCAGTGCCTTAATTATAGAATAGTAATCCATCGATGCACCCAAAAATTTTAAAGCTAACCTAAATTGCTTATTAAGATTCAAAATGCAATTACAACAATAATAGAGCTGCTAATGTTAGATAATCCCTTGTCCAAATAAAAAATATTTTAGAACTGCATTTTGTTTCTATTTGGCTGGCAATTTGATTATATGAACCAAATTTTTTTCAATTTATAAAGTTTTCGTAATAGTTTCAATTTCATTAGGATGAAACTCTTACACTAACTATTTTGCATTATGAATATCGATATTCCCACTAACAAATGCTGTATACTTAATATCTGAAAACATATCATTTAAGAATTAAGAGAAATTCATTAAATTTTAAATCCTAAAATTCTTTAATTATGTCTGCTGGATCATTTACAGGTCGCAACATCAATTTTGGTAACCAGTATTGAACTAAATAAAACTAAGTTTTTTAAAAATAATATTCCTAAAATTAACTTCTTAAATCTTCTTTGATATTCTTAAATTTAGATTCATCCTTTATTTATTTTAAATTCTATAACACCTAGTTTTTAACTGCTTCAAATGTTAGACTCCATCCTGATAACATCAACGAGATTCCTTTCAAGCTGCTTTCTACCTAAACATTGAAACCAGCTGAGATGGCTTCTAAGTTCGATTGCTCTATATACATTTAAGCAACTTTTAGAATTGCCTTAGATTTTGCAATGCTATATCCATTGATTGGTTTGTAGAATAGAATTCCTAGAAACACTCTATTTGTGCGATTATCGTATTGCCACCACAATTCTTAAGATATCTATAATGGGGTTAAAATTGGAATTTGGTAATTTTTTTAGGATTGATCTAAATCTAATGGAACATAGGGAGTTATAGGTTGGTAAATGGGTTCTATGTCATTTGGAGAATCATTCTAAAGCTTGGGTTCTGGTAACGTAATATTAGTTGGGACAACGTTTTTTGTTGTGTAAAAATTGTAATTGGGTTACTCGATAGGAATGAACTAAGATAGATTGGGTAGTTTTAACTATGAAATTAATTACTCATCTATATTGGAAACAGTAGTATAATCTAACAAAATATTGGAATACTCTATTGATTGTACTTTTTTATTCACAAAATTAGAGTTCAAGAATTCCTCTTTGTTTAAAGTAGTTAATTCTTGGTAGATAAATTATCCTTATTCAATAATAATGACTCCGGATTAAATATTATCAATAATTGCATTAAAATCCTTTTTGGAAAATTCCTTATCGTCAACATATTTTTAATAGAGAATTTATAAATTGTAAAAATCTTTATGGCAGTTTAATAATGTTTTTTCATTTTATCTTTTTAAAAATGATCCAAAATTGTAGATTGCATTAGCTAATGTGATGCTATTGGTATTGCATTCTTCAATATTAATTGCCAAGAAGTCAAAATCTAAAACTTCAAATTGACATTTAAGAATAGTTTGTAAAGAATTTTATGTTTTTAACAATAACAAATGTTTAAAAAATTCATCTTGCTTTGTTGGATATATCAAAATTGTTGAAGTGAGATTGGAATTGATTCTGATTTGATTATATAAAATAGGCTCTAGATCCCAAGAATCAATAATTGATGTTCCAAATTCCTTTTACAATAGTTGAGTATCAGAAACAATCATATAAATTTCTTAATTTGAGAGTGAAGATTCTATAGTCAACCTAAGTGGATTTGAAACCAATATTAATTCTATGTAATTTTATAAATCTTAAATCTGCATGGGCTCAGTCATAATTTCATTATTTAAGGATATAGCATCTAAGACTCTATCAATTTTGGAAATGAGATCTACATCATTGATTTCTATTTCTTCACTATTAATATTATCCAAATCATCTTAGGTGTATTCTCTTGCAAGTGAATCAGCGAACTTTCTAATGCAAGTTTCCATTAATTCGTTTTTAATGTGTATAGTTACAGTACTCATGTATGGTCTTTCAATCAATTGTGCTTGGGAACACTGCTACTTCAATAATAGATGCATGAATAATGTATTGTAATCATCATCATGATAGCCATGGTAGATTACAAATTACAGAGTAGCAATTTCCACTAATTTTTCTTAGACAATCAAAGTTAAGCCATTCTTATATTGCCAACCTTACAATTGTCCTTCATTCCATGGTTCAGCTTCGAATATTAATTCTTCAAATTGTTCTTCTTCTGGTTCTGGCATGATGTTATCAAATTGAGTAACATCTTCAGGACTAGTTAAAAATTGCATGATGTCTTAATCTTCCTTATCCAGAACCAGAGTATTATCAATATCGTCTATATTCTCAATTTCATTAACTTTCAATTATTGGATTTAAGGGATCGAAGAAGATTTTCTTTGATTGGCCAAAGCATACTTGAAAAGTAGGTATACTAATAAAATGAGTATGATGAGTTGGATTATGTAACATAGAGTGGAGAGTATGCCACGTGTTTCAGGATCCTTAGGTTTCTTCACTTCTTGACGTACTAATCCTTAATTTTCCTCATCCATTTGCATTAATTAAATGTTTAATCCATTTCGATATATTGCTGATTTTCTACACTTGGTGTCATTTCTGATACCTCATTTTAAAAATACCGCAAAACCAGAAATTGCTTAGGTAACTCATGAAATAATGTAATAGGATTATCATTCAGAACCCAAGAAATCTATCTTGCAGTGTTCTGTGTCAGATACATTGATCTATTCATGTATTTTGTATCAGTATACAATACCTCAATGAAATTACTTTACATCAGCAGCACTGTGTTCATAATTTACCTCATGAAGTTCAAGAAACCATATTGTCTAGTATTTTAATATTGCTAATCCATAGTCATATGATTCGGCAAGTGATGACTTTCCTCACTATAAATTCATATACACTGGAGCAGCAGTCTTGGCTCTCCTCGTCCATACTGATTTGGCTCCATTCGAATTAGGATGGTCATATAGCATTTGGTTAGAAGCATTAGCAATCATACCACAATTACATATGTTATAGAAGATCAAAGATGTTAATATCATTTATCATTATTAGGTTGAAAACATTACATCCAATTATGTGGGAGCTTTGGGAGTTTATCGTTTCTTCTACATTGTTAGTTGGATTTACAAATATTCACTCACTGGAGATGTTTGTTGGACATCACTTTTGGGAGGAATTGTTTAAACTATATTATATGCAGATTTCCTTTACTATTACATCATTAGTCTAAAATCAGGAAAAGGTATGTCATTAGGAGTTTGAGATTTGTGATTATTACAATATTGAAAGCAGTTTAAATTAATACCCTTAATCTTAGCATTTCACAGAGATTGCACTTTTCACTCATTACAATTTTTACTATAATGCTTACGTGGCAATCCAGAAATCATAATTAAAAATCTAGAATTATAAAATAAATCAAATTAATCTACAAACACTTTTCTTCTCAAATTCGAATAGTCTACCATTTTCCAACTTAACTAACACTATTTTCTTCTCCTTCTTCTCTACAAATTAACCCAGTTCCCCTTTAAATTCTCCCTTGACAATGCATACCCTTCCCCCTTTTTTTGGAAGCGTAACTTTAACATCCTTTTCTTTCAAATCTTCTATTAGTTCTCCGTGAGAACCAAGAGCACTAAAAGTATATTCATCTTAAACATCAGATATGGATATATTTTTATTATAAAATTTACCACCTTAATAATGCTTATTCTTAACCTTTACAACTATACCTGATGTTATCCATTTTAATTATTTTTGAGATTTACTTTTTGATCTGCTTCTACTCTTCTCCTCTTTATAAAATTTAGCCTCTACTACTTAATCAGCTGCAATTTTTATTTTTTCTCCATTACTTTTCAATTCAATTAAATAAGTATCACTCTATCCTTATGTTTTTATAACTTCCAATTTAACTCCTTTCATTTTCTTATATTTTCCACTTAAAATGACTACATCTTGAAATTTATCACTTTCTTATTTCTCCTTCTCCCCAGCATACCTATATGTTTTCATTGGGTTCACTCCCAAACCTTCTCTGTCTCCTCTTGATAGAAATTCTATTGGTTTTAACAATGCTGAGCTTTTTTGAGAATTTTTGCCAATCGGTTAACCTTCTTAAAATCCCATTTTTGAAAGTAAATTTTAAGCAAATTAAGAGACAGGGGCCTTAGAGTATGTATCTTCTGTATTATCAGGTTTACTGGATAAAGTGAAATTCTTTCTCTCTTAAACTGGTACATCATTTATCATCTTTATAAATAATATTAATGCTTTTTAAGAAAACTTTATAATATTTCAACAATTAGGTTGCTCGATGTAAATTAGGCCAATTACAATATCAAGGAATTATGATGAAGGTACCTTCAGAAATGCAAAAAGAGGAAAATTCTGAAGAAGACAGATTAGTAAAAGCATTCTTCACAAAAAATCATGAATAAATAAAAGTTTATGGTCATTCTCAGAAAGAACTAAATGAGAAGAGTAGTTCTCCTAGAAACTCATGGTATAAGGTAGTGTTGCCATTAAAAAGTAATCCTGAACTGAGTTTTAAATTTAGTAGGTTTTACACAAATCAAGTAAGAATTGGTCGTTTATTGGAATTGATGGATTACATAGCATCCACAGTTTCTTACAATTATATTCTGCCTAGCAGTGGTGCAACTATAGTTACTGCAATGGTAGATAATATTAATTTCTTTGGAAAGATTTCTGCTGATTAAGACCTTGAAATATAAGGATACGTAACATTTGTTGGTAACTCTTCCATTGAAGTTTATATCGATGTTATATAAGAAGGAGCAGTTAAAGTTTCAGCTAACTTCTTAATGGTAGCGAGAGATGGCAAAGATCATTCAAAAGCATACAAAGTGCCGATCTTGGATTTGAATGGAGAAAGTGATAAGGAAACTGCAGAAATGAGATGTTATTTGGGTAAACACATGCAAGACAAAAGAAAATAATAAAAAGACAGGGGTCTTGATAGAAAAGCGCCAAGTTAAGAAGAAATAAATGAACTACATAAATTTTTCATGAATCCTCCTTCAGATATAACTATTGATGAAACTCAAATTGAAAAAACATTGTTGATGCACATTTAAGATAGAAATCTCCATGGAAAAGTATTTGGAGGCTTTGTCATGAGAGAAGCCTTCGAATTAGGTTGGCTCAATGCCTATCTACATGTCAAAGGATAAGGATTCCCACAAATCATTCATATTGATGATATTCAATTCCTTGCACCTGTTGATATTGGTAGTGCTTTACAAGTTTAGAGCAGGATAACAGCAGTAAAGGATCCAATTATGCATGTTGAAGTTAATTGTTATAAAATAGGTCCAAACTAATAGAAGATTAGATCAAATGATCTTCATTTGACTTTAAATGTGCCAGGAATTGACATCCCTTAAGTTCAACCCAAAACATATAATGAAGGTATGCAATGGTTAAATGCTTGTCGTCGTATGAATTATACCATTTGATTAGATGCCTATTTGCATATTGATTATTATAAATTCATACGTACAAATATTAGTATCGTATACTTAAAAAGATTTGAAAAAACTAAAATAAAAAAGGAGCACAAATATAAATTAATTTTTCAATATTTTTCCACTTTCGGTTATTATTTTTTACTTGGCTATTAAACTTGCATTGCCATCATTTCTTGCATTTCTTACATTTATTATTATTGTTATTATTGCATTCTTTTCATTTCTTCTCTCATTTATATTTTAAGCATTCCAATTTCAGCCAATTGTATGAAACCCAAGATTATGCCTCCAAATATAGCATTTCTAACTGCAATTCTTGTACCAGCTAAAACTATAATTCAAAGGCTATACCTCTTATGGCTAAAAATCCTCCTGTAAATGCACCAGCAACTATGGGATTAATAAAATCTTATTGGTTTCTCAGATGCATAAGAGTACAATCTGTGATACTGAACAGTCCTCCCCAAAGAGCGAATGATCCTCCTAAAATTGGGGCTCTTCTTTTTAATAATTAGATTCCACCGAAAAATCTCTCCCTCTTTTGGAGCAAATGACATGCCTTTTAAGAAATAGAATATGCATCCAGCAAAGCATCCCATCGAGAAAGCTCCTCCAAAATCATCGATGATTCTGTAAGGACACGGTTATTCACGCATAGCCATCTTAATTCTGGTTAAAATTAATTAATTAAATGCTAGTCATTGATTAAAATAATTAAGTAATAGTAATAATGGAAGGGGATCATCATCTTTTGTGAGCTAAGGTTCGGATTCTGCAATCAGTACGAATTCTGCTATTAGATCTCAGAACAGGATTATTTGGTTCGCTCTTCTTCTTTTGATGGCAGATTATTTGCTTGTGTTTTCTATGATTATTTCGGTTTCGATAATAATCCCAAAATTGATCATAATTTTAATCTTGGTTTATATCATATTTTTATGTAAAATCTGGCAAATTTTATAAGGGCAAAATTTTTTTGAATTTATAGAAATGTAGCTTTATCTTATTGACCAGTTTTTGAGTTTCTAAAGCCAATTCCTCCTCAGAGATATATTCTCTTCTTTTTGGATAAGTCTCAAAGCGTATTTTATAGAGCATCTGCAATTAATCAGTGGGAGATAATTTATCATAATCACCAAGATGAATTCCCTTTAGCAATATCTCATCATTGTCAAACACATCATGTTCCGACCCAGATGAATCTGAATCTGAATTTACTTCTATTGGGACAATCTCTTATTCCTTAGGTTTTTTAAACAGATTATTCATAAAATCAGGGCCAATAAATTTAATAGGTTTCAGTCTAATGTTTTATAGTCTCGGAGAGGTTTTTTCTGAATCTAAAGTTGAGGTAGATGATTTTCTTGAATTCATAAATAAATTTTATTTCTGAAATTATTATTATTATAATCTCATTTAGAAACTATTTTTTTTATAATAATAATTTCAATTTTCAAAAGACAAACCTTAATTAGGAGTATACGCTAATTCTTAATTTCATATGATGGCACTACAAAAATAGGAGTTTAATATCTTTGATTTCATTAATTTGATTATTTTAATATTAATTAAGAAACATCCATAAGTAAAGAAAGCTTAAAGAATTAGGATTAATCTAATTAAAAATAAATATATGAATTAGAGCATGTTAAATAATTATTAAATTAATGATTATTTACCAAGTTTTAATTCATATTCCAAAAATAGATTTATGTTATACATCGTTTTAATTGAAATTTATATAATATTCTGATATTAAATTTTATTGTAGAGATAAATCCAATCAGACTCTAATGCTTCTTAACCATGTGTTTTTCTAAGATTAAATAAATTAAAACTCCATCCTATAAAAATACAATAAATGGGACAAATTTATAAATAATTTATGAGGACATCTTCATTTTTTCTATATTTAGATAATTGGTTCCATATATAACCATTGTTGATACACATAAGTATTATGGATTGAAAAGAGCAGTATCACTAAGACTCAAAGCTAAAAGAAAAAAATAGAGAATTTATAATTAATTAATTAAAACAACCAAAAATAAATTTATAAAAATATTATAAATTCTCAAGGATTTAAATTAATTTTAAAAGAAAAAGATGATGAGATTAGATAATTTAAATGACATTAAAGATTATCCATGTTGAGTATCTAATATTAATTGAATATTTCAAAATTAGTTTCCCTGAATTTATTGAGCGTATTTAAAGAATTCGTGATTAACAAATTCAGTAGCAGTAATTCGATTGTATTCTTCTGCCAGTCCACCTTCTATTAAATCTTTTAAATTCTCCAATAATTCCTTTGGAGTATTTTCTCTTATTAATTACTAATCTATTTTCTAGATAAAATCGAGTTGCCAAAATAGGTCAGGCTGATTAATTAATAGTTGATAAAATTGATCATCTTTAGTTGGAAACTATCCCATAATTGGAGGTCTTTTGTAAATAGCCAGAAATAGTGCTGTTGTTAAGGCGTAAACATCTGCACTAAACAAGCAAAATTCTTGAAGTTCTCCATCTTCTAAATTGAGTCTAAAGTTAACAATCTCTGGACTTGAATAAGGAGTGAGGGTTCTGGGGAGCCATTTTGAAAGGAGATCTTCAAAGGAAGGTCTGTAGCTGAAGCCAAAATCTGCTAGCTTGACACAATTTCTGTTAAAGACTAACATGTTTTCTAGCTTGATGTCGTTGTGTGCTATATACTATGAATGTAAATATTCAAGGGCAATAGAAATTTAAGTGAAGTACTTGATTATAATTTTGAGTGATGTTTCGTTTGTCTTACAGAGGGTGTGGAGATCACAGGTGGCATTTTCAAGGAGGAGACTGCAACATTAGAGGTTCCCTCCCACAGGATCTAATTGATGATGAGGGATGAATTATTATGGTTTAATGATGTTTGGGTGATTGAGTTAACTCAATATTTTCCATTCATTTTATAGATCTTGGCATTCTCTTTAATGAACAGAGTTGCAGGTGTGATCATCTTCAATGAAAAGTTGTCCATGAAACACTGATTTAATGACTACAGTCTAATGAACTTAAAATGAAACATTACCTCAGATGGGCCTACTCGACGGTGGATGTAGGAATTGTTGCCTTGTTGGATTAAGTAGAGATTATCTGCTATCTAGTTGATTTGCTGCATTTATATTTTTATATATTATAAATGTTTATTTCTCATTCTTCTTCTTTTTTTTCTTCTTTTGGTCCTTAAACGACAATCAACAAGAATTCCTTATCGGGAGCGACCATAATCTCGTTATTCTTCGACTTTATGCGTAGAAAGGTCAATTCATTCATGGGATCTAGGTCTCTGACAGTTGATCTGCAGATGAAATTTGAGTAACTTACTTGGCCTTGGCTGCTAAAGTCGGGATTGTTCTTGCTATATTTTCACCTTCTTTGCTTTCTGTTCCATAGGTGCTGCGTATGATTTGGCCATCATTGTTACAAATAACTATTCCTTGTACTGATTTATGAGTTTTGATTCTATTGATTGTTTCCTCTATATCAGACATTATTAATTATAAAAATGAAAGCAACTTTATTTTAGTAGTTAAGGAAGATTAGAGCAGAATCTGCTAAAGTTGGAGGTAACAGAAATAAATAAATGCTTGATACTTCGGAACTTATTGGAAGACAAAGCTTTAGTAGAAAAAGACGACTTGAAGACGCTAATTATTCTTTGCTTGAGTAACCAAGTTCATTTCGGTATCATGACAAGGAAAAATATGAATAGGAAATCAATTATCTGAAAAACCATTTAAATTCTTTGGAAAATGAAAATCTCAAACTAAAAACTAAAATTCATCAATTAGAAGGTAAGCATCTCCAATTTTTAAATTAGATAATCAATTAAAACAAGAGAAGATGCTATAGGAATTAGATCGTATTGGTCCTGTCAAAACGTAACTGTTGAGATCAATGAATTATGCAACTGCTTTGAATGCACTAAAAAAAGAATTAAATAATATGAAATTAGAATTGCAAAAAAAAGATTAAGAACTCATCAATATGAAGAAAAATTAGAGATTTACTTAAATGAACGAATTGTAAATTGAAAGAACTGCCTTCTAAGAAGAGACTATTAGATTAAGACAATAAATTGAGTAATTATTTTAAGCTAGTTTATACAATCTACAATAGAATAATGTAGAATAAGCTATTCAAGAGAGATTATTTCAATTAATAGCAAAAATATAAGAGAATGCCATATAAAAAAGTGAATTGGAAAAAATAATTGAAAGACTTAAAAAAGAATGCTTGAAATATAGAGTAATAATAAATCTTTAATAATTTTTAGTCTTAATAAATAGAATAAGAATTTAGAAGCAAAAAGGAAATTAAAAAATTAATAATCCAATTAAAGGATGAAACCAATAATTCATAAAAAGAAAATAGTAAAGAGACCTAACAATTCACAAAGCCAGATGAATTGTAATTGCTAACAGACTTGATGTTTGCAAAATAAGAAAATTAAGCAAAATAATATGAAATAGATAGATTAAATCAATATATTTTCGATCTCGAAACACAAATTAAAGAACTAACTATGCTACAAAAATTATAAAAATCAGATACCTAAGAAATCTAACCTCAGTCTCAAAGAGTTGATGTTTCAACAAAATCAAAAATTACTAAAATCTAATCTCCTGTTTTTGCAACTGAAATTATGCAAGAAATTGCCTTGCCTGTTAAAAAATCAATAGTTATCTAAGAGGAAATCTAAAAATTAGTAAAGTAACCTCAAAGAAGAAAAATTGTAACAGTGAAATTTGAAGAAATCAAAAATATAGGAGAGACTTTGAAATATAGATTGATGGCTATGGATATTAGCATTTCATAATTAGACGAATATTTATTTGAAGGAGACTCTATGACTTTGAAGGAACTGAAGGATAAGTTAAGGCATTATCCTTTTAATTTAACAACTGAAGAAGCTCATGTGGTTTCTCGTTATATAATGGAAGGTGAGAATGACGTTTACGAATTGTTGGAGACTGCCTCGAATTATAATCCTTATATTCGTTCGGTTTTAAGGAGAATATTGTCGAATTATAAATTGGAGATAGTGAAAAATTAATTGCTGCATTCTGATAAAATAAAGGATGTGTTGACTAAGTTTAAACCATTTATTTAAAGCAATATCAAGCAACTTTATGGAAAGGACTGTATAAGAGTGAGTAAATAGTAGTTTAATGAATCATTGATGTCATTAAATATAGAATTGAATTAATTTGAGTTGGACTATTTGATAGTATAAGGAATTTTGGAAAGTAAAGGAGTTGAATCATTAAATTATGAGGAGATGCTAAAATACGAGGTTAAGGAAGTATAAGATTAGCAACTCTCTTTCTTATTGACTGAATTGAACAATTAATAAAATTAAAAAGCTGAGATGTCAGTTATTGAAGAGTGTCCAGAGAAACTATCAGAACTGGATTAATTAGAATAAATAGATCATAAATAAGTGTAGATTGTGAAGGATAATTAAAAGAATGGAGGAGATCAATATGTTACATTTGATAAATATGTAAGTGAATAGTTTGAGTCTGAAAGTGAATAATCTAAATAGGAAATTATGACATCAGCTTTTAACTTGGAATAATGATAATTATTAAAAATTTTGAAATTTTATAAAAGAAACAACAACTTCTTTTCAGGAATGTGATAAAATTTAGTAAATAAGTTGAAGAAAATCTTAAGAGAGAAAGAAGTTCATTGAGATTTTAGAGTTTGCTATTGGCAATATCAAAACATTCAATCAGCAAATATTTGATATGGATTAATAAATTTGAATATATAAAATATATTATTATATTTATGGATCCATAGAACATTCCTGCTGCTGGATCGCGACCTTAAAAATAGACTATAGATTAAGCACCTTCTGTTAGATAAAAGTAGGAGTTATCATATATAAAATAGTTAACAATAACGATCTGATATCTTTGGTGTTAATTCAGGTCCTGTAGTCTAAACACCAAGCAGACAATAGAATCGTGCTAAAACAGATATTTTTGGGGTTGAATAGAGTGCAACTTAATCACTTGCTTAATCGAGGGTTGAAGTAAGATATTACTCTAATAATTTGTAGACAAGATAGACAAAAACTTATCAATCAAATATATTTTAAGTTGATCCCTCTGCCAATAATACACACACAGCTAAAGAGACAATTAAGACCTAAAATAAAGGAAAGAATACTGAAGCAAGACATCAAGATCATGGAAAAGATTTTTTGTTTGGAAAAAGCGGTATTTTAAAATAACGATCTATATATTAGATTTTGATGAGTATAAATCAATTAAGCGAACATAAACATTGAAGGAATTCAAACCAAAAGAGGAATATGATCCAGCCAACAGAAGAGTCAAGGAATTGTATGGAAATGAAATCGGAAAGGAACATTTACCAACACAAAAGGTTTCATTAGAAGAAAAAAAAGAAACGGTTAAAAAGTAATAGAAGTAGGATGTTGATCCATCTTAAAGAAAATAATTAGAGAACTCATCAAATGTTTTTGGATAAAACGAAAAGAAAGTTTATTAATAACAAGGTAAGTAAGAAAAATTAACATCCCAGAATCAAAAATGGTCTACTTCTACTAAGGCAGTCGATAATAGTGGTAAGAATTATGATCCAGACACATTTGCAAAGAACAAAAAAGAACAAGAGTTATAATCTAGTGTATTTGGGGGAGAATAAAAACAAACCCAAAGCACAGCTGCAAAATAAAAGTTAATCCCTACAAATTAAACATGGCAATAAACTGATACTGTTAAGAATATGAAAGATTTCGATCCTTCTTAATCATAAATAAACGAGATTGATCCCTCATAAAAGAAGATCGATACCTTAAAATCAACTTTAGATACTCATGATTATAAGGCTTAACCTGTTAAGCATAATGAAAAGCTTAGTGTGAAATAGTAGAAATACAAAAAGGATGTTTTTACAAGGGGAGGAGATAAGGATCAGGCTCCTTCTCAATAAAAATAAAAACAACCAGCCTAATAATAATAAAAAGAAGTACATGAATAATCAGACATGATTTGAATTATTGTATGAATTATTGTGATTATCCTCCATTTTTTAATTTATCATCTTGTTCAATCATTTGGTTATTATACTCTATTTCTTAAGTAAATAAAATTTTATTATCTGACAATTCGGTTGTTCAATAGTTAACACTTTTGGAATTCAATTATCTGATTCAAATACAGAAAAAATAAATTGAAATTTGAGTTATATATATACTTTTAATTGTTCAATTTATTATTCATAAAACAATCAAAATAGCAGAAAAGAAAAGCCATTAGCTAAATTGACATTCTATTGTTATCAAAGAAGACAAATAATTATCATTAAAAGCTTAAAATCATCAGAATTAATTTTAGACTTAATGGCAAACTCTTTATTTCTTGAAGAGATAAAATGTATAAGAATCCTATTGAAACTATTTGGTTCCAAAAGACCAATAATGATTTGTCTAAGACTTGTAGCAACAGTTAGTGATAAATTGTGATAAGCTAGAATTTTAGTTCATTAGTGTAGAATATAATAATAAGGTGGAATGATTGAATAGCCTAATTATAAAACTCAATATAGCAACAAATAAATAGAGGAGATGAATATTCATTTACTTTATAATATTTAAAATGTCACTTCAATTTATTTGCTGATTTTATCAGCAAAATTCCTGTCCTTCATTTGTCTATTAAGGATTAATGATATGATGCATTACAATCGAAATTCTTCATTTTATAAACAGTCTAACATTTTGATGCACACAGGATATTTGATGTACTTCAAAAATTCAGGTCTTTTGAAGTATAATAAGTATTGCAAGTAATTGACAAATTGATCATCTTCAAAATATTGTTTTGTTGCTAGCTAATAGATGTATTAGGGGTTGGCCAGCAATTATACGAATTCTAGGTCCATTTGGAATCTCTTATAGTCATCATAAATTTTTTACATTAAAATAATTTATGTTGACTTAGACTACAATTACAAATTCGGAAGCAAAGCAAGTGATGCCAGAATTGAAGTTGAAAACATTTGAATTCAAAAACCCATAAGGACTAATTGAAAAAATGAATGAATTGAAATTAACAACACACAAATAAGTGCAGGTGATGAATATTGGATGTTTGAAAGACCTATACTTAATTGACTTAAGTTAAGAAATGATCAAAAGTATAGTCAAATTCATTTGAGTAATAACTTTTCAATTTCCTTTTTCAAGTTTCCCTTCCTTAATCCTTATAGTAATATTTTGGTATCAGGATAAGCCTCTAAAATTAAGGACATGTCTCTGTCATCAACCTTCAACAATTCTCGGATTTCTAAATCTATGAATACAATTTCTAGAGGTACATTATGATTGCTCACTCCTCCTTCTGGTCTACATCAAGGGGGCTTCTTACTGATCTATGACTCTACGTTTTCTCTTAAAATTTATGTATTTGCGATCGCCACTTTACTTTTATATTTCATCGTAATCTAGGATGCTGTTCTCTTCCAGAGGCAGATCTTTTATCATTTTGAGATTTAGTTTCACCTTTGTCCCTTTTACAGAGACAGCAATGTCATGATCGATTTTTTGTTGGGGTGGATTCTGCGGCTAATTCTAGAGTGGCATAACGGGTTAGGGCAGTGTTTGCATTTGGGACTGTTAAGGCATCATCGGAATTCTCATGGCTGCCATTTGAGGTAGTTGTTGCAGCTACTACATTTATTACAATTGTTGCATCATCATATAATAAGGTGTGTAGTTCATTAATGGTTGTCTAAAACATTATAAGAGTTTATAGTAATAAGTATATCGGGTATATATGGGAGGAAGGAGGAGGATGATGCTTACAGGAATTGTGTATTTGGATAAATCATGGGAGTTTATGAAGTTTACTGTACTGGAGCGTAAAGTGGAGGTTTGGCTTTGAGCATTGCCAAGTAATCCTATTGCGGGAAGCTCATTTTTGAGTTATTTAAATATATCTGTAAGAATACATATTGAGATTCGATATTTAGATTTACAAAAGATTTTGTGGATAGAAAAATCAGATCATTTCTGACCTAGTCGATAGGTTTCTAAGTTCAGTCTATAATAGTCTGAAAAAGACCAAGAAAGAATCTAGCTACAATTAGGTGTCATTTTTCTTTAAGTAATATCACGAGATGTCTTGTTAATATAAAAATGTAAAAATCTCATTCTCCACAGCCTCGTCGTACAAACAGCAAATATTCATCATTCCCTTTCAAATTACCGATCAACAACCTAGCCCTTCCTTCAACCACCAACAACGTGTAGTCTGATTAGGGTAGAAAGGTGCTAATACATGTAGGATAGCAATCAAGCAAAAAGATTAAATAACTTTTGCAGGTTAATACAAGGCCAGTTATAAATCCATCAAAAGTTTAAATTGACATTGAAAAACTACAAATCATTATGAATGGGAAATATGAGAAAAATATCTCAAATACTTCCTATTCATAATAGGTTGAAAATACTCTCAAAGAATTGCGAACCAAAATAGATGAATAGGACAATCTAATTAGATTGCAGGAATTCAAAATTAATAGATTGCAATAGGAGCTAGTGTTCTCAAAACAATAATATTAACGCATGATGTCAAAATTTACACAGCTTGATGGCAAATAATACAATTATCCGCAATCAACTAAATTAACAAAATCTTAAATTAGTATACCATAAATTGAGCAAATGCCTTCGGTAAATAAAGTACTACAAGTAGATAACAAGAAGAAAAGAAACATAATAGAGAAAATTTAAGGGCTTGCGTTGGAAAATAAAAAATTTAAAGATGAAGTTCAAAAGAAGTTTAAGGGAGTGCTTCAACTTGTAAATGAATTTGCAATGAGTGTAGTTAGTCAAGCATCATCTCTTTACATTTAACAAATACAATCCATTGAATCGGTTTTTGAAATGCATAACAAGTAATTTGAAATTAAATGATAGTTTTACGAAAAATGATTATCAAGGCATGAGGGCTTAGTATGATATTTTGAATAGGGAGATCTAATTACTGGAGTAGTAGAGGGAAATATTATATGATAAAGTAATTTCATTACTTTGAAAATTATTATAATTAATGAACGACATATAGCCAGCTCCAAGTCTTGTTAAATATAGTAATCCCATTCTCATTTCAAACAGTCAAAAGAAATAAATTAAATAACAGCCTCCAAGCAATACTGAAGATATTTTGAATGCCATTCTGCTTCCCAGAGAATTTAATCATCAGAAGAATCAATTGTAAATGTAATGTGTTTCTCCTGCACCCTCAACCAAACAAGATGTGCTTGAATTATAAGATAAATTAGATAAATGGTTATAATAAAGGTAGGCTAGAGAGACTGGTCTATGTCCAATTAGAGAGGAGTTATACTCATAGTGTTTTGATGAATTAATAAGACAAATTACAATTAATTGTGCAGAGCGAGGTATGCTCTTAGTAACAGTCCGTAATGAAGTGAGAATGGTCATTCAAACTTATTAAACTTTGTACGCATCAAGCATTGCATTTGGGATGAGAAAATTTTTATCCGAAGAAGAAAAAAAAGTATTCAAAAATATTTAATTAGGCTGAATATCGATTGAGAATTAAATAATTGGATTCGGAGTGTTCAGAATTGCAAAGACAAGTGGAATCCTTGGAATAAAAATTGTTGGATACAAAATAGCAAGATGAAATTAAAAGATAGCAAACTAAAGAAGCTCATGCAGATATTGTTTCCTAATTAAAGGCAGATATAAAAGCCAAAGTAAATGGGGATCTTGAAAAAATACTCACTGGATAAAAAAAATTACCTGATAAGAAATAATGATATTTAAGTTATTTTCATTATTTTATATTCGATAATGTATTTAATGAAAATAATAAGTGAAAATAATATATTTAGATATTGTATGTTCTATTTTGTTCATAATATCAATAATCCTAACAATGCAATCACGACTTTGAACATCATTGCATTTGAGCTTTGATCCTCATCATCACAGGAGACTCCTGCACAATTTTCTGAGTTATATGTAAGTACTTAATCTTAGGATGGACATGTGCTAGAGGAAGTCTCTTTAATGCAAGAAACAGAAGTGGAACCGACGACTGAAGGATCATCAGCTGTTTCTTATAAGATTCTTGCAGCAGTTGTATCTCCCAATGTGGCGTCAGAAGCGATGGTGACTTTATTACCCAAGAAGTTTAGTTTAAGTTGATACATTTGTTCTCCATTCTATCCTTTATCCAATTTCTTAGGCTTCACTGTCTTTGACACTCCATCAGCAACGACTGTAATTTCAGCATCCATGGGTTTCCATTTTCCTCCTTTAAATCCATCTTAAGTGATTGTTTATTTAACATAAATGGTGTCTCCAACCACGAGTTCATTTGTTGCTAGAGGTGTTTCACATGTTTCATCAGCACACAATGTCAATGTAGATTGAGCAGTATTGACACATTTTTCTCCAGTATCATCAGCACAAACTTATTCGGCTTGTACTTTTGGTTTGATTTCACTTGATTTAAGGGTTGCTAAATCTTTGCTGAAAATAGCCGAGAATTTAAAAGCAAAGAAAGCCAAGGGTTTTACTCCATTATCATTTGGTAATAACAAGGTCACTGATATGGCATAAAATCCAGTGTATTTGATCTCGTCGTTAGATTCGTCCTTCAAAAATAATGAGTCGAATTAACTATATATATATAATTTAAATACTCTTTATTGACACTAAAGTTCCAGATTCTTGAGGTGTCTTATTAGGTGGAGGTAATTACAGAAGTGTCTGCTACTTCATTTGTAAAGGCAGCGCCGAATCTTCTCAAATTAACCTGAATACATGTGGTACTTAATCCAGTTTCTGCAGATGTCTAGAAATCTTTGGCATTAGTAAATGTCAATGAGAATTGAAGATTTCCATCCTTATAATTTGTGGTAAATTAAGGTCTCTTGGCTATGTGTTTCTTGCCGTTGGCTTGAGTTTGCTTAAAGAAACCAATTTAAGTTTTGCAATTTTTGGCATCCTTTCACTTTCCTTTTACTAACACTTGATCATCTGTACAAGTGGTTGCTGTTTCCGCTGCGATAGCAACATAAACTACGAAACTGAGAAGCAAAGTGTGAAAAATTTTCATGAAAATAGTATTAATAAATTACTGTCATTTTTCCATGGTGTATTTATAGTGCAATTTTAGAAAAGATTCTAATAATTAATACGATTATTAATTGTGGATTAGAATTGCTTATCTAGAAAACTAAGATTTTTAAATTATACTGCGTAATCACTTTAAAATAAAAATTTTTTAAAATTTGCAAATAAATATTATTACCCCCCTCAAAAAACAATTTTCTAGAATAAATTATATTATCTATAGAGAAATACATTTATAAAACTTAAAAAAATATAATTTCATAGAGGAAGTTCTCATTTCCAACTTCATTTTTTATCATTAAGTTCCTGTCATAACAAGATGGAAACATAATTATCCATGAATATTGTTAGCTTTTCTCTAAATTGAGAATAATATTTGAATAATTATCATTTATTGATTTCCAGTTTCTGAAATTTTAATCGTTGAAATTAGCATACTGCCTATGAGATTGAGACGGATGATCATCGATAAATCAAGTTGAATTTTACTTTAAATTGAGTTATGTTGGGCCAGAAATGATAAAGAAGAATCAAATTCTAAATTCTAATTGATTTATATATTAATAATATAATTTAATATAATGTAATCCACATAATTTGTTTTTTTGGGTTTGTTTATCTTTTATGCAATTTATTTTAAATGAATAAATGTACATAATATAGAACATGATTATTCGGGAGTATTTAAACAAAAAATCTTTATATCCTTAATTATTAATAATTAATAAGTGATGAAGAGAGCAATTCTGATATTAGCTGTGATGTCATCGGCAATCTTAGCTTAAAAATGCGGTATGAAGTGTATTGATTATGTTTAGACACAATCAATTAGCATTACAATGTGTACGCTACTGTTAATGAAACAAAGGAATGGGATATGCGAAAATTTTTCTTCACGGGGGAGAATTTGAAGTTCAAGATTAACAATGATTGTCCCTACTTTGAAACAGTGGATCCTCTGTCTGAAATAGGAGATCCAGTGCCTCATGGTGATCGTATGAATAATTAATTAAATTAAAGCTTCGATTGGGACAATATAAAATCTCAAGGCTTATAGATCCTTCGATAATGGAGCATGGTTGAACGACTTTGTGTTTTTAGAATAAAACAAGACAGACATTGACGTATTCTACGCACTTGGGTATGTAGAATTTGATTAAATAATTTAGTGATCCTTAAAAAATGGATTAGGTCCCTAGATTCCATGCTTAGGTGAATGTCAGAAATACAACAGTGTCCTTTGTATGCCACGATTTGGATTTTTTGACTAACTATTTGATAGTCATAGATTGTCAATAGCCAGATTTGGATGACCCAGCCAATTTGGGATGGCATAATGGATTTATCGTGGTTGATTTACAAGATTCATAGCACTACGATCTCTCACCAAATGAGCATCCAAAAGGATATCTTTATAATTATACCGAAGACAGAAAGATAGCGTTTCATAATTTCAGTTTTTCAACATCTGAATAGGATATGGATGGAGGTTTGGAAGCTGACAAGATATCATTATTGTTCAGAGCAGAGCCTGCATGGGCAACTGACTTTGCCGATTTGGGTAATGACAAGTTGGATGATGATTGTGAATTGGAAGTTTATAAATATAGTAACAAGAAATTTTCTTAAACTCCTGTGGCATATTTGACCAAGATTGAATTGGCTGGATTATTGGGTACTGACGTAACAAAATAAAAATTTTCAATTATGGATTTCCAACTTGAACCAAATGGTGACATCTACGTATTGGATGGTGAAAGCGGTGTTTATGTTTTGCAATTCACATCTTAATCATTGGAATGGAAGTTAAAGGAACATATCTCTTTCCCTTACATAACAAAGAGTTATGGATTCGATTTCAATTATTTGATTAATAATGACGGATCAATAACCAGACACATGGTTTTAGTTTTCAAAGATAAAGCAAACTTTTATGAAAATGGAGTTATGAAGTTTGGTATCAAATTACCAGAGAATGCAAGTTATGGAAGAGTTTAAGTGTAAATGAGTCAATATTTCTTAATTTTGAAATTGGACACTGTAGTACATGTTTATCATTCTGACGATGGATCCAAATTGTACACTTATACTAATGATTTGTTCGATCAATTGATTATCAATCCATATGAGCCAGATTTGTTGGGAGTCAATAAAAATTCTGCACACAGATTCTTAGTTTCTAATGGATACTTGAGATTGAAGAAATAAGACAGTACAAATGATGGAACCAAGACCTACACTCTAGATGCTATTTCATTGGATGATACCTCTTAGAAATGCTCAGTCACACTAAATGTGAGAGTCTTGAAGAAGGATGACAGTTAAATCTATGAACAAAGCAACCATCCTTTCCCATAAACATTGAAAGTCCCCACAGATCCGATTGGAATTGACTTGATTGCCTCTGGTCCAAACCTTTAATATTCATCTTTGGCCACTTTGGAACACCCAGAATTGGGAGCCTCTAAAATCATTGTGACCATCAAATCTGCTTGGAACTTGTAATTGAATGGAATCAGACTTCCAGATGCTAAGGAAGTTATCTATTCGGACATTCTTGTTACTGATAGTTCTGAATAATTCTATTTGTTGGTATAGATACCCACAAAGATCATCTATGTCTACAAATGCACCCATTCTCTTGCAGATCATGAGAATGCTCATTGTAGTGATTTTGATACTTTTTCTTTGGGAGTTCAAATTGATAAGAAGAAGCACTCGTTCTACTGGTGGATCTTCATCAATTAAATTTCTTATATGTATTAAGATACTGATTACTCAATTCAAATCTATACAAGTACTGGAGGTTAAGTGAAAAAAGTTGGTGAGGTGGTTGTTGATAGTACTGACCCATTAAATAAATTTACATCAGTTACTATGGTTAGAAGCGCAATTTATTGTGTTTAGGAAGACAGAAAAACAGTCTAGATTTATGATGCCACTATACCATTTAGAAAGATTTATGAAATCAACTCTTCTGTTCTCTCTGAATACAAGATAGAAGGATATTTCACACCTAAAAGAGTCTTCAGTAACAAGAAAGCAAGAGCACAACTCGTATTCATTCAATCTTTAAATCATTTATACGTTGGAGAATTCACAAATCAAAAGAGTTTCTCAACTTTCATCCTCTTCAAGCAAATCAGTATTATTGCAGCATCAGAAGTGGAAGTTGCCATTGGTCAACATCATTTCTTTGTGGTTTAACAATTGGAGGACTAAGAGTTGATTGAAGAATACAATTATTAACATATCCAAAGAATCTACAAAACCAAGAATTTGCCCTTCTTCAATTACAAGATGCAAAAACCCTTAACAGTTGATTACTCATCGTAAACAGGTTGGTTATTTGTTAGAGCAACTGACGGAAAGGAAACTGTTGTCTTGGTCTATGAACCAGGAGTTGTTTCTCACATTTGTTTACACAAAGTATTAGAAACCAAAGCCATGGACTTCGACAAAAAGACTTTTGATATGGCAGTTGATGGTGGCAAATAGATGTTTTCCTATTTCAATAACAATACAATCCATAGAGTCGTAAGCATTTTGGCTGATGCTGAATTATACATCACTCCAGAATTAGAAACCCAACAATACGTTAATGATCTAACCACAGGAGTACAAGTTTCTAACTATCCTGGAAACACACCCTTGAATTTAGTGTCAAAAGTTACAGTCCTTAACACTTAAAGTGACATTATCATCAAATAATCTGTATTGACCTCCAAGAAGAAGGTCTTCAAATTTACCAAGTAAGCTTAATAGTAAATTATTGATATGGGATCAGATTGGTATTATGGACAACAAACATAAATTATTGTTAGATGTGAAACATGTAAAGGTGATTTGAAGGTGAGGAACAACATTTACAGAGTTTTGGATGGAGCAGATATGCCTTTCGATATTTCTGATGGTGTCTAATTTGGTACAGCTGGTTAAGTATATCAAACTAGAGATGCCTTGATCTTCCAAGATGCTGCTGGTAAATTCAAACAGAAAAAGGAAATTCAAGATAGATCCGTCAATTGTGAATTAGTGACTGTTTCAGCAGACAACAGTTTTATATTGTCATCCTACACAACCATTAAAAATGAAGCTGGTATCTTTATTAACTAATGCACAAACTTGGAGAATTGCTAACAATTCAAACAAGGTTCACAAGCCATTGGAGGAGCCAAGAAGATCTCAAAGGTTCTTATGCCTGATAACAAGAATATCATTATTTTGAATACTGATCCAGAAAACTTTGGATCTACTGATAGTTTCATTATTGTCACCGCTTTGGATTATGATCAATCAAAATTCACCATTTCAAATAAATTCACTATCAATGATCAATATGTCGGAAGTAAACTCTTATAAATTGGAGATTTTGATGTCATCAAATATTAAATCAACAGTGTTAATTACAATACTATCGTCTTCACAGATATCAACAATGGTCTTTACTTTGCTCATTTTGCATATGATGCCTAAGGTGTGTACTCTAAGACCATCAATGAATAAGTCAAATTGAGAACATTCACAAACGATCAATATCACATTGCAGATGATGCCTTATTCTTATAAGTCAAAGTTTTGAGCAGTCAAATTAGTGGAACCACTCTCTAAATCAATTTACTTGTCACAACCAGTAACTCAGCTCATTATTCCTTTGGATTCGATCTTGATGCATCTAAACCAACCTCTGGATTGCCTGTCATCAAAACCAATACAGTTTTGAATTACGTCTTGACTCCATATGGAACTTGGAAGGCAATCGACAAATCAGCCTATGTTAATGGATTTCTCGCCATTCCTTATAGTAATGATAAGGAAGTTGTTATTGGTGTTTATAGCATTCCTAGCGACAGACCAGGCATTGTTAAAACTATTTCATTCACTCATGGAATCTCAGCTGATTATCACAAGGCTTTACCCATTGATTTTGCTTTGCTTTTAACTAAGGATGCTTCAGCCAAATATGTATCAATTCATCTTATTCATTTAGCCTAATTTATACACAAATATCAATTATGATGCTTTGTCTGATGAGTATTTAATCGAAAAGTATGAGATGAGAGCTGATCCTCAATTGATCCTAACCAATTCAGCTGCCTATACTGAATAAGTGGAATTCAAACTCTATTTGCATAATAACTTTGCTGATGTTTCTTCAATGGCTTACTTATCAACCACAGAACCAAACCCACCCCCCAATCCTGATGATGGTGATGGAGGAAGGTAACTTAACCCTTATATCTTTATAGCTCAAGCTGGTGGTGGATCACTTTAATTGTTATTTTCGGCGTTGCCATTTTGGGAGTTGGAGGCTGGTTTGCCTATTAGAAGTTTGGTAGAAGGGGAGTTGACCCTCTTTTGGGATGATGTGATATTTTATTCAGTATATGTTTTCATACATATATATCAAAGTGTATATAAGTTTATAATTCAAACTATATCATTATGTTTCATGCCATTTATTCATTTTTTTTGGGACTTAGGTATAAATTCTCTGAGGATTAGCGTTGCAATCATCATAGATTGATTAACAATCCTCTAAATCCCCCACATCAAATCTGACCTTAGATTGATTCAAAGGAATCTCATTTAAGAATTGATTCTAGTTCGCTTAGCTCTTTTGAAGCGACTAGAACAGCTACTAGATTTCTGGATCTAAAGATTAAATTAATTTTTAATTAACCCCTGATTTCCAACCTAAAGATACAACTTTTTCATAAGCTTAAAATGCCTCCTAAATTGCAATAGACTGCAATTATTAATTTTACTTTGATTAATCCAGACATTTGGCTTGTTCTAAGTCTTGGGCAATGTCAGGTTTAGGCAAATATTTGAATAATTTCTTCTGTTCCTCTGTCAATATAATATCTCTCAGTTGATCAAGTTCATACAATTTTTAAATTATCAATTTCACATCTAATTTCTCCATATATTTCTCCTTTGCCATTTCCAACATCTTCTTCTTCTTTTTGTCGCAACCTATGAATATCCAAATGATTGTTTTAATGTTCCTGCTAATTTGGTTCTTCTTCTATAGAATTATATTCAAACTTTCATTCTAAATAGTCTACAATTATTACAATCATAACTTCCTGATTATTATCACTGTTCAATCTGCCAGTGTCTCTAGGAGATAACAGTTTCCTCCTGCTTCTGACTATTCCAGCCAACCCGTCAATGACTTTATTGTCATCAGATAAATTTAATTTATCCTTTTTGTTGTCACTGAATTTGAACAATTCATTTGCCATGTCTATGTCCAACATTAACTAAGCGAGAGGTTAAATGAATGCTGACAACAATAGAAATATCATTTAATATAAGCCTCCCACTCTGCTTAAAATGGCTTGAATCTTCACATACGATCTTTGGTATTCCGTATATTTTGAACTTAAATTGATACTGTGTAAAACTAAGTATTCTTCATTGTATAGGTCTGTTGACTCTCTGAGTGAATCCTAAATGAGCACTTGCTATTCAGATAAATCTGAAAACACCATGCCAGAATCTGTCTAAGTATCGACAACTTTAAATTGCTAAAATATGTTTTTAGAAGTCGTAATTGAAAATGTGTAATATTAGATGTTTATGACATCTAAGGACATATTGACAGCTCTATTCATCTACAATAATGAGTCACTTAAATGAACTGCATAAAATCCAGAACTCAGCTATTTTTTTATGTCCTCAATTGGAGCACAATCACTTTTATTAGTGGAGTTCTTACACACAGAAACGGTTATTGTCAATGAGGAATATACAGGACTTGTTTTAATCCCTTGTAGTACCTTAATAATAATAACTTATTTTATTTACAGGTGGATGATCATCCCAATAATCCTTTTAGATACACTATACAGATCCCAGTCTAATTCTTGAGAAGTAGTCAATCTAAGTTTCAGATAAAAAATGCTCCTTAGTGCATGCTTCCAACGGGATCATCGTGCAGCTATCATTTAGAATTTAGTTTACTTTCTTGTAACATTCGAAGATTAGGATGTTTCATTATAAATTCTAGTGGTTTAACAATTTTTTAGAGAAATAGTAAAATATTTATTTATCGTTGTTAAAGGTTGACTATTAAGATCAGCCATGGTAATTGCAATTGTGAAATTATTCCTTTCGAGAAAAAATGGCTAAATATATCAGAGATGTACTGATGTCTCTACTACTTATCTCTCTGATGAAATCACATTTGGCGAATTTTTAGCTATTAATTCTTAAATCCCAACGATTAAATAAGCCAGAGCAAAGAAAATAGTCCCTAATGTTGATAGTGCCCCCAAAGTTGAATTATATTTGTATTTCCCCAAAATCCTAAATTTTGGAGGCTATCCAAACATATCAAATTGTAAAATGAATTACCTAATTTGTAAGAATAATGGTTATTGCATCTTATTATACAAAAATTTTAATTTTATTATTAGAAAATCCTCATGAATATTCCTCAAATTTTCATTTGATAAGAAATTTAATTTATTACCTATCAAATAATCTCCAAAAAACCATGCCAAGAAGTTCGAATCTTCTTCAATTCAAATATAAAGATGATTATTTATATATGAGATTAGAATAGACCCTATTCCAATTGATGTCAAAAACAAAGGATTCTGTTTTATAACATATTTGGGATCTATGAAATTTGGATTAGACTGGAATGCATAAAGCATAAAAATGAGGGAGATTACGTATTTAAAACGATCCTATATAAAATTCTAAAATGAAATAATTGAAGTTTTTATAAAAAATTAATGTCAATTGCAAATGCAAAAGGATAATAAGGTTAAAATGATATGACAACCTAAAGGAGAAAAAATGAGGCTAATTTGAGGGTGGCTTTGTAATATTATTCTTCATGTGGAAAATTATAAGATGATCATTCTCTAGAATAAGTAACTCCAGGATTGGCTACTTTGGAATTCATGAAACGTAACTGCCCTGAAGGAACAAAGCTGGAGGATTTTTGTATACAATCTGGGCAATTTTTTGAATTTGAATAGTACAAATATGGTGACATTATATTCCACTACGGGGATGTGGGAGATAAAGTTTATGTGATTCTCAAAGGGGAGGTTGCAGTCTTAGTACCAAGATCCGAGAGTGAAATAGAAGCAGAAAGGGAAGAGATCAGTTAGGCCAAGCAACCTTTTGAATTCGAAGCGTTTTGGAGAAATAAGAAGCCTTTGAAATAAATTTATATAGAGGTGATGCTATCACAATTGAACTCCAGTGTGTATTTCCAGGAGAATGTATGTATGTTTAAGAAGGTTTTTTAATTTTATTCTGGATAATCGTTTGGAGACGTAGCTCTGATTTCAGATAAACCCAGGACTGCAAGTATCTTGGTCACATCTGATCAAATTTACTTAATTAGCATGTGCAAGAAGGATTTTAAGATCTTATGTGAGAAGTCAGTTCTGGAGATGAATTAAACTCTGGACTACTTTGTTAAGTTGTTCCCTAGCGTTGGGAGAATGCAAATAACTAAATTCATATAATTCTTTCACAAAATCGACCTCCCTCCTCAACAGTGGTTATGGAGGGAAGGAGAACAAGTGAAGTTTTTCCTATTGATTCTTAAAGGAAGAGTTGAAGTTAAATAATAATAATTGCCCTTATATCAAGTCTCCGATAATTCCTTCATTGGCCACGAGGAGATCTTAGAATGTATGCCTTTTAGACAATATACCTGCAAAACATTGGACAACACCACAGCATATTATATGGAATGTGAAGATTTCAATAGTGCTAGAAAGACATCTCCAGACATTGTTAAATTGTTAATAGAGAAAGCAAAGTTAATGACTTCATATCTTGAATAAAGAAAGGAAGAAGTAAAGAAAGGACAGGTTTATGTGGAACCAATTTGCTTGCCAGTAGAAAGAAGATTAGTGAAAGATATGTTTGTAATTAAATCTCCTAGAAAAAATGAGGTTAGATCCAATCAACCAAAATGTTTAAGTTATTTCGACATTACAAAGTTTAATAAATAGAAAGCCAAGCCAAATAATACAAATTAATAATAATCTATTTCAGAGGATTTATTCTTCTCCAAAGAGAAGAACATTAAAACAACAAGATCTCCATCCTATTTAACTCAAAAACTTTCGCCAATAAATAAATAGATGAAAGAGATTTTGATGAAAAAGTTTAAGTTGAATTTCAAATTTAATGCTTTGCAGTCTTTTTAAATTAGCTCTTGTAAGTCAGTTCATGAATTCGGTAGTAAGAGTCGATTTAAAACTGAACCAAGTATTGACAATTGATATTAATCTATTATTCTTTTTTTATATAAATATATATATAGAATTTTAAATTAAAAATCATTCATTTATTATTTGTTAAAGATGGGTCTTTAAGATTCAAATTTATTTAATAAATATCAGGATTTTATCTAATCTTTTGGGTAATTAAAATTAAATGGATTCGATCATAAATTAGCTTATTCTATTTTATCATATTAATATCCAATAATTACAAAACTGATGATACATTAAACCTAGATTAATAAATATTACTTTTTATCTTCTAAACATATATCTCTATGCAAAGAATTATTAACCTTGTAAGATAGATGTTATATGATGATGTCACAATATTTAGATAAATTTTCTACTAAGCAACATCTAAATCTTAATTTCTATAATTTTTCATTTATGTATATATTGTAATTGTTTGATTATAGAAATTACTCTCCCCTTTTTTAATATAACAGAATTGTGAGATTATCATCAGGGATAATTAATAAATAGTAGATATTATGGAAATATAGGTATTTAATAAACATATAGTATTTTTCAATTTTTCTTAGGAATAAGTTTAATTTTCTTCTGTTATTATTATTAAATTTATGAATTATGGGATAATTATGTTGATTATAATTATTATTTTTGTTAGCAGTTCAAGTGCAAACCTTTTAATCCTTTCTTCATAAGTAATAAATTCTATTTTTAACTTTATTTGGCCAAAATGAATTGGTGTCGCTTTTTCTTTTGACCAAATTCATACCATTTAGAGAAGGATATTCTTAAGGTATAAAAATTTTTGGATTTCTAATACTCTAGAATAGATTACAAGAATTACCTTCAAGTCTCAATTTCTTTAGATATACAAGAGTTTAAAACTTATAAAAATATTTTCTAATTATGCAAAAGTTTCTAAAATGTTTAGATTTGAATGCCAAATGCTTTTGAAAATTAGAAAATAGTTTGAATTTGTTCCAATATTTTCTCAACCTAAAGAGATCCGCTATTTTATTTGATTGCTGGTCATCTTCTTTTGTAATGGTTGAAATTACACTTTTTGAAGATTCCCTGCCTGGCGTATAAAATTTGATTTCATTTCTGGGAGTTTTGGATTAGACTGACTTTTTGCCTGCACTTTTACGACTTAAATCCTTTTTGGGTGGACTGTATGGTAATTGTAATTTATATGGTTGAGGCTGTTAACTTTGAATTCTCCAAGCTAAAAATATTTCCTTTAAATTCCTTTTATTTACTTTATCGCTAAACTTACATAGAGATTATGTGATACCTGCTCGAGGATCTAAAATTCTCTTTTCATTTATTCAATCATATTTATCATCAAAGGTTAATAAGCACTTGCAAGATTTCTCAAATAATAATTATTCAATTTTTCCAAACCTTTTCTTATCTTTTAAGGATCTGGCTTTTTTGGTTGTTTAGTTTATTTTGGTTAATTAAAGTATGAATATTTTATAAAAGCTCTCATTGATATGAAGTATGTTAATAATTTAAAATATAAAGTAATATAATTATTTATCCAATATATACAGATTACAAATGATGCTTGGTCTCACACTTTTTATTCTGTAATACTCAAATATAAGTAAATTGAGGATCCTGAATTTCTGTTTATATTAATATTAATAAAAATCTGATCAGCCATACTAATAGAAGAATGATAAAGAATCCTAAAAGTGAAGGCGATTTTAGGCTTTAATAGTACTCAGCCTCTAATAGCTGCACTACAATCCCTGACAGGATTAATTAAACCAATATTCAAGAATCCATTCCTGAGGAAAGTTATCCGCAGGCCTAGCAATAGGAAATCACCTATACTTTTTATAATGTTAGACAGATACTTTAGAAAGAACATGGCTTAAATATTGAATTACCTTATTAATAATTATTTACATAATAGGAATTTGATCTATTGTTGGAGAAATATAAACCTGACTAGCCAATTGAAAAATTCGATGAAGGCAATGGAAATAAAGAGTAGAAATTAGTGGATTTGTTTATGGACAGATTAAAAAAAAAGTTTTATTTTGATGCTTCGGATATTGTCAATATTGAATTCTCCGATGATGATCCCATGAAGATCTACATTGATATCTTCAAATATTTAATGAAATAAAAAGATAAGCAGTATAATAGAAGCAGCATCAATAGTGATAATCGTATACAATTTGAATCGAAGGAACAACCTAAAGAATAAAGTGATAGTTGTTAGATGTGGCATCGAAAAGTTTACTACAATAAATATAGAAAAAACCAATTGAAACTAAATGGATTTAATACAGTCTATGATTATCATGAGAAATTAGTAGAACCTCTAATTATAAACTAATAAAGGTCTACAAATTACATAAGAAATGTGGCTTTTTTGGTTTGTACTTTTTAATTCACAAAAATAACTGACTTTGCTAAGTTAGATTAAGATATTATACCGATATTGAAAGTTGCTATTAATATTTAATCTGATATTAGTAAAGATCGATCTGATTGCAAGAACTTCTACTCAAGTGATAACAATTTAAGCTAAATAAATATGATCAGTTCCTAAAACTATGAAAAGTAATCATTATGATAACATAATTATAGAATCAATAGATCCAATAATTTTGCCAAGAGTGGAACAAGTTAAATTTCAAATATCTTAGAAACACCTTTGAGATAAGCATATTATAAATAAAACTTCTAACAAATTTAACAAATGTGCAAGGATATTAAACACACTGATCCACATATGTAACTAATTTTAAACTTTTTTGGAATGGATGATAAACAATTTCAGGTACATTATTTTATTATAAGTAGGAATACTTACTAAAAGATGATAATCGACTTCATTTTGAGGATAGAATGATTCTGACTTTATTATATTGTGATGATAAGCAATTGAATGAATTTTCCTTAAAGAAAAAACCACTCGATTAAATTATCAATTATGGGGCCCTAGATAAAAGATCAGTTGATTGTCTACGATTTTATTTAGAAGAAACAAGAGATATTTAATTAGTTGGTGTATTGTCAGCTCACCTATATCTACTTGAGAATAAAGATAATTAATTGTTGACTTGGTTTTAAGAATATCGCAATTTCTTGAATTCTAAACAACTTTACAAAGAAAGAATGATAATAGAAAATCAAATTAAGGATTTCTAAAATAAGAATCCACCACTCTTTATTGAAGATTTGCTATTAAGCAAATAATAACAGATAATTTAATATTGCCAATGCAATTCTATAGCCAATCCTGAATGTCTATCTTGTTTAACATTATATCCAAAATGCTCAATCTGTTACAATCCAATCTAAAATTAATTATACGTTGTTTGTTTGATATGCAGACATGGAGGACATGAGAAACACATTTAGGAGTGGTTCAACATTTATGATTAATGTCCCTACAAAAAATGTTAATGTTATTGCAAATATGAATGATTCTTATAATTCTGTTTTATTACAAGATGTATTAAACTTATTTTATGTTATTTATAAGCTATACAAATCTAATGTACATTTATACTAGCAGTATAAAGAAATTATAAATTCTTTTTTTTGAAAAAAGCAAAAAATCTTGAATGGGATGATGTCATATTTGACTCTTAATCAATGAACACCAAGTCTGCTTGAACCAGAGGCTTATTCTTTCCGTTCTATTATTAATTTCTTAAGTTATTTCTACAGCTGATAATGGATATATACATGTAAATAAGAAAACCTTTACACAATTTTTTGAACTGAATTCCACCTAAGTCTAAGACACTAGTAATGAAGTTAAATCCTTTAGGTCAATGATTTTTGCAATAATATAGATTAATATAAACTTGAAATTATAGAATAGACAGAAATTTGTAACCTCAAAAATTTATTGAAAATCATAATTATTCTTATAAAATTGATTAATATAATTTTAATGTAGCACTCTATAAGACAAAAAGAAAATGGTTTCTAAATTGCTATCAATAAGATCAATAATTGATATAATTAACAGAGGTTGCTTTCCTAATATGTTATTTTTTCTTTCTTACTAATAACAGAATAACCATAAACTCCACTAAAATAGCTGATGAATATCATTGTATTTGACAACTAGGAAGTTGACGATTTAATAAAATCAATTAACTTAATGAAATGAAAAATTATTTTTGCATGAAATTTCATATCTGATAAAATTTCCAAATAAAGTATCTAAATATATTAACAAACGATAATCTATTGAATAACAAGCACAATAGTAAAATTAGTTTAGATAACATCGATATCAAATTCCATAACCTCAGTAACCAAAAAATTCTTCTAAAAATCTTAATCCTTTACAACAGTTTTAGTCAATGATACTTATATTATATTTTGTATTAAAGTAAATAATGAAAATATAAATTTCAATGAACCAATTATAAAAAATAAGAATTAGAACATAAAATAATAAAACTTAATTTTATTTTTTAATTTTTGATACTTCTAATTAAAAATTAAACATATTTTTGTTTTAAATGCCAAATATACAATTATTCTTTTTTCATAACCTAGAAATTTTAATTGAATAGTTGCCCTTCGTTTTAAATAATATAGAAATCAGAACTAAAGTTTGAACTTTTTAGAAGAATTTCTTCATTTAGAAAAGGATATACTATAATATTAACTATGTAAAGCAATTTATATTACTAAACCCAAATGGCGTTTTTAAAGTAATAGAAGTCAATTTGCCTTATTATTTTGTTTATTCAAATTAATCAACATATTTGAGACTATTAATTGACTAAAAATAAAAAAAACTTTAATTATAATTTAAAATTAATAAAATTTATGAACTCAAAAAAAAACGATGTGTTTAGTTTAACAAGGCCTCAACTATGCTAATATCATAATAAAAAACTCTAATTAGTGTGCTCTGACCCTGGATGTGAGGATCATGGATTGATTTGCATTGATTGCCTAGTTTAAAACCATTAAGATTGCAAAGGTTATATTAAGAAATATGATGAATTTCTGTAGTCTTTGTATAAAGAAATAGAAAGAGTTCAATGTATAAAGGAGAAAGTAAAAATAGTATTTAATTTTTTAGAGGTTTTAAGATGCATAATCTATTCTACTAAGTTTAGGGAAGTTATAGCAAAAATTTAATGATATCATTTTAACTCTGTAATTAGTAATAGAATATTTAAATTTTTAAGAATATTGAAACTTTCCTATAAGAATTCAACTAAGAGGATGACAACCAAATAATGATAAAGAAATTGTTTTAGCCTAATTTTGAAGGTGAAAATGAATCAATAAAAAACATAATATAAAATCTAGGCAAGCTTTCTTTTAAAGAACAGGAATTTCCATGGGTGTCTTAAGGTATATAAATTGTCGAAGACCTCTCTAAAATTTTATAAGGCATGAAGAATTTGGAATTTGTAGAATAAAAATAGCCTATAGTTTCTTCAAAATATTAAAAAGTAAAGGGAATAGATGATTTAAAAGGAATAACTAATAACATTCCAAAACTTCGAATAGTATTGTAATAATATAAGTAAATTAATTAGATAAGAAAATAATTGGGCAGGTATAAGGAATACATTTCCAAAATTTGTTGCTTTAAATAATTTATAAATTACTGCTGTCAAATCCCCTTTAAAAGCTCAAGTTTTAGAAGAAATAATTAGCGCAATGTAGTACTTGCCTAGATTAGAAAAAGTTAAGATAAACCTGATTGGTTCAAATGCAAATGATTCAACATTAAGATTGATTCTAAAAATCATCACTAGTAAAAGCTTGTCCGAATTCGGAATTTCTTTTGGATATAGTTAAATTTTATCAGATGAATTTATTAGATAAATAAATTAGTTTAAAGAATAACTGAAAGGAATATAGAAGATATATATTAGTAATCAGCTACATGAATTTACGGAGAAGTAACAAAAGTTGCTTAAATCATACATAAGTTAAATTGAATTTATCATGTGAAGACAATATGTGTATTAATTATAGATTCAATCCTAAGGAATTTCTATTTAAAGGTTTTTTTTTTTAATTCCAATCACCTTTTTTCTTCCACTCTCTATAGTTTGTTTTTTTTCTTCTTCATCTGGAGGGGATTTTTGAGAAGGAGACAATTGATTGATTATCTCTCTTTCAGATTTTTCATAATCAAGGAACATCTTACCGGTTTGTTTATTTTATTCTGCTTGCTCTTATTAATACATTCGATTAGTTTTTGTGAAAGAATTGGTTTGGCTTAATATTTGTGGTTATGTATTAACATTGTCTGTTCTACTTTCTTGTTTGCGATCACAAGAATTCACATATTATTGCAATTTATTAATTTCCTCTTCAAGTTTTTTATTTCTAGTTTATTATTTTTTACGAATATAAATGAATAGAGCTATCCCTGCGAAAACTAGAATTATAATAACAAACACAATTATGTAAACTTCTGAATTATCTGAGTCTTAATCCATAATTGAAATTTTATTATTTAACTATTAAAACATTACTAATTTGTAAAAATTGAAAATAACCTAAAATCTTTTGATGATTTATATTAGAAAAAGTAGTAAACTTAGAAACGATTCATAACTCAACATATTTATATAATATTAAGTACTTTATTTACTATTATTTTATCATATAAAACTAAATTGATTTAATGAGTTGAGTTATCAAAAATCCTTAATTATTATAAGTCTTTTAAGTTAAATATTAGTTATCTTCTTTGAATGTTTAAATGAATCAGATAGCTTATTTACCATCATGAATCAATTAAATAATTAGAAATATTAAAAAATATTAATATATTTAATGGCAAATCTTATATTATTTGTGTTTGGGTTTAAATAATTCAATTTTGTTTTAATAAATTTAAAAGATTTAAAATTTCGGATGCCAAATCTTATTTGGATTGGAAATTTACTAAAAACATATCCTATCCTTCTTATCCTAAATCAGTATCATCAAAATCACCTAAAAATATTGATTTATTTTTTACCTGTTGCTGTATTCACAGCAGGATCAGTAAAATAGATTCCAACTCCTTAAACATCATTTATCATATATAACCCTCTACTAACAAAGAATGTATAATATGAGAATGCTTGAGCAAATTTATTTAATTCTGAAGTATCTTCGTTAATGAAACCATAATTATTGTTATATTTTACAAATTCACCTTTGAAAAACCTTTCAGCAATCCAATATTTATCTAAAATTTTATAAATTTTATATACCTTTGCTTTCCTCTAAAATCAAAAAGTCACTATAAACTACTTTAGGATAATTACGTTGAATATTCTATTATTCTAAAGCTTCAACAATATCAGTTTAAAATTTTTTCATTAATTATTAGCATATCAAGTGAGATCTGCATTCTTGAACAGCCTCAAGTTATGATGGATATGGTTTACTGCCAAGAGGAGTTTTTATTACATATAATTCATCTGATCCTCCATTCTTTTTTTTCATTAAAAAGACATCTTTCATCATACCAAATGCAAACGGAAACTCAGTTCTGATACAATTCCATTATCCTTCTACTTTGATTATATAATCTTTCTATGGATTTTTTCCAATGTTATTTATGGTAGATAGATTATCAGCAAAAACCTAATCATTTATTTTTACATTTAAAACAGTAAACACAGTATCAACTACCTTAGTTTATTTTTCAAAATTTTAAAAGTCTCCTTACTTACATAAAGCCTCAATAGCACCATCTTTATTCTTTGGTCTATCTTATGATGGCTTTTTTGATTTAGTTCCTGACGACTTTACTTAAGTAGCAGCTACTGAAGCACTTCCTAAAGATCCAGCCATTTTTTCTGCTAACTGAGCAACTTTAAGCCCTGCAACATCAACGTACACAAAAAAGTCTGAAGCATTTTTAGCTTCATAAATTTTTTTAAATTCATCATACATTTTAATAGTTTTATCGTTTAAGTTAAAACCTATTAATATAATTTATTGTTCTATCAAACGATGAAGAACTTCTGTGATGTCATCATTAGGATGAAAATCACCAGGGAATTAATGATATTTTCTTCCATGACATGGAGAATCAGTAATTAATATTGCTATCTTAAATTTATTCTTCCATTTGAGTTTTGTAATCATTTATTCTAAAGCTCCTCTAACATCCTCTGGTATATCTCGGCCTCCTTCTATAGGAACTTCTAAAATAAACTTTTAAAAGGCTTAGATATTGTTTGAGAATTCAAATTAATAATATCCTTTAGCTGGTCTTTATTCAATATCATAATAGGCAACAGAAGAAATAATTGTATCTCTGTTAGTCTGTTATTTGATCACCTTTAAGGATTCTTAAACGCAGCTTCTTGCTTGCTCAACATATGGTTCCATAGATCTAGTTATTATTAATAAATGGATACTTAGTACAATCAATGACATAGCAAATATCTAATTTTCCATATTCTTCTAGAGAACCTTATTATTTCTTCATCATTATTTCTTTGATCATCCTGTTTTCATTTTTTTTATCTTCCATTCTTTTTTAATCCATCATTGCTTTTTTTTTTTTACTTTCTTCCATTTATAATTCTTTTAATTTTCTATTTTTTTCCACTTCTTCATTATTTTTTATAATGTTATACTCCGCTTCATCTTTTAACTTTTTTAATTATTATTCAAATTATTTTTTATTTTGATCATTTGATTTATTATTTGAGGCATTCTACTAATATTGATTAAATAAAGCTTCCATGTCTTTCAACTGCTATTTTAATAAGTTAATATTTTCTTCTTCTCCTTTCAACTTATCATGTAGATCATTGTTCTTTTATTTTTATTCTCTTAATTATGTAGTTATATTATCTATTGATTAATCTTTTTCCTAGAGTTGCTTATCGAACATAATTTATTTTTTTTTCCAATTAGCTACTTCTGCTTGTGAGTCCAAAAAATACTAGTGTTCCTTTGAATTTAGATATTCTAATTCCTTTATTTTTGCTTGTAATTCTCTTATGGTTTAATCTTTTTATGACATTTACTCTTCAATATTTTTTTTCTAATCATTCAATTATTTATATCTTTTTTTTTCTTCTTCTGATTGTCCTTATTGCTGATCAAGCAATTGCTACAACTTTTTCTAATCATCTTATTAAGTTAAAATTTAAAGTTATTTTTCAAGTTTTTTATAACTAAACGACAAACCCTGTATTTCATCAATTTTATTTGTCAAATCATCTTTTTGAGTTTTGAAATCTTATTCCAGGTTTTTTAATTTTTGTAAGGCTTAATCTAATTCATTTCTAAGCTTTAAAATTTCTCTATCTTTATTTTATTCCTCTCTTGATAATTCATCTATTTAATTGTTCAAATTTAAAATCTTATTCTCTAGCTTTTTAATTTCATTATTTTTAACTCTAGTAAGATCATATAAATCATCATTCAATTTATCAATTTCTTATTCTTTTTCTTTTATTTTATTCTATAATTATTTAATCTTGTCATTATTATTATTTTGTATTGCTAAAGGCTGATTGTGAATTGGAAATGGGAATGGCGACGGAAATTAACCCGGAATTGCCATCATTTGAGGTATATTAAATTATTGAGTCTAGATGTTTGACATTTGATCTATTATAATTATTCAACATTGATACTTTGGTTTGATATCATTTGAGGTTAAGCTTATGGATTTGGGGTTCCATTTTGGAATTATTAACCATTTTATTACTGGTATGATTGAGAATATTGTAAGTGTTATGGTTATGCAATATATTGTTATTGTTACCCTGAAAATTGTCCCTGCCCCGCAAATTAGAATGGAATATAATCTAATTATATTATTTAGAAAATTACTATGTTAATTCTGGTCTGATGCTTGATTAGATAATGATTAGTCCTATCCATACTGTTGATTTGAGCCTTACATTTGATAATAAAATATTAAAAATTAAACAAATTCAAAAGCACATTATATTTAATGCTTAATAGAATTTCAATGATGTATCCTATTTTATATTTTAATCTATATTCTATTAATTTGCTGCTGATGAGAGTTCTCAGACCTGATTAATTAATTAAGTTTGACAATTGATAATACAATACTAAAAAATACAATGAGAATAATATAATAATTGGCGTAATAGAAATTGTTAAATAAAAAAATATATAAAATAAATATGATAAATATATAATTGCAAATCCCTTCGTCAAATATAAAATTCTATGCTATTAAGTATCAACAGAATAAACAGATATCAGAATTAATTGACTGGATCTATGATAATTTCAATAAGTATACTTGTATTTAAGCCAAGGTTTTTAAAAGGGGAAAACAAAAATAACCTATAAATTCTTAATAAAAACAAGAAATAAACCTTTCGAAGTTCCAATTAATTGGTGAGTTCCTGTATAAATGACAGTGATGTCTTAGTAATTAATGAAGTCGAATCGGAAGTATCATTTCTAGAGTTGAATTTGGATTATGATCTTTAAAGATAAAAAATTCACATTTAAGATGATATTACCATACAAGAACTGATAGAATTTATTTATGGAACCTTTTCAATATCTTTAGATATCAAACTAGAGATAATTTATGAAAACTTAATATTATCCAATTAGAAGAGAATTAAAAAATTAGCTGATCTCCAAGTGCCAAATGGGGCGAATATAAAGATCATACCTATATATAAATTGGATAACAATTTAATAAACCTATAGATAATATGTAAAGATAGTGGAAGTAGTTAGAGGAGATCATTTTAAAAAAGCGACACCTTAAATGCAGTCATAAATAGCGCATAGGGTTATTTAGGATTAGATGAGTAATTTAAATATAATGTAATCTAGAAATACAGTGGGATTTAAAGTCTTCATTAAAAGCAAAAACTATAAAGGTGATGCCAATAAGGATAGGAATAAAACATTATCTTATCTTAAACTTGAGGATGATGACATAGTTGAAATCAAGATCTTATACAGTGGAGGAAGATGATATAATTAGATATATAGTTCTACAAATACAACTTCTATCTTTAAAATAGATTATATTTTGAAAGACTAAAAGGGTTCATGTTAAATCAGAATTAGAATTTATTAGAATATAGTATAAAGGCACAAAGAAAATAGTATTTCATCAATTATATGAAGGAAATAACTCTCAATTATATTAAATTAACAAGTCTTAAAATAATATTCAAATTTCTTGATTGTCCATATTCATTTTATTATTTATTTATAAAATTATTCTACAAAACGATCAAATTTGATATCCAAACATTTGATAATGAACCATAGAGATATTGCTTTCTTAATGTTTCGATTGTTCATCCCATAGAATGCGCATAATCTTTTGGATAGTTTATTAGAAATGTTTTGAATTTCTTAAATTTCTGCCTTATAATTTCTTAATGCATTGGTTTAGAAAATAGAAAAATTCTATGAGAATCAATATAGACTTTGGCAACATGACCATCCTAACCATTATGAGGCTGATCATCGAATTGCAATATTTTAAATTTATACTTCAACTTATTTGAAAGCAGAATCTTATGTAATAATAAAATATTTATTTTGCAAATAACCTTTAATATATTAAATAAAATGAATTCTCAGCAATAGGGATTTAAATTGTATAATTCTACTCAGAATAATGAAATAATAAATAAAAGAAGAAAACTTAGTATTGGAAGTGAAGGTAGTGATTCGACTGGTGAAAAATTAAATGAGAGCTTCAATAGATTAACTTTAAGTGCTGGAAATCCATAGAGCTCATTCCAACCTTTTGTTAAGATTCCCATAACTTAAGTTCGACCTCCAGAAAGACCCTTAACTCACCCTTCTTTAATGATGGGAATTTAAAAATATCTGAAATTGGGGGAAGATTTGGAGGCAGAAGATCTCTTAACAAAACCTTATAATGATCTTTAGTAAATCCAGAATCTTCAATAATTACCTCAGTAGAGACTACATTTTATACCATTTGGAATGCCTGCAAATTATGAAAAATTGATGTCAGAAGCAAAGAATGTCTTATAAAGTGAAATAAAAGTTGAGGAAGAAAGATAAAAAAGAAACATTGATGATTATTTGATTGAATAAAAACTATTGAACCCAGGTTAAAAATTAAGTAAAGAGGAAAGGGCTGCCAAAGTCAAGGCATATTTAGAAAAAAAGCATAATCGATTATGGAAATAAGTGAGGTATTTAATTGATTAAATAATCCACAGATACCCTGTTAGAAAAAACCTTGCTGAATTTAGAGAGAGAGTGTAAGGAAGATTTACAAAATCTGAAAAACCAAGATTCAATTAAAGTCTAATACTATTAGATAAAGAAGAACGAAAAATGGAAACCTTAACTAATTCATATGCTTGATCTATTATTATTTAATCTATATGAAAATTTATTTAAGATTTCATATACCTAATTTTATGACTTAATTATCTAATTTTGAATTTATTTATAATTTGCACTTAAAATAGAAACGAAGTATATTTAATTAAAAGAGTGTTATTTTACACCTTGTATTTCTTAAAAGTGCATAAGTTCTAAGAAATAATAACTCTGGAATAAGTCTTATTTAATTTATTGAAAATTATAGTTCTCTTAGTGTATTTTTGAATAAAATTTAATTAGATTCTGATAAATACAAAAAGATTATACTAGAGGTTGTGTAACTATTTTAAAAAAGGGAATTAGCAATTTATATTAATTTTTAGCTATGTCAATTTGAAAATCGAATTGAAAGATTGAATACCTAAGCTTACCTGATTAAAAACAATCATTGGTTCGTAGCTATATGAATAAATCATAAATTTAATTAGTGTGCAGGTTCTTATCCAGTATTTTATTTTGATGGATTTTAATGAAAATTGATTGATTATTAATATTAATGCAATCATTTAATGAGGGAGAGTCTCACTCTACAACCTTAGAGCCATCAAAGTAAATTATTGTAGTAAGTAGGTCATTCAAATCTAGATCGATCTTTGATACAATGGAAGCTTCAACGAAATAATTCTATATGTTTGATAATGACACAGGGGATATAATCGACCTAAGAACTTCTTAAACGGTTGAATATGACTAAATATAATTCTAAAAAGAAAATGCATGGCAGGATTTTTGGAAAGAATCCTAGTTGAAAACTTTGGAGCTAATTAAAGCATGCAAATTAGGTTAGTTTGCGATTGTAGAATCAATATTGTAATCCTCAAACTTCATCGATATAAATGCTAAAGATTCAAATGATTAGACATGTTTACACTTTGCTTGTAGTTCTGGCAACTATCAAATAGCTTATCATTTAATTTAAAAAGGAAGTTAGGTGAATGAATAAGATTGTGATGGATGTAGTCCTTTGATGGTCAGTGTTAAAAACAACCACTTAGACTTGGTTACTTTGCTTTTATACAACAAAGCCAATGTTGACAGGTAAGATTTTTCAATGAACACACCTCTACATATAGCATTGGATAATAATTGTTTGGAAATCATTAAACTCTTACTCAATTACAAAGCTGATCCCTACATACAGAATGGAGAAAATGTCAATGCTCTTTAGTTAATATCAAATACAGAATAGTAATAAATATTCAAATAATTTGGATATGAAAAATAATATGTAAAAGAAAGACTGGCATCAAGCAATAATGAGAATAAGGAATCCAATTCCTCCTATCGTAAAAGTATAAGTAGAATAATGAAGTTCTTGGGCTAATCAGTTCCAACTAATTCTTTGTAGAAGTAAACTTATCAGGCAAGGCAATCTGTGGTTCCAATCGGAGGTCAGAATATTGGGCCAGATTCCTTTACTTATCACAAAGAATTAGGAAAAGGATCGTTTGGTATTGTTTACCTAGTTAAAAAAAAGGATGAATAAAATAGTTTATACGCGATGAAAGTATTGAGAAAAGAGAAAATTAGTTAAAAACTATTACCTTATATTTAAACTGAGAAATCCATCTTATCAGTGATCGATCATCCTTTTATTGTGAAATTACATTATGCTTTCTAAACTCAATTCAAATTATTTTTGGTAATGGACTTCTGTCCTGGAGGGGATCTTACGAAACTCTTGGATTTAAAGTCCAAGTTGGCAGAGCAAGTTGCCAAAATGTATACTGCTGAGATCATCTTAGCCATTGAAGCTCTTCACCAAAATAAAATCATGTATAGAGATCTAAAACCATAAAACATTATTATTGACAATAATGGTCATTGCATGTTAACTGATTTTGGATTAGCTAAAACTGATATCGAAACTGAAGATACAAAGTCTTTTTGTGGAACTCCTGCCTACATGGCACCTGAGGTGGTCAATAAGAAATTATATAATCGTTCTGTTGATTGGTATCAATTAGGCACTATAACACATGAAATGCTATTTGGTATGCCTCCTTATTATAGTCACAACAGAGAAGAATTGTTTGAAAATATCAAAAATAAATAACTTAGATTCCCTTAAAATAATTTATCAAAGGAAGCCCTTTCATTCATGTAATAAGTAATATCATATCTATTTCAAGTTATTAGAGAGAAATCCTTCGAAGAGATTAGGCGCAAAAAAGGACTCCGAAGAAGTCAAAGCTCATCCCTGGTTTTCAGGCTTCAATTGGGATGATGTTATGAATAAAAAATTACCTGTCCCCATGCCCAGCATTATTAATCAAGCCAATCAGACTCTGCAAGTCAATTTTGATGAAGATTCTCAAATCCAATAGAGAAAAGCAGTAGATAATTGGACTTTTATATCTGATTGATAATATATATAAATTAAACTATGGAATATGAAATTATGCTGCTATGCAACACTTTAGGAATAGGAATTGTTGCGATGATAATCCTCTATCATTTAGTTGGTACCAAAGCAGATAAGAAAACATATTGATTAATATTCATATTTCGTGTCCAAGCCTTACCTTATGATGACCCTTTGTAAATATAAATTATGAACTCTGATTTCTTTATTCAAGCTTCTTTTGTGATTGATTCAATAAATTGTTTATCGAATCCAACGTTCCCAAACTTCCATCATGTCTGAACTATTCACCCCATAAAAACGAAGCGGTTTCTAATGCTTTGTGCAATTTGTGTTACAACACTATTTTATATAATACAAAATTACAATTTTTGTTAATTGGGTCTATCCTTTCCATTCTTGCTTAGTATTTCTTTACATCGTCAATTTGAGAAAACTGATTTTATATTATGTAACAATACCATCCCTTAAATGTCTAACTTTTTCTAATTTCCAGATGGGAAATATTCAAATTTATTTAGCTTGCTAAGAAAGTCCTGCTTCTTACTTTGATTTTTTTCAGCATGTTGTCTTTGCATTTAATAAAATGGGGTTTATTCGATTCCAATCCCTGGGAATCTCACGTACTAATTCTTTAACGATAAGGTACTTCCTTGTTTTTTCCAGACTCATTTATTTTCTCCCAAACTTCCTTCGTTCCATACGCTTTAAATGGATTAATTTATTCCTTTTAATTCATTTATTGTATGTTATTTGATACTATAATAAATAATTTAGACTAATTTCTAGTTATATAATCCTTAATTCTGAACATTGAATAAAGAGAATGATAATAACTTAGAAAACAAGATAGAATATAATTTATATACAAACCAATTATATTTATAATTAATAAAAAAATACATTCTCTTACTGAGGTATCAGATCAGCTGGCAATTAAACATAAATATTATACGATAGCTAATTAATGGGTTTTATATAAAATCCCTATCTATAGCTTCTTTATTGATTATCATTTTTGTTTTATTTGATCTGGATAAAAATAAGAAAAGTCTGAAAAGGCTATCTTATTTAAAAGTCCTTTTATGAATTAAAAAGAGATAATATCTCAAAGTTTAAGCTTATTAGTTAAATATTAACCCAACTTTCGATAGCAAAAGATTGAATACTTAAGGAAAATATAATCAGCCTCGATTCTCTTCAATATAAAGCTTAACTTATATCAATGATCTAAATTATAGAATGCTTCGGCTTTGATAATGGTTAGATATATATTGTAATTAGATGCTCCTCTATTGTAAAATCTAATTTTATCAACGAATTGATCTGCAAATCTTATTCTAACTACTCCTGCAAATGAAGTATTTTCATAAACCAGTTTTTCTTCATCTAAAAAGGAAACATATACTTAGAAATCGAAATGCACATCAACATATCGATCCCAAATTTGAATAACAATGGTGTTGATTTCATATTTCTTAAAGAAACGAATTTCAATGGAATTATAGGGACTGCAATAAGTATAGCCAAGTTAATTAGTTACATAATAAATAGCATCTCGATTTAATTAAGAGTTCATTTAACCACCATCAAAATAGGTATTTCTTGTACTAATTAAATTAATTTAGCGAAAGTTCAGCACATCTTAATAATTTCCTCTTATTATCTTTTTATCAATTGAATTTATAGTACAACAATTAGATAGAGTAAAAGTAAATAATAGTATTTGAAAAATCATTTTTATTATTTTATTAATATAAGTCAGAGTAATAAATTGTTGTAAGAATAATTAAAGTAAAAATATAAAATAAGATTCTCAAAACCAATTGTATTCAAGTACTTTCTTGATTACATCAATTATATCGATGATAGAATGCTTATGCTTTAATTATGGATAGGTATCCATTGTAATTAGATCCTCCTCTATTGTAAATTCTAACTTTATCAACGAGTTGATCTGCAAATCGAATTCTAACTACTCCTGCAAATGAAGTATTTTCATAAACCAGCTTTTCCTCATCTAAAAAGGAAACATATATTTAGAAATTGTAAAATACATCAACTACACGATCCCAAATTTAAATAACAATCGTGTTGAGTTCATATTTCTTAAATAATGATATTTCAATGGAATCATTGAGATAACAAAATGTATAGCCAATTCCACCATTAACATAATATATGACATCTCTATTTAATTAAGAGTTCATTTAACCACCATTAAAATAGGTATTTTTTGTACTAATTAAATTAATTTAATGAAAATTCAGCACATCTTTGTAGTTTCCTCTTAGAATTCTTGTCTTTTTTTGCAATTAATTTATAGTGCAACAATCAGAAAGACTGAGTGTTAATATTAGAACTTGAAAAATCATTATTTAAATATTTTATAAATATAAGTGAAAATATTAAATTGTTGCACCATTATAATAAGAGATTTTTTGGATTAAAGAAGAAAGGAAAAAATTAATCTTTAATTGTTATAATCAAATCCATCTATTTCTAACAGCATCATAATTAAGATGTGACTTTCCTCCTCCTAATTGATTGGGTCTTCTAGGTAATGCAAGGATTGGACAATAATTTTCATCTCTTTATTTTTCTATATAATCCATTTAATAAGTAGAATTTCCAATTTATCCTGGGTCTCCATTAATGTTACGTTAAACTGGATCTCTACATCTTTCCTATTTGCTTATTGGTTTTGGCACATATGATGTCTTATAAGTCGTAGATCCAAAATCAGTGTTCACATTCGGACCATCTTTAACTTATGGTTTGAATTATTCAGATCCTCCAACAGGTTTTTAGATAAAATCTACACCATAAGTGGTATTCCATGGTACTTATCTAGGGGCTGACTTATAAGGTTGCTTTATTAAACCACGTTTCATTGGCAATGGAAATCTATTTAGTAACTGATATACTTCTAATAATTAGTTTAATAGTCTGATAAGCTCGAGAAAGGTTAAGAAGGTTGCAATTCTGGCAATTATCTCGTTTCTCTTTCTGGCAATGGTCTCTAAATGTATTCACTCTAATATTAACTCTTTAAAGTAGATGGATCATAGGAATGTTACTAGGGTTATCTATCATAATTGAATGGTCTTTATTTGTTCGATTTCCATGGTTAATAGTCATGTCTATATTTATTTGGATATATATACTAGAATGTAGACTAGAAATCGCCATGCATATTATCAGTGTGAATTGGACAATGATGTTTTCCACATTTGCATATTTCACAGACACATCTGTTGTGAAACTGATTTGAGGATTGTGCTGTCTTAGATGAATGAAATAGGGATTTGATTGTATTATTAATCATTAAATAATCATTGCTATTACTTCTATTCTTTTATTATATTGCGCAATTCTTCAGATTGTTTTTTCCAATTTGGATCAAGAGGAGCTTTACCCTATTTCTTTTATTATTGCTTCTCCTTTATTTACCCTTGTCGCATTAATTTTTATTAATCATTTGAGACTATTCTTGCCTATTTGGAATTGAATTCTTGTCTTTTCTATTGAAACACCTGTTTACACACTTTAGTGTGCTTTTCCAGAACATCTTGTTTAAATTGTCTTCCACATCCTTCAGGACAAAGCACTAATTCTAGATCTTCTATTGGTTCAGCTTCCTCTAATTGTATTACCATATTCAATACCAAGTTATTATTGCACTTTGGTTTGATCTGCAACTGCTACTTTATTTTCGATGGCATTTTTTGAACCTAATAATGCTGCTTCTCGCTTATTCTAATTACCAATCGATGGCATATAGGAATCTGATTAAGTTTGTTTAACCTATTAAACTTAAGCTTGCTAAACTTCCTTCTTTTCAACTTGGATTTGTTTCCTAAAAAGCTCCTCTTGTCCAGGTAAATAGAGTCCTTGATTAAGAGGGGCAGTATTTTTCTTTTCGTCTGATCGTTAGATTCTATCTTTAAGAGGTACCTTCTCTTAAAATGAGCCTGTTTTAAAGAAATCTTCTTTAGTGCTTGTTAACTAAGGTTCCTATTCTTATGGTTGAGTGGAACGGTTGCGAATATTGAAGGATGGTTTGCTGGCAAAATTGGGTTTCGAATTGATGGCTGAAAAATCTGACTTTTGAGTGCTTTCTAAAGATAAAGTTTATTCTTGTTTTTTAAATGATCCAGAGGTACTGTCCATCTTCAAATTCGGCTTGTAATTCATTTATTTTATTATTATATTTTTATAATACTTTGTAACAATTATGCTTTTTGATAAATAATTTAAACTTAATTTCTAAATAAGCTCACTTTAATATATTAATAACACCATGATATTATGAGTGTCATATGATTGTTTAATTTATCAATAAAGTATTATATAAAAGTTAAAAAATAAGAGATGCTTGATAGATAACAATCTTAGTATTAAATATTAATTAAGGATTATTTAAAATGAATTTATTGATGATAACAGTAATATATATCAATGCGAAATTGTAGGTGTATAGTTAAGATAGCAAGTAATATTATGAATTGGTAAAATTAATTAAATATATTATGATTTTAGATGTTACATAGAGAACTGAGCCATACACAACCAATTTTCGAGTGTCTAAGGAGTAACTGTGTTCAGTGGCTTATGCATGTTAGGAAAGGACATTCACTGAAGAGATCGATCAGTTGGAGGAATTGGGAGGGCAAGAATTTCTAGAGGTTTAAGATAGTTTAAACTTTAGATGGCTTTGTGTTCAAATTACAAGGATGGGTTATTATTGAATGATGTAGGTTTGAGAGAACTGAATTTCGGACATAATCGCAAACCACTAATTCTTCCAAAATCTTATTTTTAATTGTTATGGGGGGCTTTGGAAGATTTCACTATGAGGATACTCTGTTTGGCTGCGTTGGTGAGTATTGCAGTTGATGTAGCCACTGCATCATCCGATTATCGTGCTTATGCATGGATAGAAGGTAAAACTATTGAAATGTAAGATTGTTAGGTTTTGCGATCCTGGTGGCAGTGATAATCTCAACTAATGCTAATGCAATTAATGATTACTAAAAGGAGAAATAGTTTCAAAAGTTGAATGCAGTAGCTGATGAACGAAAAAGAGTTACAGTAATAAGAAATGGATAGAAATGTGATATTCATATGAGTGAAGTTATGGTTGGAGATATCGTCATGGTATTCGAAGGAATGGAAATCCCAGCAGATGGTCTAGTGCTTGAAGCCTCCGATCTTACAACTGATGAGTCAGCCATGACAGGAGAAACCGACCCTATAAAAAAGAACACCCTATCCTATTGTATAGCTAAAAGGAATCAGACTGACTCTGCAACAGCTGGTCATCATGAAGTTCCCTCTCCCATTATGATGAGTGGTACAAGGGTTTTGACAGGAGAAGGTAAGATGATTATTTTAGTGGTTGGAGATTTGTCATGTGCAGGCAAAATCAGTGCATTACTCCGTTAAGATGAACCAGAAGGTAATTTTTTAATATTATATCCAATTAGCCACTCCTTTATAAGTCAAATTAGCTGCGATTGCAGAAGATATAGGGAAATTTGGATTGTACAGTGCAATCATAATTGTAGTTGTGATGTGCATAAGATTTGCAGTTGAAAAGTCATAAGTTGAATGGGAAAATAAGTATATTGTAGAGATCGTCAATTTCTTTATTATTGGAATTACAGTCATTGTTGTTGCAATTCCTGAAGGATTGCCTTTAGCAGTGACTCTCTCTTTAGCTTATTCAACCAAATAAATGTTGAGAGATTAAAATCTAGTCAGGAAAATGGCAGCATGTGAAACTATGGGGGGAGCATCTATGATATGTTCTGACAAAACTGGAACTTTAACTTAGAATAAGATGACTCTTGTTAATATCTGGAATGACAATTTAATTGAATTGGAAACCTATTAAACATGTAGTTTGACTGACTATCTCCCTTAACAATTGGCAGATATTTTTATATAATGAGCCATTGTAAATTCAAGTGCAATGCTTAGACCAGAACCTAAAGGATCTAAGACTGAAATATCATTCCTAGAATTTATGGATAGATGTCAAAAACCGTATGAAGAATTTAGAGATAAATATCCTATCGTAGTTAAATATCCATTTAGTAGTCAAAGAAAGAGAATGTCTATGGTTTTAGATGTTGGAGGATAACAAAGATTGGTATGCAAAGGAGCTTCAGAAATGGTCTTAGCAGCTTGTACATAATATCATTCAAAATCTAATGGAGTCACAACAATCAATTCTAAGGTAGTAGAAGATGCCATTGAAAATATGGCAAAGAAAGCTTTAAGAACAATATGTTTAGCTTATAAAAATATTTCAAATAGTGCTGATTTGACAAGTAAAGATGATAAAGGTGTGTATAATATTGAATAAAATGATTTGATTCTATTAGCAGTCTTAGGCATTAAAGATATTATAAGATAAGAAGTGCCTAGAGCTATCTAATTATGCAAGTAAGCAGGAATCAAAGTCAGAATGGTTACTGGTGATAATATAACTACAGCAAGGGCTATAGCAAATGAATGTGGAATCATTACGAATCCTGAAGATAGTATTGTAATGGAAGGACCTGAATTCGTTAGAAGAATTGGAGGAGTCGTTTGTAAGAATTGTCATCCCGAAAATTGTAGTTGTGTTAGGGATAGTCAGACAGCATAAAAGGAAGGCAAAAAGTTAAGGATTGACACAATTGCTAATCCTGATGAATTTGATAAGATATATCCATATCTTGATGTCTTAGCTCGTAGTAGACCAGAAGATAAATATGCTTTAGTAACTGGTTTGATTGAAAGAAATCATGTTGTTGCTGTAACTGGAGATGGAACAAACGATGCTCCAGCTCTAAAAAAAGCGGATGTTGGATTTGCAATGGGAGTCTCAGGAACTGAAGTAGCTAGAGAAGCTGCGGCTATTATTTTGTTGGATGACAATTTCAATTCAATAGTGAAGGCGGTTATGTGGGGCAGAAATGTGTACGATAATATAAAGAAGTTTCTTAGATTCTAATTGACTGCTAATTTAGTAAGTGTTTCATTGACTTTAATCGGAGCTGCAGTACTAAGACAGGAAATTCTAAGACCAATTTAATTGCTATGGGTCAATTTAATTATGGACACATTAGGTTCACTGGCCTTGGCAACTGAACCTCCATCTGAGAAACTGCTGAATCGTAAACCTCATGATAGAAATGAATACATCATTTCAAAAAAGATGTTTAAGTTTATTGTAGGAACAGCTCTAATTTAAGTGGGAGTTGTACTTGTCATTGTTTTTGTAGGTGACAAATTTCTACCTGAATATCAAGACGCGTATGATACAACAGTATTTAGTGGTCCAAAGATAAGGTTTAAATACAGTAATCACAATTGTGTAACAGATTTTGAATCATTAAAATCATTGGGATCAACCAGATTGAATGAAACATCCTCAACTGACAATCCAGATGATTCTGATAAATGTTTAAAAACTAAGTGTGTATGTCAAAATGATGAATGCTATGAAATTTAATGTCCTCCTTGTCTTTATAATGAAGACTCATGTTCAATTGTGGCTAGTGGAAGATTAATGACTGTTCAAGGTGACTATGACTATTACATTATGTATAACATAGAACATGAAGGAAGTAGACATGTAATTATTATTATAATCTAATTTTTAGTTTACTTATGTGTTTAATGTATTTATCATGTTGCAATTGTTTAATTTCTTGAATAGCAGAAGGATAACTGATGAAATCAATTTCCTTGATAATATAACCAATCATTCTGCCTTCCTCATTATAGTTCCATTCATCTTCTGCATTTAAGTGTTGATGGTTACTTTCGGATCTGCAGCCATTGGATTATATGGTTGTTATGGTTTATAAATAAAACAATGGTTGATTGGAATTGGATTTGGTAGTATCTCATTATTAGGATGCCTTATCCTTAAATTAATCCCTGAAGATAATTTTTGTGGTTAAATGGGATCCCAAAAGATTGTACCTCTCTAACAAGAAGTCAAAGTCTCTTCATAAAAAGTCGAATAAACTCCTAATGCTCTTGCAAAACATTATAACTCAATTTAAAGACATCCAGAACATTGAATATAAATTATTTAATTAATGAATCTACTCAAAAAGGCAACGACTGTTGTTTGTTCTGTTCAAGAACACTAAGAAGTTGATTAAAAGATTATCCATCTGTGTCTTGATTCGAAGTGTTAGATTTCCAAAAAGGCATTGTGTGGTCTATGTCTTGGAGAAGAGCATTATGGCCATAAATCGATCAATCTCTCTACATTGGACTCTCTCATTAAGAATGAATGGACTCGTGAGATTAAGCAATACAATTAGAAGAATAAAGATTTAACAGATTCTATTCAGATGAGCATAAATGCGATTCTGAATAAGGCTAGACTACTTTAAGACCAGATAGCATAGTTTGTTAATCAGGACATGTAGGAGAGTAAAGTAGGCATTTTAAAGCGTAAGTACATTGATTAGCCAAATCTAACTGAAAAAGATTATGAATAATTAGCCAAAGATGTTTGTGATATTATCCATTACAATAATGGAGTTCCTGATTTTAAGCCAATCGATTATGAACCTAATGACAAATTCTAGAGTCTTGCACAACGGTTGATTTTTGATGCAACACTATTTTGCAAAGATATTTCACTTATTACCAAATCTAACATTGTTCACCAAAGTTTTGCAGAGCAAATACAAGATCTGCTATTTTAGATTAATAGTATAACTAATCTTATTGAGAAACCATTGAGTTATTTGATGCAAAGTCGTCGACTCTTTCCAAATGACAAAAGCGAAACTTAATCGATGCAAAGAATCGATTTTGATTAGTAGAGTGTATTTGGAACCATAACTCAATCACCCTTTTGCATTTAGAAGTAAGTTAAGTTCAAGACTTTAGAAATGAAAGGGTTCACTAAAATTTACGAAGAGTTATTCAACAAACCATTTACCTAAACTCACATTGAATTGATAAAGCAAAGATGCACTCCTTAATCTTAAATATGCATAGGTGGAGTCAGTGTAAATGATCCAGATTCCTTTATTTTATGTGCCACTGATTATGCCTCAGAGTTTTACACGGAAACACAGGACTTAAAATTGGCAAGGAAGAGTCGAAATGGAGAGATATTTTGGTATTATGTTAGGAATCGTTGCATTGGATTTAGTCCTATGAGTAAAGTGGATTTAAAGTATCCTGATGTAGATAATGAAGAAGGAGATTTACGGTTTTCTTTGTGGCTCTTTCATGGACAGGGTGGGTATAGAATTGGAAGAATAGAAAGTCTAGAGTAAAGTGTTGAATATAAATGTGTGATTTATTTAAAGAAATGATATTTATATGAGAGAAAATAAATTAAAAAATAAGTTTGCTATAGTTTTTGTAATGCTATAATTTTAAGTTTTTGTGAGTTCAGTTTTTCTCCATCTAGATTTACTTAAATAACAGTTAATATTTTTAATTTTTTTGAATTTATTTTACAAAAATGCTAAGTATGATTTTAGTATATTGAAGCACAAAATTTCTATGATTTAAGAGTAGGTGACAAGATGAGCACCAACAACAATAATAGACAATTGGAAAGGTATGAAAAATTGGAGAAGATTGGAGAGGGTAATGCATAATTCAAATGTGTGTAGGAACTTATGGTGTAGTTTACAAGGCTCGTGATTCAGTAACCAAAGAATTAGTGGCTCTAAAGAAAATCAAATTAGAAAATGAAGATGAGGGAGTTCCCTCTACTGCTATGAGAGAGATTCTCAATTTTGAAAGAACTTCAACCTCATCCAAACATTGTGGGTTTAAAAGAAGTCATTTATTAACCAAATGAGAAGAAACTCTATTTAGTTTTCGAATATGTTGAAATGGATTTTAAAAAATTCCTTGATTAAAACAAACACAATCTTACCCTTAGTCAAATCAAAGTAAACATTTGAACACTAAAAATAAATAGCATTTCACATTCTAAATCTTGAATGGACTCAATTATTGTCATTCCAGACGTATCATTCACAGAGATCTTAAACCATAAAATATTTTAATCGACAAATCAACTGGCATCATTAAGTTGGCTGACTTCGGTTTGGCAAGAGCATTCGGAGTTCCAATCAAAACTCTGACTCATGAAGTAGAAACCTTATGGTACAGAGCTCCCGAGATCTTATTATCATAAAAATAGTATTCTTTGGGAGTGGATATCTGGTCTGTGGGATGTATCCTCACAGAAATGGTTGAAAAGCATGGCCTATTTTGCGGAGATAGTGAAATCGATTAGATCTTTAAGATTTTCCAATACCATGGCACACCAACAGTTCAAGATTGGCCAAACTTAGCAGATTTACCAGATTTCAAACCTACCTTTCCTCGTTTTAGACCAACACCTCCAGAATAATTCTTTAAGAACTTTGATAAGGTACTTTAATCATCTTAAAGAAAAGGTTGGATTAGATTTAGTTACTAAAATGATCGCCTTGGATCCAGCTAAAAGAATTTATGTTAAGGAAGCAATGAAACATCCTTTCTTTGATGATCTAAACAAGGAAGACCTAGCAAAGTATTTTCCTCCAGGATAATAAAATTTAGCTATGCAATATGGAAAATGAATTAATTAAATAAAATTAAATACAAAAGATACTATTTAAATTATACTTAAAATATTTTAAAACCTTATTAAATGCTATCAAATTAAATTAGAGAATTAAGAAATTAAATAAGAGAGACGAATAAATCTCATTTATTTATGTGATAATGATGGCCATCATCTTAATGAAGAAGTGAAATAAATTGGTTATAAAGATCTATAGTCGAATTAAATAAGAGTTCCTGCTTGATTAGGAAACTTATTAAAAAATAAAATTATCATGTTTTTTAGAGATAAGTTATGACAATTGATATGTCATCTACCACTTCATCTTCCTAATTCCATCTTTAAGTAGAGAGTTTGACTATTTGATCACATATCTCGCTTAATTTTTTGGCAGTCATATTGGGTTGCCAATGAGAAATAACGATCTTTTAGATTTCCTCATTAGAAAAGAACTCCCACACTCCATCACTTGCTACAACTAAGAATGCACAATTGCCATTCATTCTGTAATGAATGATTTCTGGTTCGCAACTCACTCCAACAGTTGATGCCACATAATCTCCAAAGGATCTACTCATGGCCAATCCTGGAATTTGATCATGTAATAACCAGACTCTTGGTGGACCAATCATCTCTCCATTTTCACTAATATAGGGTTCCACTCTCCCTTTATTAGAAATTATTCTTTTGTATTCTTCAGGTAAATCTGGTTTATGATCATTACTCAATTCAATGGTCTTCCATTTTTAATTATTCTATTACTAAATTAAAATCTAAATTATAATTTCAATAAAGCTTACTGATCTCGAATCTCCTATATTGGCACACCACAAATGAGGTCCAGAAATCAAAACCAAAGAGCAAGTTGTTCCACTAAATGTTACATCAATACCACAATTCGATAAATCTTTTTGCATCTTCTAAAAGCTTTAAGTCATAGCTTTAGTGATACTAGCATAATGATTTTCACTTATATCCTTCTCCTGCATTCCTATGTTTGATTTAAGTTATTAATCTATGATGTTGGGTAACAACTTCTTAACTAATTAGGACACATAATGTCCATAGACACCATGACCATCACAAACTGAAAATATATATCTATTTTTAATTCCACCCAAATTGTTAGTAATGATAATGCTGTCCTAATTGGTTTTAGTTTATCCTGATCCATTCTATCCAGCTTGGGATCTTATAATTATGAAACAATACTTAGAATGATACATATTCACATAATCTTACATTTCATTATCTAGGATGAATGTGTTTACTAATGTCGCCTGACTGGTTGATCTACCATGTAACATCACCATTTGACTGGAAACCTTTGGCTTAACTTCTTATTCTATAGTTTAAGATGCCAACTTAGCTCTGGAGACTGAGGGTCTAGAGTCAGGAGCAGATTCAGAGATCAATTTGATTATTGACCCTCTGACTTATTGCTAGGTTGATTAAACAAAGGATTTACAGAAGGAGTACCGTCTGCATTTGTGTCTTTTCTCTTTGTACTTTTCATCTCTTGCAAAGTCTCATCCTTGATTTGGATGTTGTTATTCAATTGAGTATCTGCTCTTCGAAGATTTGGTAGTTTCATTGGAGATTATGACTATTTAAAGATTCGATATACTTCAGCATAGTTTGCTCCACTTATTACTCTCTTCTTTGGGGATGAACTTGTCGACTAAGATGGCCTTTATTATTGAGCCTATGAAAATCGTAATATTAGCTACAAATTAGAATTTTTCTTCTTGTTTAGGAATGACTGTGAGTCGTTTCACATTAAATTTACCCTTAATTGGCGATTGTCCGTTTCTTCAATCAAATTTGAATTACTTACAATATGGGAGACATGTTTAAAAGAAATGGTTTTTCTATTAGTTTTTGCGTTGGTTTTTTCTTTAACTATGGTGAACTTGAAGTGCTTTGAGTATTTTGTGATTCATTGAATTTCAATGGAAATACTCTGACTGGATTCATTATATAAATTATATATAATTAGTTATGTAATTTTCATTATTTCTTTTGGTACCAAGTTGGGTATATTTTGGGTGCGATTTCAGGTTGAATTGAGAGTTCCTCTATAAATAATACTCAAACATTAAATACCCTTAGTAAAATCAAAAAAGTCTGGTAAAGTCTAATTGGGAATACCGAACCCTGCTTATCTTATGTCATTAAAGAAAGGATGTGCCAAGGCTTCCAACGGTCTCAATCTTTCTTTTGGGGGATACACCATTAATTTGGAAATAAGGTCGATAAACAAAGCGTCTGGTTTGAATTTAGCAAACACCTAGAATTTCATTAACAATTGTCAAATACCTTTTGCCAGGGGTGACATTTGATGAGGGGAAACTTAAAATCTTTGTGTTGAGGATTCATCATTTTGACCTGTTCTTAAGTTGGAGTTCCCAATATTTTAATAATCTCAACTAACTGATCTGTTGCACTTTCTCCTGGAAAGAGAGGCTCTCCAATAAGCATCTCTGCAATTACACAACCGATGGACCAAACATCGATTGCTGTACTGTATTCAGTAGCTCCATAAATTAATTCAGGGGCTCTATAATAACGAGAGCAAATGTAGGCCACATTTGGTTCCCCTTTTTGGAGTTTCTTGGCAGATCCGAAATCACATATCTTCAGTACGTGAGTTGCTGGATCAACTAATATATTTTATGGTTTAATATCTCTATGGCAAATACCGATTCCTAATTTTAAACTAGTGATGTTACCTTCCATATATGCTAGAGCTCTGAACATCTGATATCCATAAACTTTTAATAAGGTATTGGGAAATTGCTATTTGGCTTTTCTGTAATATCTAACTACTTTGCTTAATGTATCAGGTATATAATCCATAACCAAATTCAAATAAACATCGTCACCCTAATAATCAAATGCATATATACTTTATCTCCTTAGGTGAAGAAGGCTTCCTTTAACTTAATTACACATGGATGATTGAGTTCTTAAATGATCAAATGCTCCCTATTTTTGTACCTTTTATCCTGAAACACTTTCTTAATGGCGACCTTTTCTCCTGTCACTGAATTGGTGGCCTAAAGCGATGAATAATGAGTCATACTAAATAAACCATTCCAAATGTGCCATTTCCAACAATTTGATTCAAAGCGTATTTTTGGGCCTATTCGGATCTCTACAATATGAACAGCAAGATTAACCTATTGTTGCTAATTCTCATCATTGGCCAATGTGGCAACTCTTGTACTTGGTTTAGTTGGCTGTTATTATTAAGGCTTCTTTAACATATTTATTTATATTATCACAAATTCAAATACTAAGAAACTAAAAATTACAAACTTGAATCTCTTGTGTATTTGTTTAGAACATAATAATAATTATTATTATTTTATAATTGCACTTGTAATGTCAAATAATCCCGTTAGTGATGTGGAAATTCAGAAGCAAGCCCAGCAACAATAAAATAATATACTTGCCATCTTGAAATCTGGTAACGCAACTGTTGTCAATGAAAAATTGCAGAGGTGTCGAGATTTCAAAGAGGGCAAAGACATTCCAGTCCCTTTTTGTTATAAAGGTATTTGTGACTTCCAAATTAATCCTAGAAAACTCCCCCAAAGAAGAATTAGTATTGGAGCATGTACAATAATTTTAAAAACAGTTTCAATTACATTATGATGAAAGAAGAAACCTCTTCCTCTATCCAAAAAATGAATGCGATCTCTACAAATTTATATGCACAACCTTGCGTCCTTAAAAAATTGGATATCTAGAACTCTACAATTACGAATAGTGTGCTCGATATATGAGCTTCTTCATAGCTTATGAATAATTGGATCCTCCTGATCAATTCCCTAAAGTAATCCCCAGTCCAACCAACGTTGCGAGATGGCAAAAAGGAGATTGCTTTGATTTATCTATGCTACTCTGCAGCGTCTTAATAGGTGTCGGATATGATGCTTATTGTGTGTATGGAACAGCTCCTCGATCAATAACAAGTAAGAATGAATCAGATCTTGATTACATCTTCATCAATAATGGAATTAAAGAGGATGATGAAGACAGGGATAAAGATAATGACGAACTCAAAGATAATGAATTTGCCATCCTTCCAAAAGAAGAGATTGTGTCAAAATACGATACTAAAATATAAAAGCAAAAAGAGGAATTTGAAAAAGAATAAAAAAGAATAGCTCTCACTATTGATGATGATGAACCGATCAAATGGGAGCGGTTATTATGCCGGCAAAGAATTCATTGTTGGATACTCTTAAAAGCCGGAAAAAGAGGAGTTGAAAGAAATCTCTTTATTGAACCTTCCACAGGTAGGATCTATTAAATTAATGAGAGTCCCTTTTTAACTGTTGATGCTGTTTTCAACAATAAAAACTTCTGGATTAATATGAAACTTGAATCTAAAGTTGCAGATTTGAATTTTGATGAGATGGACACATCCATGAATTGGGAATACGTCATGTTAGACACTATGGTTGAATAAAGCTAGTAAGATGATGAAGATTATAATTATGGTGAAGATCATAATCAATAATAAAAGCAAGTCGATCCCTAATAATAACAATTATAAGATATTGCTTAAATCTTAGACATGCCACCTCCTTGGCCACCCAAGATGTTCATAGATAAAGAGTCTTTTCTCAAGGGAACACCTTTTGGGAGAGTCTACTGTCTTCTATAAGAAATGTTAAAATTGACTCCTATGCTCCATACTCATAAGAAAAGGATGGATTAGTTTAAAGATTTACTATTTATCAGGATTATAAAAGATTGAAAATTCATGAAATTAGATATTTTTACAAACACAGATCTGACAAATTAGTGTTGAAAAGAAGATTCCCTTATGAATTTAAGACCATTGAAGAGTATGAGCCAGGTAATAAACCTTAAAGAAAGACAATTACTACAATAGATAGATAATTAAGGATCATTTTATATTACCCAACAAGGAATCATGATGGGTTGATTAAAAGAATAGAAAAAATTGGAGAAAAAACAATAGAAGAGTATGAGAACAGAGATGATAGAGTTATATATAGATCTGTTAGATTTGATGCTAAGGATAAAAAATTTGAATAAAGAGATTTAATCCATAATGATAGATATATGGGGATAAGTTAAAATTACTAAAATGACTTAAAAATATGAATTAAGTGAATTGTATCCCTGCCAGTGAGTAACCATAAAAGGTTGTTATTGATTTGGTTAAAAATGTTATTAGGTTAATAATAATTTATTATGATTTAAGAGTCTATTATCATATGAATAAAGGAGAAATTAATCCATAAGTCAAAGAGTTAAAAAGGGAGAATATGCACGGATTAGGAAAGTTAAATGAAACTGGAGTTGAGAAAAAAAATGAAGATGCTTTGGTTTCTTAAGAGAATTAAAGAATTGCAAATTTAGGTATATTTAGTTTCATCTTTAGAAAAGGAATGCTTAACACACATTAAAAATCAAGAAGATGAAGTAAAGAAGGATGAAGAGTAATTGAGATCTTAAGATCTAAGACTTGAAAAAACACTTCATGACAAAGCTAGAGAAAGATATAAGGAAACATTAAAGAAATCTGAAGAAGAAAAATAACGGGAATAAGCTGACAAAGATTATCTCTATCCATATTTAGAAAAGAGAAAGTTATTAGGAAAGGAAGTACTTAATTACAATGAAGCTTTGGATATATAAAAAGATGTTATGACTAAATTGAAGGAGCGGTTTTATTATGCATTTTAATTTTAGTTTACTCTCAAGAGCAGCCATCATCTAAAAAAAATTAGAAGAAGAGAGAGCTAAATTAGATCAAGCTGAATAAATGTAGTAGAAAAAGGCAGATCCAGATGATAATGAATATATCAATATACAATTTAGAATTGATATTTTGGAGTAAAGAGCTATTAGATTTGAATCTTAAGCACTTCTTAAATATGAAGAAATGGATAGAAAACTCAAAGATGATAAAAGACTATCAGAACTTAAGAAGAAATGAAAAATTATATTGTTATATTTATTAAGGAAAATTAAATATTAATATTATTATTAATTAATTACAGGACCCTATATTTCAACAGTTTTCAAATAAATTATTATCAAAGTCTATACTTTATTTCTTATCATTTTTCTTAACTTATCTCTAATTTTATACAACCTTGACTTTTACTTACTATTGATCATCAGAATTTTCATCTGAATCATATCCTGTTTTTATAACTTTATTGACTTTCTTTGTCTATTAGTTTTATTTTTATTAAGCTGCTTATTATTATTATTTTTGATTTTATTATTGTTATTGTTATTGATGTTATTATTTATTTTATTTAGTTTACTTCTATTTATCATTTTCAATTTGCTTTTATTACTAAGTATTCTAGGTTTACTTATCTTATTTCACTTTATCTACGTTCTATTATTAAGTATTATTTATATGATCCTCATTAGATTAAGTAAGTTTAGGAAGTTTTTTTATTCCAAAATTATTTTCTTCATCTAGATCCTATTTTTGTTAATGTACTGCTTTTGTTTATTAATTTTCTTAGGGTTTTTAACTTGCTTAAGGTTAGGCTTGGTGTTATTATTTTTCTTTTTTTGATCCATCCTTTTATTATTATCCTATTTAGATTTCTGAAGTTTAAAGATTTTCTTTTTATTCTTTGCTTTTTTCTCTGTTTTGATTTGTTGTTTCTTTGGTTTCCTTTTTTCCTAATGCCTCAGTTTATTCTTGATGTTCTTTCAAGTTTTATGGTTCATGCTATTGAACTTCCACTTAAATTTAATTTTTCTAATCATTATTGGCCTAATGATCTTTATTTTTTATATCTTTATTTTCCTTTATGTTTTCATTTTATATTTATTCTTAGATATTTTAGGCTTGTTGTTGCTTAGTTTTTTCTTCTTCTATTTTATTCTTATTTTATTATTTTAATTGTTTTTTTGTCAACTATTCTTTTTATTATGGTTATTATTATTATTATTATTATTGCTATTGTTTTTGATTTTAGTTATTTTATGGCTATTTATTTGTTTATTTTTCCTCTTGCTATTAAGGTAGAGTTCTAGGTGGGGAAATGTCTGGTAAATTTTCTACTAATTTGTTTTGTTCTTTTTAATGTTTATTTCTTCTTTTTTAATTGTCGGTTTATTCAATTTTAACTTGTGACTTCTTTTTTGGTTCAATGATTTCGCAAGTGATAAAGGTTTAATCATCAAGCACATGTCCAATTTACATTTGTTTAGGAATCACAACCAAATAGCCATTTTATTTGATATTTTTTACTTAGAATTGCTGTATTTCCTCATTATCTGGATTTTCTCTTTAAGTGTACACGAATGAATTTGCAATCTAAACTTCCAAATTCTAATTGATAAATTTACTCAATTACTTATTAAGTGCGATCTACTGTGGCAATGAATTATTTTTGTCCTGTATTTACGAAAAGACGAATGTATTGTCTCTGTGGAACTTCGGCAGGTTTATTCAAAAATAAATCCATAAATTAAAATCAATAATTTTATGTTTATAATAATCTGTGTATACACTTTTCAATTAATGAGCACTGGAGGTATAGTTTATTTTGAAAGTGTTGTTTGTGGTACAAGAGCCAATTTAATTATTTTTCACATTTAATTAGATAGTCCGCCATATAGTTTAATTCCTTATCCTTTTTGTTTTCTTCAAAGGGAATAATTGGAATACCATTATCCAATCTTTAAATTAGTATACTTCTGTTTCTGGTTCATTTGGAATATGAATATTAGTCATATAATCTGTAGGATTAATGTTTCATCAAGTTCAAAAATTAGAGTTTTAATTTTATCAGATGAAAGGGGAGGCCATTTTGGAGGATTTAATAATTTTTGTGTCAAAGGATTTTTAAGGTCACTTGTGAACAATTTTTAAAGAATTCTAAGTTAGATTTAAGTGATCACAGAATTTAGTTTTAAAATAGTCGTTTTGCTCTTGAAATTCAATTTTATATTGTAATTGATATGGAGATGTCTGCTGAAAAACACTTCTCTCAAGAAATCTATAACTGATGTCTAAGAATACTTTGCTTCTTTAAAAATTGGCCAAATTAAAATCTAATTTAAGATTACTAGAACGGCTGCCAAATTTACATTTTAAACTTCACTTATATGGGTTGAAGAGGAGTGACCAAGTGCATTATATTCAGTTTTTGTTAGTTGAATCGTAGGAGAAAATGATTATCTTGATGGAATCTGTTTGGTTAACGCAACTTGGAGATTCTTATCAAAATATGGTTTAGTAATTATCTCCATTTTGGATTTTTTTTTTTCTAAAGCATCTTTTGAATGATTTTTTATACCTATTTTTACTTTTCATTTTGCTATGTTTTAGTTCTTTAATCTATTTATATCAACATCACTAAGTTTTAAATTCTTATTTGATATTTCTTATGTCATCTTCTTATAAGTAGTTAGATATTGATTTTTAATTTTCAATCTCTATGATTACCGAAAATTGTTTAAGTGTGCTTTTTGGTTGGAGTCACTTCTTTGGGGGATTTGAATTAAGAAGAAACTCTATTCTTTGCTTAATCAAAATCGACATCATAGACTAACTTTTCTACGTTCTATTACTAATTTGAATTTTAGATGGCTAATTATGGCTGCTTTATTTAATGGTTTTGAGAATGTCTGTATATTTTATTGGAGGACTAAAGTTGGTATTTAAAGTTCTAATCATTTCTGGAGTGTTAGCCTTGTTATCAATTCTATTCTGTATTTAATAAATAAGGATTACTCTCTATTTGTATTGATTTTATATTCAGCAGATTGACCACTCTCTACTTTTTTTGGAACACTCTTCTTTTTTTGACTACTGCTGTTAAGGCAATTTGACTTAAAACTTGGAATAAAATTTTATGTATTTAATTCATTAATTTTAAATCATAGTATGTCTTATTTATTTTCTTATCTAATTGGTTCTATTTGATAAATTTGCTTTATATAAGGCATTCTGATAGCTATTTCTTTTGTTTCATAAATGATTCAAGATTCTCCTTTTCGAATGGGTTCATCAATAATAAAAATAGGGTTTTCATTTTTCTCAAAGTTTTCTTCCAATTCAGGTTCAGAAATATTATTTTTAGGAAATTTGTACTAAGGTATTAGATGTATTTTAATATAAAAATATTGGATTTGAAAATATTGATTTAAAACTCTCATTCAAATTTAATTAAATATTTTTTGATGATTTTTTATTGTTTAACCTTGATATTAAAGATCTCATCATATATTTTTGATGAAATTCATATATACTTTAGAAAAATTAGATTACTTTTTAAAATAATAAAAGTAAACACTAAAATCTCTTCAAATATCAATTAGAGAGAAGGAAAGATCTACCATTATTTATTAATTGTTAATTTCAATGATCAACTAAATTATTAACTTATATTAAATATTAATGGATTATTTGCTATTTTCTTGTAACATAAATTTTTCAAAGATAAGATCTAACATTTATTGTAGATAAACAAAATATTGTTTCCAATACAATTTTTGTTAGTGTCAGAATTTCTAGTTATTTACTTTATTGAACTATTTATCATGGTTTTCTATAGTAATAGAGACTCTCTTAAACTTCCCTACTCATATTTAATGATGGATTATCAAAATAATTTCTTCCTTTTATTTGGGTTACTAAGAATGTTCAAAAAAATTCTATTAATAAAGAATTAGTTTGTTGTTGTAATAATGAAATAGATTTTCTATTAAATTTTGAAGGATGTTTAATAGGTTGAGAATAAATTTAAAACCCAATATAAAATATATATTAATAAATATGATAGCATTATTATTATTGCTTGGAGTTTAAGGCCAATATCTCCCCACAAGTACTGGATGTTTGGGAACAGATTATTTATACAAAATTTAAGATCTCTCTTTCTGTTTTACTTGCTAGAAAGGATGTAAAAGTTGTTGTGATCCATAATTGTGTAATGAATGTGAAGACAGATACAGATTTAATTCAACCACTTCAACTTGCATAAGATGTCCAGTACTTAAAGATTTCATATTTAGGTTAACTGTGAAGTGTGTGAACCTGATGGTTTATTTTCTAAATGTTCAAAATGCGAAACAGGATATATCAAACAAGAGGATGGTAGTTGTAAGAAATGTGGGGATGATTGTGTTTCTTGTTCTTTGGCAGATTATTGTTCACAATGTGCAGATGCTTTCTATGTAGAAAAAGGAAGTAAGACAGAATAATTATGAATTTGTATAGTTTGTAAAGATTGTCCATATGGCTGTAAAAGTTGTACGTAGGTTGAAGAATCATTATTTGTCTGTGATACTTGCATTGATAGATATTATCTAGTTGGAGAACAATGTACAAAATGTCCAACTGGATGTCTAAAATGTGATGACGATTTCACCTGTACTAGTTGTGAAGATGCCTATGTCTTGAAAGAAACTAAGCTATGTGAATTTTGCACTCCAAATTGTAAGAAATGTTCTGAAAATACATGTACCGATTGTCAAACAGGTTATGTCTTAACAACAGATAATTAATGTCTAGGTTGTCCAGATATCAATTGTGAAAGTTGTCACTAAGATGATAGAACTAAATGTACTAAATGTGCATCCAAGTTTTATTTACTTAATTAAACCTGCATTGCTTGTGATATCAATTGTAAATAATGTGATACTCCAGGACATTGTGTTGAATGTAAACCAGGATACTTTATTAAAAATGGAGTTTGCACTGCCAATTCAATCAAAAATTGTTAAGTATAAAATGAAACTGCATGTACTACTTGTGAAAGTGGTTATTATATTAAAAATGGTGCATGCAGTCCATGTGGTGATAACTGTTTATAATGTTCGGGACCTTCATTTTGTAATTAATGTGCTACTGCTTATTTTTTTAATGGATTCTCATGTCAAGGATGTGGTACTGGTTGTGAAAGATGCGTTGATTCAAATATATGTCTTAAATGCACCTATGGGTATATAGTTATTATATATTCAATTAGTTTTTATATTTCAAAGGGAGTTTGCGAAAGATGCATTGATGGAGTTTGTTAATGTTCAATCAAAGAAAATATTGTAGAGAATTAGAGCCATTAAATCATAGTTTTGATGTTGTTATTATTATTGATATTATCATGACATTAATCTAAATTAAACTAAATTATTTTATAAAGCTATCATTTAGTTATTTAAATATTTTATTTATCAGAAAAGAACATCAACTCTTCAATTAATAAAATTAGATCTCAAAAGAGCACCAGGGGGATGTGTCAATCAGATTAATTTTATTTTAATTAAATATAAATAAGTTTATTAAGGGAATATTTAGAATAAAAAAGTCTTAATTTAAGTAAATATAATTTATTTTTATGATAAATTAAGATATTGATTATTACAATGAAAATCGATAAAATTTTGATTAAATCTAAGTCATTATTTATTACTGTAATGAGATTGCCTCTTTAATTAATCTCTATATAATTAAAGTTCCTGCTCCTTATGATTTAATAGTTCATTTAATCTATTACATTCATTCTAAAACAGTGAAACCTTGCTTTCCAAATCCTTCAAATTTTAGCTTGAATATTATGATTAACTTTATCTTCTTAATATTTCTATTTCCTTATTCCTATCATCAATGATTTTTCTAAGACTAAACAAATTTAAGTTATATTATACTTAGTGATTTCTTGGTTTTAATATTCAGTCTCTCGAACTATTTTTTCCAATCTATTCAATTTTTATTAAACAGTATCCAAATCATCTTATTTTAACTTCAAATTCAGTTCTGCTTTTTTTAAATCTGATTATAAATTGACTAAAAGTCAATAACAAATATTACAAATATTTTAATCTTTTGTTCTTGACTTAGCCATAAAGTTTTAGGCTTCAAAACTCTAAGACTCAAGTGATTAGCATCTTCTCTACCATTAATCTAATTACTCTCTTAGTCTATTCATTTCAACTTAGACAATGTTGTCATTATCTTGGACAGCTCTCTTCATTCTTTCAACTTCCATTTCAACATTAGATCTGGTTTTCAATTGAGTTTCTAAGCTTGAGTATCTCAATCCCCATTAATCGATTTCTGAATTCAAATCAATAATAGTCTTATTGAGTCTATCCACTTCTTGCATTAATTGATTAACTCTTCCTGTATCTTCAAAATAACTGATCTTTTCAGATGCAATATTTTATGATTTTAATCTAAAATTTTCTTATTGCAAATCATATATTTATCTTTCTAAGAATGTACATTTATCTATGATCAATATTGAATTATACTTCTCCATGGCTCTTCAATATCAATTCGAGGTACTACCTTAACTGGCTTATCATAGTGTTGGATTTCTTAGTATATAGGTTATGGTTGGACAATATTTTATACAATTGGAGGTCCTTGATTCGGTGATTAAAATTGTTATTGTTTATTTAATGCTTAAATTTCTGGTGATAATTAGAACTATTTTAGTGGATTTGGATTTTACTTCTTAAGCATAGGCTCTTGCAGATGCCTATCCAAATTACATTGGTAATCCTGGTCCTTATTCTGTACCCAAAGGTTTTTATGTATATTAAGTATTAACGTCTGTGTTCGAGGGATATCTAATTTGATCAAATGCAGGTTTATTATTGATTCCATAAACAGGATCTCTATAGGAAGCCATTTTTAATGATTAAAAGCAATAAAATTTATTATAATATTAAGTAATAATTTATTTCACGCATTTTTGAAAGCAATTTGTTTTTTTGTTAAACTAGTTTCATTAATTTGCAAGTTATATGGAGTTTATATATTTATATAAATTATGGACACTATTAAATAAAAATGGAAAAACTATACACTTTAAAAGCGTCTGAAAGATCTATGGGAGGATTACAAGAAAGTTTCAAATTTGTCTGAGGATCCACAAACACTCAAGAAGTAATATGAATTTTACTAAAAGATTTTAACAATTTCTAGAATAGGCAAACATAACAATTAAGAATTTTTTAAAAAGCAATGATCAACAGTTAGAAGTCATCTTAGGTGATGCTAATTAAGTCTTGGTAGTAATATTGGATTATTTGAATAAATTTCCTGAAATCTAAAAAAGGTTATATTTTGTTTAAACTAATCTTTAGAAATGCAGACCAAGGGCAATTGGTTTAGGACATTATGGAATAATGCATTTAATTGGCTGAATAAATTTTGAGAGAACCAAAGTATCGTAAAAGTGTTGAAAATTCCCATAATGTATTGTCCGATTTTCTGAATTTAATTGAAAAAGCATAGAAAACTGAATCTAAGGTTCTTATCATAAAGCTGATCGTATAAATGTTTTTTTAACTAAGGTTTTATTTTCAGAGAATCTCAACTAAAGGATTGAATTTTTTGAATAATAAGGATTCCACAAATTGCTCTCAATATTGATGAATAAAGATCCACAACTAAATCGAGTAATATCTAAGGCGCTCTTGCATTTTTTACTTATAGAAGATATAAATCAAGTTGTGATATGTAATGTAGAGGATAGTCAAGAATAAACAATAAAATAAAAATTCAGTAAAATAGCAGGGTCATTGAGATCCTTTGCATTTCAAGGTATAACTCATAATTAACATTAAATTAGAACTCTCCAAAGTGTTTCTTCCCACTCAAAATAATAAGCAGTAGAGTATAAAATAGTTTTCTGTAGAAAAGAAGGAAATTTTAACCTTATAATAAGCAATAGAGCAATAGATAAGTTTGCAATCTATCTTCGAAGTTGATTTAAGTTTCTATATGAATTCTCAATCAATAAGTAGATCAACTTCAGATTAGGATCAGAATAAAAATGAAATTTATGAAAAAATTATCAGTATTAGCAGCACTCCTCCAGAAAGACTTGCCTTATCACTGACTCAATCTGAAAGATCTTAGTCTGAAGACATACTTAAAGAATTTCAAGTTCTTTAAGGTGGATTCAAGGCCATATTAGAAACACTTGAAAAAGCCACATCTGAAGTTTAAGTTGATTTGCTTCAAACTGTTTAGCAAATTCTTTAAAATAATGCGAGAAATAAAATAGAGTTTAAAAGAGTGAACGGTTATCAAATATTAAGCGATTTTATCAGCCATAAGGATTTATAAGATGAATAATTTTAATAATAGTTCTATAATTTCTTAAAACAAATATCAACAACAGAAACAGAGATTGATGATTTGGATGCATTCACTTTGATGCTTGAATTATTACCTATATAACAGGACAAAATTCTAAATATCATTGTTGAAGTTTTAAATATGAATTGGAAGAATGTTATAATTGCAAAGAGATTAAAATTGTACTATTATTTAGCCATCATTCAAATCAGATAATACTTATCATCTGATTAAATTTCTGAGAAGTTCTGCAACATTGATAATGAGTATATGTTTACTAATTTTAAAAACATTTTAGTAAAAGTTAAATTTCAATAGTCCGATGAAATATGTCAATAACTATTTCAACTTTATGAATAATTAAATTCATTAGAAGGATTTTATAGTCTTGAATTTGAAGCTATTTAAAGTTAATTAGCCATTTTATTTATTGATGACATTGAAAAATTTAAATAGATTGTTGGATTTGCATTCAAAATGATAGAAATTAAAATGAGTAAAAAATGCAGATACATGAATTCCTTCGACCATTAAAGTGAATTGGCATTTCGAAATTTCAGTATTATCTTTGATAAAATATATCATACATTTTTGTAAGCCAAAAAAAACAATATGCAAGATGCTAAGGATTAATCTAATTATGTGTTTTTTATATAAATAGTTGAAATTATTAATAAGTTTTTAGGATGCGAGCACAATGTATAAAAACAGGAAGTAGATATATTTAAAAATATGGTTAGTTAAAATAGATGTGAGTAATTTATGAATTTAATCAAACCAAATCTCAAATTAATTCAAAGTAAGTAGATTCTAGAACTATTTGATTTTGAATACAATGAAAAAAGCAATTTGGCAATTGCTCATTTATAATTCCGTTTGAATTAAGTAATGTTTAATTCACTTGCAGGGATCATGAGGCATAACGATTTAAAAATAGAACCTTAAATGGTCATATATTTAATCTATTCTCAATATGAAATGTGGAATGCTTTAGAGTAGCAACCACTCAATCCAATAACTCCTCTATTGGAATTCTTAATGGATATTTCAAAGTTAAATCCATAATATTTATAATGTATTTCCCACTTTTTTTTCAAAATCAAACTGCTAGATGAAAACACTCTTGTGATTGAAAATCTTATATAATTTCTAAAGTAAAATGATTTTAAAAATTAAGAATTAATAGTAAATATGCTTATTTCGATTTGCAAGAATTTGCCATATTATTTCGATATGGTAAATCTCTACCCTGTTTTAATTTAATATATAGAAATATACTTAAACAAAGTGGATTTAGAGTAATGGTTCGATTTTGTATTTTCAGGAGAAACAATAAAAAAATTAAACGAATAAAATTATGGAGCGACGATGAGTGATATTCTCAGTTTGTTATCAATTCATAGTATGTTTTAAGACAAAGTACTTGATAAAATGATCAACGGAGAATATTTAACAAACTCGTTTGCTACCCTTTAATATGAAACAACAAAGGAGCAAAGCATTAAATTATCAAATATATTATACTTACTGAATGCTAAAAGCAACAAGATAAAGGTATTTATTATGATAATATCATTAGAATCCCATTTATGGTAATAAATAGAAGTTTTTTCAATTGATATAGAAGCTAATAAATGCAGAAGAGTTTTCAAATTAATTATGTAATACAGTATACAAGCTTGTGTTTTGGAATTTTGACAGTTATCATCTCCTTTACACTGAAAATAGTAGCAATGTTTCTTCAGTAATGGGGAGAAGTGAGTTTGCAGAAATCATCTAAAAAACTCAGAAACAATATTTAGAAAATAAGCAACCCATTTAACACATAACAAATTTAGAATCATTGGAGTTATTTTTTTTGATGTTAGGCAAAAATAATTCTCAAAGTTACATAATAGAAGTTTTGAAAATATTTGAATCTATTTTGGATAATTAAAATTTAGCTACTTTATTAGATTCTAATATTATTTAGAGTTTATGTATGTTATTGTAAAATACGGATAAGAGAATTCTATAGCAGATATATAAAATAATAAGAACAATCATTTAATATGATTTGAGTAAATCTACCAAATTGAAGATTATTGATATTTTAAAGAGACATGATGATGCATCTCATATATTAATAGACTATTTAAAAGATTTATTATAAAATCCAGTAATTAAAAATGATTACATGACCTATTTAAAAAATTTCGACTTTTTAGTAAAGAATTTCGAGGAATTAGTTGGTTTTAATGAAGAAATTGATATTTTATTGTTCCAGATAATCAATTTGATGGCATCTAAAAATTCACCAGAAATACGATCAGTATTAAAGCAGCTGAATCTATTTGAATTTAGAGACAATTTGGCATTGTAAATAATAAAATATAAAATGGAACCTTAATAGTTAATGGATATTCTATCAGGAGTTCCTTTTGCTTAATTATGTAACAGTAGAAACTTTAAAGAATCTCATTGCATGGCTTATTTATTGTAGAGATTAATTTAACACAAGGATCATTTCGGTTTAACACTCTTAATTATTAAGATTTTAAAATACGATATTTCATCAATAGAGGATAATAGAAGGTATGTAAGTAAGCTTCTTCAAAATGATTAATTGATTAGTTTCTTTTATCCTCAAATGCTGAGAAAATCAAGCAAAAGTTTAAAATGTTTTGATTAAGATGATCAAAAAAATTAAAGATCTAACTCACCAGAAACAGATGCAGCATTTTCTCAGAACATGACTGTAGATCAATTTCTAACCTTATTTTTCAGTGATAAATTGTAGGATGAAAGATAACAAATTAAATTAACTTTAGAAAGAGCTCTTATTCCAGTTGAAAGCGAATACAAGAAATAAATAATGAAATATAATATGAAAAAATAGAATCGATTAGCTAAATTATCAGAACAAGAGTAAAGTGATAATTTAAGAGTAAGATATATTAACTATTTAGATTTAAACTTCAAATAATGATTGGGAATTTAAGATATAATCTCGTTTAAAAAAGAGTAATGAACGATCTAAAATGAGGAGCCAAAAATAATAGGAATAGTTTGAATAATTGTTGGCTGATGGTGAGAACTAATGGTTTAAATTGTGTTTAGGATAATGAAATTATATATATATAATATTAAGGCATGTTTTATAAGACATGCAATTTATATATGATTATATAAGTACATAATATTTCAAATTGCTTTATTTTACATCATAGATTAATAAAAACAAAATTGCCATAACGATTGATAATGATTCTTTGGAATAAGGGTAGATAAAGTGGGTTGCCTTACTTTTACACAAGGGAGATATTAAAAGAGTTTATTTAATTCAATAGAGGTTATTAACCATTACAAATACATTTCTTTAATAATTACTTCAAGAAATTAAAGAAAAATTATGTAAGATCTCATAATTCATTAAGTGATCTTATGGATATATTATTTTATATCTTCAAAAACTTTTAAGTCCATAATAATTCAAATTTTAATAGCCTGAGTATTCATATCTAGAGGATTCTTCTTTATATATATTCTTTAATTCTGAGAATAATGGGTAATTACAATTAAGCGAAATTTTACTTTTTCTTTTAAAAGCTTACTCCTATTAAGTATTTATTGAAAACTGTCATTTATTTTTATTTATAATAATGGCTGTAATCATCAATGATAGGAATTCCTAAAAGTATTGTAAATAAATTCTCATAAGGGAAATTAATATTAAATAGATTCAAGTAAAAGATAAAATGAGAATGCTGATATATATAAATGCGTAACCTGCTTAAAAGATTACATTTAAGAAGTTATTGTGAGAACCTGAACTTGACTTATTTCTCAATTGAATATTCAATTTTAGTCCATTATTTCCATTGTGAATACATAGGATTTGGTTAACTAAAAGCCGCATTTGTTCAAATTGTAAAACTGGATGTGACTAATATCCGAATTATTGATTTTTTTAAATTATTAACGAAATGATTAAAACTACATATAAAAAGCAGCCGCTCATTCCTAAATTGTCTAATTTAACTTCTGCAATTGAAATATAATAGCCTTTATCTTGTAGATAATAAAAGTAGACGTACGTTTCATTTATTTAACCTTCAATCAAAACAACAAGACATAAAGAAAATAGTTATAAATATGCTAAAACTCCAACAAAATCCGATCATACTAACTTGAATGTGAGTAAGCATAGTAGATCGCCAAATAGTTCTCAAATCTAATCAAGTTAGGCAATCTTAAATGTTTTAAATCAAAATATCAGATTAAGACAATAACAATAATCATATTAATAATAAAACTATAAATCAAACAATGTTACTCCCTAAAAGCAAATTTAACAAGAGGAATAGATTAAAATTGATAAAATACAAACATAAGAGTTGTACTCATAAATAATTAAATAAAGACAATAAAG